TGAAACTCCGGGGAGTCGGGATGCTCATCGACTCGGACCTCCGACTGTTGGCCGCTGATCCGGTGGTCTGATGTTCAGTCTTCACACAGGTCATTACCGGGCTGAGGCCTCTCTGGCGATCGGTAACCGATCGGGTCGGACCGGGGGCCGCGGGCGGGGGGCGTGCGGAGGGCCCGCTCGGTCCGTCTTTGAACTGGCCGACCGGCCGGCGCCCGAGGGTGTAAGGAGGGGCGGTGCGGACCACCGCACACTGGTCGGAAACGCTCCAGCGAGAGGCCAGCGGCCTTTCCGCAAAAGTTTTTTGCTTGTTATTCCACAACTAGTGAAGCAAACTTCATAAAACTTTGCATACCTTCTCTGTCATATGTAATCTATCATTTGGATGTCAAGCACTAAATATGTGACGTGAATTTGTTAAGTTATGACGTCATAATTGAGTATAATACAGGATCTAGCACCACTTTAAGTCAACAAGGGAAATTGGGGGCTGCTATTCGGGCACCGGGAATGGTTTCATGCACTTCTTGCAAGGTCCAGTGCTTGACTTAAGCATTGTTGACTTTGCGTGACGTCATTTATGACGTCACTAAGGCCATATAAGTTTTTCGTCAATAACTCCTGATCAGATGGAGCTAGAGAGTCGGGAAAGCCACCATTGGACTCAGGAAGACCTGCCGAATCGAATGATATGCAATATGACCTCATTCAACCATTTTCGTGACCTGAGGGGCTCCGATCTGACCTTGACCCGAGGTTAACACCTTAAGTTGAGTTCACCCGAACACCAAGTATAGCATTCAACGCGCCTGAGCTAGACAAACACGATGATGCCAAAATCGCGGCAGTGCGACCATTTTTGGTAAAGTAATTAACCTAAAACCGAACCCGTGCCTTGTGGCACTTACCTGACCTAAGAGGTCACTGGCTGACCTAAGACCTTAAAATCGGGTAGCACCTGATTTTTGCGTCTTATAACGGCACACAAGCTTTTTTTCCGCCAGGCTCTAGCTCAATTAGAGGCGAAACGGCGAGGGAGTTGTACCAACCCTCCCCGGTCAATATAGAAAACCAATCGGTCCGGCCCGGGGTAAATACCGGAATTGTGATCTAATGTAACTAAAGACGGCCCAAGGTAACCCGACGTCAGTGACAGGCGTCCTATATTTGCAGCGTCTTATATTCACGAAGGTTTCAATTTCCACTTTCTTCAGCCGAGTGATGGTTGTCAATAGCTGATAGCAAGGCTCTCTAAATACAAGCCGTAATCGCCACGCAATATGTGGAAGGCTTTTGATGTCAATACATCAACATAAATGCATACATAAAACGCGCTTTTCACAAAATTCATAAACTCAAGCGCATCTGTTTTTAATGACCAGTCAACTACGCATGGATGCGTGCAGGCCACACAGGTCAGCGTAAGCCGGGCGCGGCGGCCGAGCCGAAACTGGGGCGGGGCGGGCGGTAGTTGGGTAGGAAGAGCGGCTCCTGCAAATTTTGCGCAAATATGCGCAGTTAGCTTTTATGTTGCCCTGGTGTAAATTTAAATCCTACTTCATCTCACAAAAAATCAGAGTGGAACTAGATGGGACTACCTGTTGTTTCCTTACCTAAACTTTGCAGTTATATTCCAGAATCACTGTAGGAGAGCCTTCATAAAAAGCTATAGTACATCTTAGTTAGGGATTTAGTATGCCAAAAATTTTGCACTGACCAGTCGGCAACTTCATAACGAACATTTTGATGCATAATATGTGGGATTTCAATTTGGTGTCTATCAGCAATAAGACTCTGAATATCCGGCTCAAGAAACCTCTTGCTCCGCGTCAGTTTCCGAGTTCTGGGATACCCCATCTTCGGGGGCTGATTACAGTTATTTTTGGTCACCCGGATTAGTTTTTTGGCCTAAGTATAATAATTTGATCAATTTCAAATCGATCTATATAAAAAATAATCCGAAACTCCGGAATCGCCCGTGGCCTCTCGTCAGGGCGTTTCCGACCAGTGTGCACCGTCAGTCTCAGGTGGCCGGTCGGTGGGGAGGGGCCGGCGCCGTCGGTGGTTGGGACGAGGGGCCGGGGGTAAGAGCAGGTGGGAGTGTGGGTGTAGGATCTGATGTGTCGGAGGGGCCCCAGTCATGGCAGGTCACGGAGGCCACAGACAGAGAGGGATACATATTTTGCAATCGTACCGGTCCGACGAGGATAAATTTCGTGTTGAATCAGCTCCAATATTAGCACTGATGACTCATCCCCATATTGCGGTAATACCTAAAATACTCCCATTTCCTGGGTGGAGGGTGAAGATACAGTATCGTACTTGCCGATGGTTGAGGTAGTTACGGTGATGCGCTAAATAGTGGAGAGCATATGCATAATGCATGTGCCTTTGTTACGCAAATGAACGTGAATACGCTCATCTATTGAGCGGTTATTAGTGTTGCACACAGCTGCATTTACCCAGCATCAGCTTTCAAGCACGGGCAGCCTTGAGAGTGATTTGTGTTGAAACCCTTCATTTGATCGTTCGGCCAACTGAACCATTTCCAGACGTTATTTTTGCAATAAAAGCCACGGCTTTCAGCACCGCCCGTGTCTGGGTCTTTGAAGTCGGCTAGCTGACAAGTTCCATAACCAAACCGTCACCGGACCCCTGATTGAGCCACGATAGAGCTGCTGGTCGCGGCGGCGGTGGGCGGTCGGACACCCGATTCAGCGCAGATTGCGGCGCCCGGGGGAGTGGTGCACGGGGACAGGATGCCACCCTGGCGGCGGCCGACACTCTGCGACACTCGGCGACACCCCGCGACACTCCACGACACTCTACGACACTCCACGACCTGGGCGAGGGTGGACCGTCTGACCGTGGCAGTACCGCGGTATCCGAGATTTCCGGCCTATTGTGGCGTCTGTCCTGCGGCCGCGGACAGCGGCGATCTCCGTGTTTTCCGCCCTGTGTTCTGGCCGTTTTGACGCGTCCAGCAGCAGCCTTAGAGCCCATTGATATCGCCGCGACAGCCATGAATGGGGCGAGAGAATGACCTGCCGACGCTCGAGTGGCCACTGGCGGGCGCGGCTATCTGATTGTGCCGGCCATGCCTTGACCATGACACATTCTCCGGCTGTTAGCTGCGGTGCAAACTTTCTATGACGCTGCACCGCTGCAATTTGGCCGCTGTGATGTAGTCATTGGCCCAGTCATCGGGGTCTATGAGGGGCATGAACATGCAGTTAGCCGGGGCCAGCTTTCATTCAATGGAGAGAGAGCAAGGGCGGTGATTATAGGAATAAATCATTTCATCTTGCGTCACATAACGGGTAGCCTGTTTACCTGCGGTGCAAACGACGGCGAACCACGCGAGCTTGCGGTAGTTCGGTGTCTAATCCGCTAATGACAGATACGGGCCCGCCAACGATATGCATCGGAACCCACCTACCAATCCACTCATCACACCCGGCAGCCACCCGGCCGGCCGACACCCACAGACGAAAAGAACATGGACACGCTCTCAGACATCCATTGCCGGCGAGCTCGCTGGCCCTGTGCGATGTGTGGCACATTGGCGACCGTATCACAAAAACGAAGGCAGTGACATCCAGAGCTCAAGAACTGATTACAGAAAGTTGTAAACAATGTCATAGTCAGTCATCCCATCTGTCACAGACAGATGATTGTGAGCCGGTGGATGGACAGCGTCAGCCGATGACGGTCCTCTTGCCGATGACGCCTCACCGTCCGATGACGGTCCTCTGTGCGATGACGGTTCACCACCCTCCGGCCGGCGGTTACCGGTGACGGATGGCGTCCGGCGCGCGCGCCGCCGGCTCCCGGTGTGCCGCTGGGCCGGGAAGATGTGGAGCCGGCCCGCCGCCGGCGCCGCTGCCACTGCACGCAGACGGACTGCCACCTATAGACCGCGCTGTAATTTGGAGCGGTCATCTCGGTACCCTCTGCCCGGAGACCGCATCGGGAAGGGCAGAGAGACTGAGTCGAGAGAGAGGGCAGCTATCCAGCTAACGGGCAGACCAACCAACAAATGTGTCGCTGCGCGCGTCGCCATGTCCTTGTCACTTTTGTGTCAGGCCCCAATTGATTTACTCGTAGTCACACGGCTCCCAGCCCGGATAACTCATCGCTTCCGGCATCGCTGCTTCTCAGGTCTTTTGTCACCGTTTGTCACGTCACACACTGCACCGCCGTCCGACAGTCAACACATCTCAGATCCCGGTCCGGTACGTCTCAGATCCCGGTCCGGTACGTCTCAGAACCCGGTCCAGCACGTCTCAGAGCGCAGTCCGGCACGCCGGGATATCCGCGATCCTATCAGCCGGCCACGGCGCTGCGCCGGCGCCGGTAACAAGGCCACTGCCATGGTTTACTGCCTCTGACAGAATCACTCCTCTGCACGCCGGCCTCGGAGACGGGCCGGTTCCGCCGCCCCGGGCTGCTCGCGAAAGTGAAGGTGCCCGGAACACTCCGACATTGGTAACCACAGAACAGAATGACACACGTCTCCCTGGAAATAGATCGGGAGAAAAGACCATAGGGTGGGCTGGGTAAAGCCGAGGACGATTGGCACCGGGAGGTTTTGAGTAATCGGCCTGAGGAAAAGAACACACACGTTGTGATTGCCTCTCACCGATACCAGTTATTATGACTGGATGTGGTCAGTGAAAGGCGCGGATGATTGTCATTTTGCAACGTGCTGACATTGAGGCTCAGAGGCAACTATATAGTAATGAAGCTTTTAACAGACTCTTAAATACGATACTTAAACAAACGTTTCGTAACAATATTATTTACGAGTACTTCTTATGGCAAGTCACTAATAATCCTATCAGAGTAGCCACCATCAACCTTTAAACACAAGCGTAAATTGTAAAAAGGTTCCCACTGTGTCTCATGTGTCTGACCCCCCCCTCTCCCAGCGAATATCAACTGTATCACTCTGCACGGCCCTGTGTCCACACACGACTGACCCTGCTCTCTGTCTGTTCCAGATGACGATGACCTCCGAGGTGCCGGTGTGGGTGGACGGCGTGGAGAAGTGGGTGACCGGCGTCGGCCGGAGGACCACCTGCGCCGACCTGGTGCACGCGCTCCTCTCGGCCGAGCGGCGCCAGACGCCCTCCGAGCACGAGGTGCGAGCGCACGCCATCGTCGAGCGCTGGAGACAGGTGGAGCGGCCGCTCGACCCCGCCGCGCGCATCCAGAAGGTCTGGAGGACATGGGGCGAGGACACGGCAGAGGTGCGGTTCACGCTGAAGCGGGTCGGCCCGCAGACGCCCAAGGAGGTGAAGGCGCCGCGGCGCCGGCAGCGGCACCGGTGGCGCAGCTCCAGCAGCCTGGAGGCCGTGCACCCGCGGAAACTGGGCGCAGAGCCGGACACCGTGCTGCGAGGGGACGTGGTCGAGCGGCTGATGCAGACCATCCTCGTCCAGGGAGAGACGATCGCTGCCCAGCTGCGACGGCTGCACGAGCGAGAGGACCTCATCGGCTACTACGAGCACAAGATGCACCGGATGAGGGAGGACGAGCACGGGGCGGACTACCTGTTACGGACCTACCTCCGCGACGGCGAGCCGGCGGAGGCTGAAAAGGCGAGCCACGACAGCGGCGTGGGTACCGAGCTGGGCGCCGACGCGCCGGAGTCGCCGCGCCGGGACGTCAGCGAGGAGGAGGCCGTCTCGGACCTGCGGCAGACGCTGATGTACCTGGAGCGGATCGTCGAGCTCAACAGCCGCATCGCCGAGCAGGAGGAGGCGGCGCTGCGACTGGGCCACCGGACGCGCCGCGCGGCCGCCCCCACCGCCGAGCCGGCCGGCGAACTGACGGCGGCGCGAGCCGAGGTGGCGCGCCTCGCCGCCGTCTGCGCGCAACAGACGGCCGAGATCGAGCGCAACGAGCGCGCGCTCACCGAGTGTGAACGGCTGCTGACGGAGCGGCGCCACCGGCTACTGCAGCTCGAACGGGAGCTGGACGACGCCGACGGCGAGACGAGCCGGCTGCTGGCGGCGCGGCTGGCCGTGGCCGCGCAGCCGGGTCACCAGCTGCCGCCGCCGCCGGGTCACCAGCTGCCGCCGCCGCCGGCCGAGCCGCGCTGGACCAGCCCCTCGCTGCCCCCGCCGCCCGCGCACACACCGGCGCCGGCGACCGGGACGCACAAGGACACGTCGGGCGGGGACGGTGACTCCAACTCGGACACGGGACTGAGCTCGCTGCACAGCAGCAGTGACGAGGCCGCCGCTGGGTACGTGCTCGACACGCTAGTGTGACGCGCCGTGACGCTCGTGCGGCGCTGCGTGACGTCTGCGTGACGCTCTGTGATGCGCGTGCGGCTTCCCCTCGCCAGGGCATTGTGAAGCGGGACGGAGGGGGCTCTCGGGTGGTCGGCACTGCAGCGAAGGCGACGCTCCAGATCAATGCTCAACGCTGGAAGTGCTCGAACGTACAACTTACGGTCTGCCGATGTGTCTTTGCACTATATGTTTGTCGTGAAATGTGAAAATATATTGATCACTGCGTGTCCCAGTCCCTCGTGTGAGATTGCTGAGTGCAAACAAAAACGCTGAATTAGAGTGCAGTAAATATTGACACATAATCAATAGTTATTCGTTCTTTGATTAGCGGGTGACTTTTTAAAAACAATTAGTTATTATGATACTTATGCTTACTTATAATACTTATTATTATACTTATAAACAATTATAATACTTTTTGGACTTATTTTAATATCATTTCATTGTATCATGAGCATAAGGTCATTTTCTACCATCATAATATTCATAATTATGCTCAAACTAGCCATAGCTCACCTCCAACAATTAGTTATTCACTCATTAGCATTTAATGTTCAGTAGTCGAGGTGAAAATTTTCATAAATATTTTATATTGCAATCCTAACGAGTAACGATTGTCGTGGCAAAGCTTAAGCCTGCTAATAGACTGTGACGCGATTTCAATTTAACATGACAAATGTCGGTAATCCCTTTCAATAACGAGTTAACTTTCTCTCGTCGACAAACGTAAAAACGGACGAGTTGTGTGGGCATTTCTGGACAATGGAAACATAATGATAGTGCCACACACAATGGCAGTTGTGCGGTTTCCATGCCATTGAGACTGGGATTGTGTAATCACTCATCAATGACACACGTGAACAATAGATTATTGGGTACACGTCAAGAGCTGGCTAGCAAACCATTCTTTTTAATAAAGCGATGATGTATTTTGTAATTATCAACAACCCTGGTTTTAAGGCCAAGATTTAACCTGAACCAATGAACCCACAATTGTGCAGTGTTCACCGACAACAAACCGACGATATACGTATCGTGCTACCTAATTGCCATGCAACCTCTGATTGGTCAAAAATAACAGCGGACGATAAAATATATGGCGCCGCCAGTCCCCCAAAGTCCGTTTTTCCCCGAAATCTGATAGGCAGTGGCGTGAAATGCACGTTAGTGGCACGCGCTCTGTGAGAGGGGCACCTGCGACACGCCCGGCGACCGCATGCCAGCATGCACGCAAGAAAATTCCGCGCCTTTTTCACGTCCCTCTGCAGGGATGTCAGGAATGCAGGCGCATCTCCTGTGCAGCCTTGCAGCTCATCATCTGCACCCATTTTCAAGGTATTGCAACGTTTCGGCCATCAGTTGACCCTTGCAAGTTGCGCCGGAGCAAGCATACGCCGAAGGGCTGTGTCTGTGAGCTGAGTGAGCAAAAGACTCAGAGACTCTTGACATTGTTTTTGTTTACAGCTCTCATTCACCAAAAATCAGTAATTCATATTTGTTTCGTATTGATTCACTGTGCAAGCTGAAAATGGATGCATCTTTGCCGATAGGTATTCGTATATTTACAATTGTATAACTACTTTACAGACATGCCAACCTACCTAGGCCCTACAATATGCGATTTTCAGGAAAATGTTATCAGCCGAAACACAAAATCAACAAGGCTCTCAATCACACCAGCTAAGTCATTCCCAATGATCCCGGTGACATTTGACGTCACTCAGCACAACACTGCCCGTTTGGTTTTAGTCTCCGTACTGCGTTGCATTCTCCTCCGGCTGGTGTTATTGTCGTTCTCTCCGTCGCAGTCTCTCCGGGATCTCGGAGGGCGTTATATCAGTTAGGCGGCCACACCGCGGGGCGGCGGGCAGACGGAGCGGCCAGTCCCAGCAGACGTGCGCCGCGCGGCGACCCAAGTGGGTCAGAGACGCGTGCGCCTCAGCCGCCGGCGGCCCGGTCGGCCCGGAGACCTCAGTCGGCCGTCACCGGCGGCGGCGGCGGCGGCGGCGCTAAATAAACATGGGCCGTTTGGCGAGCCGCCGAGCCGAGCCGACCGGCTCTGAGCCGGCCCGGCCGGCCGGCGGTGTGCTGAGGACTGAGGAGGAGCCCACAGCGGCCTGAAGAAGGACTAGAAGAAGAGGGCTGAGAATCCACCCCTCCCAATCTGATAGTATGTATGTATAACTGGACTATGCTGGGCAGTGACTGAAGGATAAGTTGGGCACTGGAGAGCGACTGATAGCTGTGAGGTATCGATATAGGAGAGATGTCAAAGTCATGAGAACACTGATAACTTATGACGGGTAGGCAGTAGGCACCAGTCGGTGGTGTGGCGTCCATCATAGCAATCAGAACTGGTCAGCGGTGGCGTCGCACGCCCGACCCGCCCCTCTGTATTCAATCACCGGCCCACTCCGGTGAAAGTGATGTCCACGCGGGGGGCGTTGTGGCGTTAAAGGAGGAGAGGAGAGGAGGCGGTCATATGACCCGTCCGGAGCCATGGGCCTTGAGGAGTACCCGGGAGGAGCCGTGTTCGGTGCACGGCAGGCGGGAGGCGACCACCGCGCCCCTCCCCGATTAGCACACAGAGCGCGGGGCGTCCACCCTCGCGGCGCACGATCGTGTCATTAGTGCCTGCACGTGTCTGATTAGAGCCCGCAGCGGCCCCAGCGCCGACATCACGTCTCAATGGGTATTGTCGCAACAGGGAAGCTGACCGTACCGTGCGACTGTTATAGGCACTGGTCCCACGCTTAATTTGTGCTGTCACGTCCCCCATCCGTGCAAGCCTATGATATTCTAGGTTATGTGCTTTGCACAGTGGATTGTGCAATTTTACACTTAATAATAACTATCAGCCTGGACACATGTATTTCGATGCCTTATCATCTCAGCCATTGATAATGAATTTCGAGCCAAAGCCATTGCAGTACACAAGAGATGCGTTAAGAAGCAGCATTTGGAGCTGTGGCTGAAACGGTGAGCAGCAATATATTTCACCACCACGACCATCCCATACAGCATCCTCCCCACCAGCACCTTTTCCCCAACCGCTCCACCCCTCCCACTATTGGCTCGTCAACAGCCCCACACGTGAGAAGTCCCGGCTCGCACCCCGCCCTCTGCGGTTCCGGCGCGGCGCGGTGACGCAACACTGCAGCTCGCGCCGGACGCGCGGTCGGCATGGTTGCCCAACGCCGTGAGTTACGGCGCCCGGCGCGGTTCACGCTTCGACTGCGGGGTGTCAGCTCTGGTTAGCGTTGTGGCGGTGCTGTGCGCGCGGGGAGTAGTGATTGAGACGCCGCTGTGCAGTCGTGTGCACTTATACAGTACAGGCCGGCTGCCGTTTAGGTATCTGAAGACTTTAATCATATTATTATTGTTAAGCCAATTGACAAAAGTCCTTCATTCATAGGCATTTCCATATTTAGGAGCGCTCAACGGGAAACGACTAACTAGTGGGAATAATTTTGCTTCAATGATTTAGAATGATATTATGCCACATGTGTTGCTGTAGAACTATATCTTCTTTTAGGTGACTAGTCTGCATTTCAGTTCATATTTGTTCAGACTCATCCCCCGGTTAATTCAGCTCACATTCCGTTTATTCTTCCAGCAAGTCACACATGGTTCACCGCTCGTCTGTGAGACTTTGTGCCCTGTCATTGACAGCCGGATGGCAGTCCTGTGAGAGTGTGCCCACCGCCTGGCGCCTGCCCACCGCCCCGCGGTGTGGCCGCCTAACTGATATAGCGCCCTCCGAACTGCGAGAGACTGCGACGGAGAGCACAACAATAACACCAGTCGGCGGAGAGTGCAACGCAGTGGCGAGACTAGCACCAAGTGGGCAGTGTTGTGTTGAGTAGGGTGCATCAAGCGTCCCGATGTCTTCAAAACGTTGAAACTCCTCAGAACTCCTGCCATCTTTAGCTGCGTGCCCGGCGAGGCGGGTCGGCCCGGTTACAGCCGGGTCGGGAGGTCGCTCGGCGTCGTTTGGCGGTCCCCGGGAGACTGAGGAGGATCACGCCGGCCGCCGGGTGCCCGGGTTTCACTAATCGGCCCGCTCTGCTCTCTGACGCTTCTCATCACAGCGGCGCGCGCCGCACCGATTCTGGGTCAAAGCTCCGCAGTATGATTTAAGCGCGGCTATGTATATCTGATGACTTTATGAGTTCGCTGGAGCGGGTCGCGGCCCGCAGGTCACGTTTTTACACAGACGCGAGACGCCCAGGGCGGTTCAGAAGCGTTTGAAAGCGAGTCAGCGCACTGCTAAGTGTTATAGATTATACGGAAAGACGATTCCGTAAACTGTCTGGGCCCCGGAGTGGGGTAGGTCAGACTCAGTCGGTAATTGCTAAATTGCTAGGGTTAACAACCTCGAGTAAAACACTGAACAAACCTTTAAACTAAAACCCAAACGATAACACAGTACGTGGTGCAGCGGGAAATGGTAGCGGATAATGAAACAGTGGGGAAGTAGGTATAGGAACATAACTGCAACAGTGAAACAAGGAACGACGGCTACCCGTTTGTGAGGATGCGCATGGTTGCCCATGGAGGACGTAGTAAGTGGCAAACGGCGGCGTTATTAGTTTGATCAGCACACTGTTCGGTTGACAGCTCACAACATATTATCCCAAAAGTAAGGCTTAAAAGAGGCATCTGGATAAGCCGGAAGCGTACATCCCTACAAGTCGGAAGTAGGTATCAAGGCATCCACCTCAGAAGTGATGAGCGTATAATAATGACCCTACTGTCAACACTCCCCTTAATTCTTACAAACAACAAACAAACACACTGCATGATCCGCTGCAAACTGTAGGAGTGTGACAATGAGAGTCGTTTTATACGTTTACGTTTTTTAACTAGCCGCCCTCCGCGTTGTGCAGCCAACAGTGAACGGTCGACTGCCTGACGGTTAGACTGTGCCGCCTAGCTTAGCTGCGATGCGGAACAGCAGCTGTTATAGAACTAAGATACCTTTCTAAATTTAAGAATTTCCTAGTTACATAATACATTAATTCGTGCGGTGCATGGGTACAGGTGAGTCTGATTGAGAGCCTACGATGCCTATGATTGGCTTGCATAGAAGTGGTAATGTAAGAAGTAAACGTGCTACACCGCTACACAGCATACGTCTCCCGCGAGTCTAAAACGGAATTTGAAACGGACCACACAACCTACAGCGTCGTGGAAAGTGCCCTGCAGCCACATCGAAAGCGTGAAGGGTCACCTCACATCAGATTCACAATGTCTGAAGGGCGGGGACGATCTGACACGCGCCAAACCAAGACGAGCGGTTTCAGTCCCGGTTTACTCTGTCCCGCCCGCGCCGTCCGTCGTCATCACACCGCCTTTGTCACCGGCGCGCGCCGCTGAGCTCACGAGCCGCGCCACGCGCCGCGCCACTAAAAGGCGACAATTACTGCGCGCCACTCCAGCGCCGTAATGCTCCATGGCCGGCCTGGCTCGCGCCGTTTTTGGGTCAGCGAGAGGACGTGGAGATGGCGGGAGGGCGGGTCCGCGGAACGCCTGTCACCCGTCCGTCGGCGCCCGTCTCTCTCTCTCTCTCTCTCTCTCTCTCTCTCTCTCTCTCTCTCTCTCTCTCTCTCTCTCTCTCTCTCTCTCTCTCTCTCTCTCTCTCTCTCTCTCTCTCTCTCTCTCTCTCTCTCTCTCTCTCTCTCTCTCTCTCTCTCTCTCTCTCTCTCTCTCTCTCTCTCTCTCTCTCTCTCTCTCTCTCTCTCTCTCTCTCTCTCTCTCTCTCCTCTCCTCTCCTCTCCTCCTCTCCTCTCCTCTCGTCTCCTCTCCCTCTCTCTTTCACTGATCTCTCTTTCCCCTCTATCTTTTTCTAGCTCTTCCTCTCTCCATCCGACTCCATCTCTTTCTTATTTTTCTAAGCCCGAATACCATGTCCGTTTAAATATAACGGACAATCTTATATGTTCGGTCATTCGGTGTAAATAATACAATTCGTTCTTTAGCTAGAAAACAACCAAGCGCTACACGACTGCAAAAGGGGAAAGAATTTCATTTTCGTGATCGCCTGTTGGGTCTCCTTAGGACCGCCGACCGACTCCGAGGGTAGGTTCTGCACACTAGGGTTTGTACTTCTTGTGGTTTTCGTCTCTCAATCAATGCCGCGAGCCAATGAATCTATTACAGTGATAACAAACATAACTCCTTGGGTCTATGGCTCATTGAGCCCCTACTACACTGGCCGCAGCCCTCCATTCCCGTCGCCTTTCTGGCGCCGGCGCGCTCGGCGATGATTTGCGGTACACCAAGGCCGGGTCGCGGTGCGCCGCAGCTCACACACCGGGCTCCGGCGGCAGCGCACGCATATAACGCGCACGGTCGTCCCGCTGCGGTCAGCGCCGTGTCCGTGTGGGCGGCGCCGCGCTGAGTGCGTGGCCTCGAGGTCATCTCCCTGAGTCCATCCGATCCCTGACACGAACATCCTTCAAAAAGACGATTTCTGAGCGGCTGGGGGTGACCAAGCCTCCAAAATTTTACATAACTGGGTCTAAATTAGGAAATACTCTGCACACAAGACTAAGAACCGGAATGAGTCACCTTAACTCCCATCTCTTCCAAATTCAAAAAAGTGAAACGTCTGTGTGTGCTTGTGGCTTTCCAAGCGAGAACGTTCGGCATTACATTCTAGACTGTCCATTATTTGAACCACTAAGGCTTGATTTGTTTCAAACTATATACGATCAATTAGGTATTGAGTTCAATGTAATTTCTCCAAAACAAAAACTTGACATTCTGATTTACGGTGAGACTCTGGACGATGAGAGCGGCAGCGTAGTCGCACATCTCTTTCAAAAATTCATTTTAAAATCGAACCGATTTACAGCTCACTGAACAGTACGACATTGACCTAGGGGATCAGGCCGCGGTTGGTCGTGGCGCTCCGGGCTGACCGTGCTGTGGCTCGCGCACGCTGCTCTACTGCTCGGTGTCTGTCGTGGCGGCGACAGCCAACTCGTATGCTTTATGTTTCGCCTGTAAATGTTTTTCTATAGCTCATGCTTAGAATCTCATCTGGTTGGAGTTTTTTTTTTTCGTTTGTTTGCATTTTCTTTCAGAGTGATGCTTAAACTCAAGCGCTCTGCGCTTTTGCATCCCTCTGCCTCATTCTTCCGGAATCTTTCTGTCTCTGCTAATAAACATTGTGTGTGTGTGTGTGTGTGTGTGTGTCAGCCGGCGCACCGCGACAGCGGATCGGTTCCGGAGGCAGGGGCGGCAGCGGCTAATGTATTCGCGGCGGAGTGTGCGCCCGTGCGCTGCGATTGTCGTCTGCAGCGGGGGTCCGGCCGCGCCCGGGCCGCCCAGAGCCGACAATGTTCCCCCAGAGCGGCGGCGGTGCGACGCGGGAGCTCTGTTTGCCGACGGCGGCGGCGGCCCGCCGAGCGGCCGTGTGCGTCGGCCGGGACGTGCTGACCATGCCGAGCAGCGCGCGGCGGCCCAGCTGGGCCGGCTGGCGGCGCTCCAGCGGTCTGCAGGGCGCGGCTGCACTCAAAGGCCGGCCGCCGGGCCCGGCTGCGCTCTGAAGACTGCGCCGCGCCGCTAACGCTGCCGCCGCACGGAAGGCGCTCCCCGCCGCCGGCGACGCTATAGACTCGGCTCGTGACGTCACGTCACGCGTCAGGAAATTCACGGGAACGGGGCCGGCCTAGCCGGCACCCTTATTCACGCTCCTATGTCGATGTATGACCCCATCTTATTTATGGTCGCATATATTCATATCGTAAATCACTAGTAATCAGGGATGCGGAGCCGTGGAAATTTCAGACGGCTCCGGCTCCGGCTCCGGCTCCGGAGAAAAAAATCGGCTCCGGCTCCGGCTCCGGCTCCGGGTGAAATGGTATGGCGGCTCCGGCTCCGGCTCCGGCTCCGAGTAAAATGGTCCGGCTCCGGCGGCTCCGGCTCCGGCGGCTCCGGCTCCGACTCAGTACATCCCCTACGCAATCAATTAAATACGGGTGGAAGAAAAATTGGATTGGTTATACGCGTTACTCTTTGCCATGACCGGCTCACCGCGTCCCCGCGCAAACGCACCTCGGAGAGAACTGGCAGAACAAAGGGCTAGGAAGCGATGGCATTGGAAACGCAGTCGCCGCGAATCGGATCGGAGTTCAGTGAACCATCGTAAGCTGACACCCGTCTCGGCTGCATTGGGGGGTGAGGGGTGGGGGGGGGGGATGAGACGGTGCTGGGAGTCGCAGTCCACTGCACTGGTTTGAAAACAATGGCCGTCACCTGATGACTGGTCCTCATGTTCTGGGGATGCAGTAGACGTGGGGGGGGGGGGGAAGAGCAAACAGGAAGTTGTTTGCGTACTGTGGGATACTGGGGATATTCGGATTTTTTCATTCACTTGATGGCCCATGACGTAAGTACCATATCGTTTTACTGCCTTGTACTGTCAAACCGAACTAGGTCAATTATTTTTTTCCTCTTCAAAAAAATAAAAAGGAGCCGGAGTCGCCCCCTTTTTTGGCGGCTCCGGCTCCGGCTCCGGCTCCGGGCTATATTGTTTCACGGCTCCGGCTCCGGCTCCGGCTCCGGGCAAAATATGCCGGCTCCGGCGGCTCCGGCTCCGACTCCGGCTCCGGCTCCGCATCCCTGCTAGTAATCATTCGAAAAGGCGGTGTTTTGGTTTTACGGGCGAGCAGTTTGAATGCGTGGAAAGTGAGGATGACATGCCTGTTGGAGGATAAAAGAAATGAAGCTGCCCCTAAGTTGTCCACATACCAACCATCACTAGCTGCAAAATTTGCCGGAGCAGAGTGCTGGAGGTAATGATGGGTATTGGTACAAACATGTAAGGGCCAAGGGGTACCTACCTACCGGCAACATTAGCATCGCTTTTCACGATTGGCCAAACGGACATCTTCTTGTCTTTGGAATCGTGATCCGCTTGTGAGGGGCACGTGAGGGGGACACTGGGTTCAGAACAGTCTGTTTGTTTGTTTGTTTTGTTGGGTTAGGCCCTTTCGGTCTGGCAAGACCATTTCAGAGCCGGGTGGATGATAGGATAAAGGGGAGACATTGGTCTGGGCAGGCACCCTAGTGAGTCGCCGGGGCTGAGCCCGTCCAGAGGACAGGCCACCCAGCCCCAAGGCACTCACTGCACCCGGCTACGGGGTGCGCTCCCTCGGGAGCAGCGGTGCCGCTCCAAGGGAGCAGCCCGTATGAGATAAAGTTGCCTGTCCAGCCCGGAGGGGGGTTGCGGCGTGGAGGAGAAGGATTTCTGTATCCTGAGGATAGAAGCACGGAACGGTGTGAGAACAGTCTCAGGTCCAACCGAGTACCCGACAGCCTGGGATCAGACCATGTCTCCAATTTTGTTTGTTTTGTTGTGTTATAGGCCCTTTCAGTCCAATGAGACTATAGACATTGGACTGGGCAGGCACCTTAGGGAGTCGCCGAAGCTGAGCCCGTCCGTTAGGACAGGCCACCCAGCCCCCACGCACTCCCTGCACCCGACTTACTAATGGTATACGGGTGGCTCCCTCAGGAGCTGCGGTGCGCTCCAAGGGAGCAGCCCGTATGAGATAGAGCTGCCTGTCCAGCCCGTAATAGGGTTATGGCGTGGAGGAAAAGGTTTTCAGCATCCCGAGGATAGGTAGGTACGACGGAATGGGTATATTGTCTCCAATGAAGTGCCCTGCTACTGCTTGTTCCCATGAGTGTACCCTGGCTGGTTCAGCGGCGACATCTACGAAAATTATCATTTGATGGGTGCTGCCACCTAGAAACTAAGTTGTTTCATATTCTCTTGTCTCGCTAGCGTTTACAATGAAGTTCCTTGTGTTTTCGTTTTCGAAATTTTTATTCTCTTTTTATGATGTTTTAAATAAAACAAATCAAAATAAGGCTAAATTATCACTTATCATCAAGAGTAATATTTATTGTCAAAGTTGCTTTCATATACTGCGCATATGATTCAAACACAGCGCACAGATTTTCCGTGGCCCGCGCAGATGGCTATTTGCATGCTATTTGGCATTTCTGTTGGAACTGTTGGAGTATGAACTGCGTGATTTTATAAACGTTATAAACTACCTTTTCATAAATGACTGCACGGTATATAGAGAACTGGAACTGAGAACTAATGACTGTGTAAGCAGGGTATAACAACCTTGAATTTCTCAGGAGGCTAGAAGTAAAAGTAGAAGAAACTGCACAGAGGACCACTGAAAACATCCATATGTCTTCAAAGAAGGGCCTTACAAATTCCCTGAAGGCGGAAGATGTGGTTCAAGCTGTGCTATTGACGGACAATTTTTCTGATGTCCTTGCCCCATACTGTTTGGATACACCATTGGTAAGTAGCTGCGAGCTGAAGAGCATGGTGTATTACCGACATTTGTTTCTCCATATATGGAGAAAGATGCTGTGAATTGAAATGCTGCTGCTCTGTTCCAGTTCTGTGTTAACTGAATGCTTTAGAAGATATTTGGATTTTCATGTCGTATCTGCTTACTTACGTCTGTTTATCAACTTTTATCATTATGAGGGGTGTGGTGTGATTTTCTGCTGAGTATTGGGTACAATTATTTCAATTCTAAATGATAATGACAATTGTGCAAATTGCAATGTTTTCATAGCACTTAATAGTAAGTAACTATGTATGCTTGTTGCAGAGTCTACTTCCTCTGGTCAATGTTCCTCTTGTTGACTATGCCCTGGAGTACTTGGAGTCTTCTGGAATACATGAGTGCTTTATTTATCTGTGTAAACACACTGATGCAGTCAAGAAACACCTGAGGCAAGTCTGTTTTACATACCTATTCACCTTTTGGGTCAGAAACAAAAAAATGCAAACTGTTTTCATTCACTCTTGCTATCAATGGTTTCATATATTCTTGCTATTTCTTTGTTTTGACCATTGTGACAAACTAGCAACTCAGCGCTATACTGTAGCAGGCCTGCTTTACTGCATGCCATTTACCGTTCCACTAGCTGACAGTCACCTCTGTTACAGTGGCACCCGGTGGCTCAGCGAGGACAGTCCGATGGTGATCCACGTGCAGACTGCTGAGGACTGCCTCTCGCTGGGCGATGTCATGAGGGACCTGGACGCCAAGGCCCTCATCCAGTCCGACTTCCTGCTGATGTCAGTTGACTGTATCACCAATGTCGACATCGTGCCCATCATGAAAGAGCATAGGTGAGCTAACCAAGGCAGTGAAGGATAAAGACATTTTGGACAATCGCTGGTGAGAAAACATAATTCTAGATGGCTTCTGTAAAAACACTTCTAAACCACTAGGGATGGTTCCTGTAACATACCTTCCATTAGTCATTTGACCATGAATCCATAAACTCTATTAACTCGACTACTCACTGCGTGTGTCCCGGTTCTGCGTGCAGCGCCCGCCGTAAGAACGACGACCGCGGCTCTGTGATGACGCTGCTGTACCGGGAGGCGACTCCGGGCCACCCGGTCCGGCGCCACTCGGCCCAAGTGCTGCTGGCCGCCGACGCCGAGACGGGGCGGATGGTGTTCCACCAGCGGCTGCCGGCCGCCGCGCGGGGCCGCGTCACCTTCCCACTGGTCAGTGGAGCTCTCTGAGCATTCTTGGACTCATTGAGATGGGAGTGGCTGTTAATTGGGTCTCGGAGAACACGGGATCGTCACTCACGGGCAGATATGTTCAATAAGATTGCCCCTGTTGTTGCAGATCTTTTGTTTGCAATGTCTTTGAACGGAGAGGTGGTTTTACTTTTTGCGTATCTGCCTACATTTCCAGTGCGTGTCACCTAGACAAACGGCATCGCATGTTTCTCATGAGATAGCTAGCTCACCGTTTTATCGTTATTTCGTTTCCTGTACTGCTCCCAGTCCCACCCTTCTAATACTCTCCCCCTATATCCATCTGCCTCCCACAGCACATTTTCCAGGAGCAGAGCGCCGTGGAGCTGCACTACGACCTGGCCGACACGGGACTCAGCATCTGCTCACCGAGCGTTCCCCAACTGTTCGCCGACAACTTCGACTTCCAGACGCGCGACCACTTTGTTCGCGGCATCATCGTGAACGAGGAGGTGATGGGCAACACGGTGTACCACCGGCGCGTGGGCACGCATTACGCGGCGCACATCGACAGCCAGGCCACCCTGCTGACCGTCACGTGAGTAGTCCGATGGTGCTACCGAGATGGAGACGATGGGCCAATAGAGTCTGTATGTGCATGTGTATGTTGGGGGGGGGGGGGGAGGGAGGCTGATTACAGTTAATCCTCTATATACTTTGCTGTCTACTAACTCCTGTAGGAAATGTCCGTCGCTAGAACCGGATCGATTTTAGCAAATGAGTTTCGGAGTAAAAAAGAACATTACTTAACCCCGGATTTCGGTATTCATGCTCTGGCCTTTTGGACCAATTGCGTACTTCGTGCTGGAAGTGTGACATAACAGCCTTAGCATGAAAGGTCAAACAAAACAAGCAATTTTGGCGAGTGGCATATACGGGTATCGTGAATTATTGCCGCAAATTGAAACCACGTTTGAAGCGCCGACTCCCTACTCGCTCTCAGAAACAGCTGCGGTCGGTCCAATTATCCACGATTTAAAAAGCTCTCTGCACATTTTACGAGCTAGCCCCTGTCGTAGCCCCAAATGGCACCACCGATCCGACCTCGGTGGTCGAGTTGTTTGTTCGCCGAGTCGGGCTACCCTCGCGCTGTCGGCTAACACCCAGTGCGGTGTAGGGTGTCCATGCTGAGAATAGAGTCAATCAGGACTTTTCGTTGCCATGACTTGTATCGAGTATATTACTAACATCAGCATCCATCGCATTACTTAAAACAATTTGATATATTCGGATATACGAGTGGAGAGGGTTTGAGCGAATCTGTTGTTGATAACAAACGTTGCAATTTTATCGGTGGGTGATATTAGGAACGGCATAGTTTTGACGTCTAGCTAACATCAAAGCTAGTTTCTAGTTCCACCTCTGAACTATGCAGGTCCTTATCCTGCGTGGTTGGTATGTCATTTAGGCTGCTATGCTTAATCGACTTAGATATGAACCGGCGAATGGCCGTGCATGGACCCGGAGTTTAATGTGCTCGTTATTCGCACCCATTGGCGACACGCATGCCCCTGTAACGAAGCTCTTCCTTGGCAACAGTAACAACACTGCGATTTTATTGCTATATGCCTTGCCTGACGGCCTCATTATATTTCGACGGCTTGCATGTAACCTACAATATGTTTCGATGATTGATATGACGGCCAGTGTGAGTGGGCCACACAATATGTCACACCGGAAACTGCCGCTGGCCAAAGGGCCGGCGTAGATTGCTCGACTTTTGCAGTCATGCCATGCAGCTGATTAATGAGCGCTGTCAGTGATCGCTTAAATATTACATAAAGCTTGCTGCTGCTTTGTCGTGACGCGCATAGGCACATTAATTAATTGTGTTATGCCGGCAATGTGTGCCTGTGATGGAGCTTTATCTTCTGAGCTTGTATCATTATAATGCTGCTCAATTTACTACATTTCTCAAACACTGTAAAGCATTACATTATGTTTACCCTCATCCTCTTGTGCAAAATTATAAGAGTATTCATTCCTCGAACATCAAATGTGCTGTAATTAAGGGATGAACGAGGGTTTCAATTTTACCTGCTAGAACAGTCTGAGGAGACGAATTTTAAGTTGCATTTATGGATGTTTAACACCGCTACCTCGATGCAGTATTACATCCTTCACAGCTCTCCCCGGCCCGTTTATCCGTTCCGACCGGCCCGTATATCCGTTCCGTGTCTCCGCGCTCGTTGACGCCGATTGTGTATGCCCTCAGTCAGGACGTGACGGACCGGTGGGTGCACCCCGTGGTGCCGGAGAACCGGTGCCCCCATCGCGCCGACCTGCGCTGCAGTCAGCGCAACGTCTACCGACACCGCACGGCCAAAGTCGGCAGGTACGGAGCGAACGGGGAGACCGGCGCCGCGCTCTGTGCGCTGTTTTGTGTGATAATTGAGACTTGAGTGACTTACGCCATCTTTTCGCCTCTGGATGTCTTGTTGAAGCTTGGATTTTTTGCGCTTGGAGTTTCCGCCTCTGGTCTTTAGTCACTAGGTATGCCGGGTATACAACACACTAGTGCAGGCCGTATACCCACGTCGGGGTGGCTGTTGGTGGTGCTAGATGACCCGGTGTATTGGCAGACCCAATATACCACGCCCAGTGTCCCGTCTCCCGGTCCCCACTGACGGTCTCTCTCCTCTCCCCGCCCCGTCAGCGGCACGCGCCTGGAGGGCTGCGTGGCGCTGGGCGCCGGCGCCTCGGTCGGCTCCAACTGCCGGCTGCTGCGCGCTGTGGTCGGTCCCGGCTGCCAGCTCGGCGACAACGTCACCCTGGAGGACGCCGTGCTGGACGCCGGCTGCGTGCTGGGGGACCGGTGCGAGGTGCGCCGCTCGCTGCTCGGACCGGGCGTGCAGCTGGCGGCCGGCGCCCGGCTCCACCCCGGCTGTGTGCTCGGAGCGGGGGTGCGGGTGGAGGGAGCCGCCGAACTGCCGCAGGGCACACTGCTGGTCGGACGGCCGCCAGAGGACGAGTTCGGCGGCGGCAGTGCGCCCGGTGAGTCGGAGACTGGAGGATGGAGAGGGGATGAATCAAAGGATTGGAGAAAGGGCAAAGGATGGAGTGCCGAGTGGATGACTGATGAGGAGAGTCATGACTCATGAGCGATGGAGAGGGAAGAGGGGTGTTAAGCGGAGAAAAGTTGAAAGTGTTTTGTGGTCCTGTTAGTTTGTTACTCATTCTCTGTAAGTTGATGCATGAACACGGCATTAGAGGCAGTTGTTGGATCCTGCGTTATGCGGTGTTACACCAAGTTTTTCCTGTCGTCCGTTCATTGCACGTATTGGAAACACGCTTGTCTGTTTCCCCGGTCTTCCCGCCTCGCACCACCATCCTCTGTGAGCTCCTCCCCCCTCTCCCCGACAGAGCCGTCACGGCTGGTGGGCGCCGGCGGTCGCGGGTTCACCTTCCTCCCTGAGGAGGACGAGGAGGACACGCTGAGTCCTCTGCGGCTGGGACCCGCCGAGCTGCCGACGGCAGAGCTGAGCGACAGCGGAGAGAGCAGTGAGGAGGAGACAGAGGACGAGAGCGAGGAGCGGCTCGACGGCGCCGAGTCGCCAGAGGTGGTCGACGACACCAAATGTGAGCGGGTGGGCTCTGAGGGACGCCAAAGGGGAGCGACACCTGGGAAGAATGTAGGACGTTACAAAGCTTTTAGTAGCTGTGGACGTGAGCATTTAGTGCCGCTTTTAAACGTTCGTACTTCTTATGCCAATGACTGCAGAGTTGCGGACAGACAACATAACTAGCGCTAATATTTAGACTTCTGTATTGACTTTCTGCCTAATGGGAGCTGCAAGTTGAGGTTGCATTGACCAATGTGTTCGTTCCGGGCTTCAGTGTTTTACAGCGAAGTTCTCGACAGTCTGGTGCGCGGCTTCCAGGAAAAGATAAGTCCAGAGAACCTGATTCTGGAGGTGAACTCTTCCAAGTTTGCCTACAACGTTACTGTCCAGGAGCTCAATTCTCTTGTTGTGAAGGTCAGTGCTTGTTGTGTCATTCGTTATGCGTGCCGAATTGTATGGTGTTGCTTGTCGGCTACTTTTTCAATTATTCAAGCAACGATGCTATTGGGGACCTCAATTTTCTCTTGTTTGGACGACCGAGGGGTATTTAATGTGTCCGGTGAGATTTTTTACAGAATGGGTCTTATGTTTTTATGTACGATAAGGCATATAATTATACCTCCGATATGCTTACCGGAGGTTCGTCGCTGTGCTTTATTCCAGCTAAGTGTCCGTCAACCCCACCTTACTAACCGGCGTACAGTTACTGGCATGTACTGGAGTGGCTGTTTTCCGGCGGCTGATATCGATCTTTACCCCAACTGACCTCGTATCCGTAACTGACGGTGTCTCTGCTCGTTATCGGCTACCGCAACCGCAATTGACTGTATGACTGATGTTGTCCGCTCTCAGAAACGGATGGTGATGTGCCCGTGACTGACGGCTCTCCGCACTGTTGCGCACCAGACTCGTAGCTGACCCGTACCTCGCACCCTCAGGCGATTCTCTCTGTGCCAGAGCACGGCTCGGACGAGCGTCTGGCGGCGCCGGCCTTTCTGGCGCGGCTCCAGCCCGTGCTGACCACCTTCATGCCGCTACTCACCAACTACATCAAGAGCGAGGAGTCCGAACTGAGCTGCCTCAGGGCGCTGGAGGTCAGAAACAGGGTCGGGAATCAGCTGACTAGACGGTGGAGGTGGAAGTCAGGGTTAGCTTTGGGGATTAGCTTCGTCTGCAGTCTGGTGGACATAATATTTTTCGTCCACATGTTGTATACCCAACGGTCGCTTTAAGTGCCTTTGTTCACGCTTTGATTTCACTTTGTTTTCCGTCGTTTCGCCCCGCACTCGGCGGCGCCGGTAACCCATTGACCTGTAACCGACAGGAGTTTAGCTGTGATCACTCTGCCATGTCGGCCTGCCTGGCCAAGGTGCTCATGCTACTCTACCAGCGGGACATCCTCTCCGAGACCACCATTCTGAGCTGGCACGCCGATTCCGAGGGACTCAGTCCCGAGGCGGTCCGCGTCCGACAGCAGGTGAGCGATGGAATCGTGGTGAGGACTCGCGGTGGGCTCGCGGTGTGATGCGTGGTGGGACTCGCGGCAGAACAGCTGATGGACTCAAAGTGTGACTCACGGTGGGACAGCTGGTGGACTCGCTGTGGTGATAGCTGGAGTGTTAAGCTGGGCTTCACGCTGTTTAGAAAGTGGAGGACAGCTGTTTGGCAGGATGAGAGCGGTGAGGGGTGTGATGGAAATGCACTGGAATGATTTGCACTCTCGACTTCCTGAAGGATGAAATAGCTTATTGTCATTATGCATCTTGTTTACACACAATCAAGTTGCTGCAGAAGTGTAAGGTTTCTTAGGAACAGCATGACTATTAGAGCTATCTCAGGAAGCTGTATTCGCTCTTAAAGAACTTAAATAATATATCAGGCATCGATCGAGCGATTCACTGAAGCGCCCTGCGCCGTCCCCAGGTCCAGAAGCTGGTCGACTGGCTGCAGGAGGCGGAGGAGGAGTCCGAGGACGAGGAATCCGAGGAGGACTCCAGTTGAGACGGTGCACGTGCCCACTGACTGCTCTTTGGTGACCGGGGTGACAGAAAATAATATATGACGCGGTGACTATTTAATTTATTGGTTTCGAATAGAAAACAGTCTGGGAACGGTATACAAATTGGGTAAGGTGGTAGGTATATTATGACAACTGCAGCTGTAGAATCACGCATATATCGATTTGATCATAATCATATTTGATGATATCAACATTCACCATAGCAGCTTGCCCCCCCCCCCCAAGTGTGGGGCCGTGGGCACAACTTAAAGACGGAATATCGCACTTTTTTGCAAATGTTTTCTTTTTTTGTTGAAAAATGACAAGGGATGAAAAATAAATGGCCTAAACCCGGTGAGAAAACTAGATTTGAGGGTACCCTAGGTTGATCTCTATTATGGTGTGCCCCTCAGTCTGAAAGTAGTTCCGGCGCCCCTGACATTCAGCGACGAACCATGAAGTCGGTTCTCAAGCATTTAAGTTGATTCTCAGCTGTTCTGTTATTACTTCAGATAACTCACCAGAAACGATTTGCAGCGTGAGGTAACCTCACTTATAGTCGCTACCTATATCTCTATTTACTGCTGACGCCTATCACCCTACGCACGCTAACCCATACTAGGTACACAGCTAGATAACCGGTGCAATGCTGTGTGAAGGCCAACGACCGTTTTGAGCTAAATCTCTTAATAAGGCAAAATGTTGAACACGCCTCGAGCTTCTTCGTGAACTAGCCGCATTGTCTTCCTAAATCGTTCTATTGTGACTCATCGAATACTCGCTGGTGGTTGCTGTTTTGGCTTCTTCTGTCGGGAGGCGACACCTGCCTTCAGAACTCGAGTCCGCAGAGAAAGGCCATCGCCCCGCAGCTGGTGTCGTGCATGGTCAGGTCCGGTGTGAACAGGCCCGTACAGATCTCGCTGGCGCCCGGCTGGCCGGCTGCCCAGGGCAGCTCGGGCGCCGGACTGCCGTCCAGCAGCTGCCACGTGCCGTCAGCGGCCCGCTGAACCCCCACGGAGAAGTGTTCCGGCACGTCGGCCAGCTGCTGCCGGATGACGGCGATCTGCTCCACGGTGCGCAGCGCCGCGATACTGGCGCCCGGGTGGATTGCCGCGCAGCGCGCCGGTACATCCGACCAGACGGCCACCTCCGAGCTGACGTACAGGAAGCAGGCGCCGGGCGCGGCGAACCAGCCGTCCGGACAGCCGGCCAGGTAGGTGGAGGCGCCGGCGGCGGCCGCCGTGGCCGCGCCGGCCGGCACGTGGCCCAGCAGGGCGCACTCGCCGCCGGTGTCCGTGTGCTGGACGCCCTCGCAGGCCGACTGGAGCAGGCAGAGTATGGCGCAGGCGGTGCTCGACACGTCCGAGAGGGTGCGCAGCGGGACCACCTCCGTGTAGGAGAGGTCGCGGAGCTGCAGCGTGAACTTCCGACCCTGGGCGGCCACCGGCGCCGGCCCGGCCACCCAGGCGGCGGCCAGGAGGCAGAGTCGAGCCGCTCCGAGACCGGACATGGCGGCCAGGTGGGGACGGGCCGCACGCGCCGACCGATCCGAGCACTGTGGCGTGGCGTGCCACCCCCTGCGATCCGGACCTCCCTCGGAAGGCGGTCGTTGCCGGGATACGGTGACGCCTTGGCGACGAGCCTGTGTACTGACGAGGGGGGGGGCTGGATAATACGTGACACTTGAACGATAATGGCAAGGAAGGGCGCACTCAACACGAGCACGCTGTTTCATAAAAAAAACGATCAAGGTGGGCTTCACAAAGCGAAACCGAGGTGCCACACTGCTTTATAAGTTGGAAGGGGGTTCCTAAAGTGATCGAGATTCCTTCCTCTCAGAACCCTAAAGCAATGTGAAGAGACTCGTGAATCGTGATAACCATTCAGGACGGGTCATAGTTGGGTCATAGTTCCAATCTCCGGCAGCTTACTTGAGCTTACCTTACACAGTCTTCCCGCAGTCCGGCGTCCGCGCTTGTTTGATCGCATAGAAATAAAGACGGTGATCGCCTATTCCAAGGTGAAGTGATTTTTGCCGTCCATGTGGGAATCCTTCATATCTTTCATATGGAAGCATGTAGCGCCATTTTTCGTAGAAGCAGACATGGCGCAGGTGAGACATTTCTAAGCATGCTTATGTAAAATTTTGTGTTCACCAACATGAAATCTCCCCTCCATTTATACAAATTCCAGCGCTCATTGGATGAGGCTGAGATGGTTATTCTGCACGCAAGTTGCTGATTGGTGGAAATAAGGCATCTGAAAAGGAAACGCTGCCACATAGAACAAGAAACAGCGAAACCGCGACTGATCCTCGGCCCAAGCTCAGAGCCTCCGTAAAAATATTCAATTATAAATTGAAGTAGCCCACTCAGCGTTGTTTTTGAGAGCAAAATTCTGATTTGTGTATCAGCAAATCGATAAAGTGAGTATAGTATTTGATAAAACGATATGATTTAATGGTATAGTTTCACTGATAAGATCTATATTCCATATTGCTATTGATACAAATTTACTGTTTGAAATGGCACTTCACTTCCTTCCTCCTACTTATCTAATTCTATATACTGATGATACTAATTCATAAATTTTTTGTTCAAACTTCATTAGCATACTTGGGTACCTGCCTACATACTTACTTCTTGCAATAGGTAAATATTTTCCCAGCATGCTTTGCGTTTCTGATATTAATATCAATATACATTGAAATTCGAGGAAGAATTCACATTGCAATTTGCATGAAGCATTATGTATGTTTTATCATTTTGAATGGCCATTATATTTTTTTTTTTGGTAAGCCCTGCCAGGCTGCCCTACCTGTGTCTCCAATTTGCATTTCAATTTGCTGGAAATAAAGGATGATGAATTTGAATGGTGATGGTCTACATTTTATTCAAAAGCTTTGCCAGTGTGTGTCTACATTAAGTCTTGAAATGAAGTGAATAAAAATATTTTGTGCTATTCCACCTCTGGGCTGCCCTTTGCTTGATGAATCTTTGTTAAATTCAACTGTCAACATAATTTCTGCATGGACCTTTAAATTATTGAGGCTAGTGGTCATGGATGCCTAAATCAATATATATATATATATATATATATATATATATATATATATATATATATATATATATATATATATATATATATATATATATATATATATATATATATATATATATATATATATATATATACATATATATATATATATATATATATATATATATATATATATATATATATATATATATATATATATATATATATATATATATATATATATATGTTACAGGCAATGTGTGGAATCAGGCATTCTATAGAATGCCTAGGCATTCTATAGAATGCCTGACCGACCAGGCATTCTATAGAATCCCTAGGTATTCTATAGAATGCCTGACCCACCAGGGATTCTATAGAATCCCTAGGCGTTCTATAGAATGCCTGATTTTCAGGCATTCTATAGAATGCCTAGGAAATACCTACATACACGAATCTTTCCAACACATTAGGTAGTGTAGGTATGCTGTATAATATTATGAGCACAGACCGATATGTAACATTATTATTTTCTGCCAGGCTACCTTGCGATCAGCTATTTATGTTCATTCAGTCAAATGTTCATTCAGTCATTCATGTTCATTCAGTCAAATTTTCCGGTCAGGTATCCAATCTAACCTTATTAGGTCAAATTGTATCAGGATAGTATTTATCTTAACGCTAGAAAGACGATGGTGGTTATGTCAATATCGGAAACGTCTTTGGTAAAAAATTACACAGAAAAAAAGTTTGACAAATCGTCCATTTTTATAGGTGTTTTCCTTCTAAGGAATTGATTTAAGGTCAAACTGGAGAAAACGGCTAGGAGCCAAAAATCGACAAAAATTGGCCTGACCTAAAATGGCTCAGCTATTTGTTTTAGACATGGCATCCTTTGGAACATTGCCAAAGAAGAACTGGAGTAAAATTTCATAATTTTGACATTTCGAATACCGCATGGCCCAGAAGTCAAGCTGGAAGGGGAGGTCGAACAACACCTAATCCGGCTCTTGTTACGGCCGGGCCACCGCCCGGACGTGGAAAAATGAACCATTTATTCAGGTTATTCCTTGACATTACAGTGAAGGTTGAGCTGTCCATGTATATTGAAAGTCGTTACACAAAGTGCTTATGACGACATAAAATGTGACCTTTTGCTATATTCTTCGCCTTCATTTCTAACATCAGAACAAAGCCATCGTCATTCGCGCAATCACTTTCGATTCAAGCCTTACGGTCCACCCTCCCAGCCAACACCCTTCTAATGCAGCTTCGTATCTGCAGCAGCATAATCCTCCGAGGGTAACCGTTTAAGCGACTGGTTGGCCTGTGGCTCTCCCGCGTGCCTTGCGCCGTGGCTCTCCTGTGCCAACGGGATTGGATCAGTTGCTGCTTGCGGCGCACCATTTGGTGGTCGGCAATCGGCATAGCCCAATTTCTCCCTCGCTTCCTCTCAACTCATTGCCCTGAAATGGTGTGAGGTGACGACCGGCCTAGGCCAACAAAGAAAATAAGGTAAACAAATAGCATTACTGCCACTGACCCCTAATTTTCGAAGTGTGTTTCGGACAATCAAAATACTTAGGCATTCTATAGAATGCCTGGGAGCTTAAAGGGACACTCCCACCTTAACATTAGTTTTTAGTTGAGATAGCCAAATTGGTGGCCATGGCCTGCAAATACCGGTTTGGGCACTCACAACATCGACAAATGCTTTAATTCGGAGATATGGAATTTCAAACTTGCAGTTTTCGGATTCTAAGGGGCTAGTGCATTGGTATGCCCCCTTAGAATTTGTGACGTCAGCGGAGATCTAACGATTTTTAAATCTTTTACTAAAACGTTTGGTAGCACGCGGTGGTATATGCTGCTTTGCGCGCAACAAATGCCGCACTTTCAAATAAAGTCGCTAGGAACAGCGGAGATCCCAAAAAGTAAACAAAAGTAAAAGTGTAATATCTTGAAAACCGGTGAATATTTTTGGATGAAATTTGGTAGATATTCGTTTTCGCTCTTTCTGAACCGAGCGACATCACTTTCGTGCCAATTCATTAACTTTTTTGAAGGTGGGAGGGTCCCTTTAACCCGCGCCCTGGTGGGGTCTGTTTATAACGCGACCTGGTGGGGGGGGGGGGCTATTTTTTGCCCCCCCCCCCTCGTATCTCCGAAACTACTGGACGGATCCGCAAAATTCAAACGGCGTTCGAAAGGTCTGTCAAATTTGTCGAGGGAAACCAAGTTTCATTGACCTCGGGGTCACCGATGACGTCACAGGTCAGGTCAAAGATGACATGTTTCACCGTTCACGGGTCATCTAGGGAATGCGCTATAACACCGAATAAAACGCATCTTGTCGAGATTCAGCGATAGGGCGTCAGTTGCCTAGTAGATATGTTGCTATTAGAGGTCACTGACAATACCAGGTCAGGTCACAGGTCAGGTCACCAAGGGTCACAGGTCAGGTCACATGAGCCCAACTTTACTAAGGTTGTGTGATGCATGTTTTATGGCCAATTTTTCATTTCCAACTCAATGGTGTTGGTTATAAGACTATCAGGTATGGCTTAGGTCACTTTCTGGTGAAGTTCAGGTCAAGGTTAGGTCAAGGTCAGGCCAAAAAAGGTCAAATTTTAAAGTTGATATTTTTGCATTAAATGGGTATTGATTCGATGCAGCTCATCACGGGGAGTCTAATGGTGGTCTTTGTTTTGCGCTACGGGGTCTAGAATTGCTAAAAATTGAGTTTGAAAATTTGACGTCATCAATTTTGAACAGTTTTTTCGCTGTAACTTCGCCAAAAAAGAGGTATCAATCTAAAATTTGGTATGTGGATGGAAGGCGGTAAGGACTTTCACATATATTCCGGTTTTTGCGAAATTAAAAAAACTTTTTGGATCTTTCGATGATTATATCCAAAAAAATTATTTTTGATTTTTGGGGGTCAAAATCCAAAAATTTAAAAAATCTGAGATAGCAGTTTTGTAGCCCTGTCGATTCTACAGCTTTTATGTTCTTATCATTTTTCTGTATTTGCAAAGCTATAGGCCTGACAACTCTTCCCGCGAAACCCTTTTTTGGGTCGAAAACGGCAGAACATGACGTCACTCTTACGTCATTTCCGGCCAACCTATCATAGCCTTTGGGAAAAAATTTTTGGTCACAATGTGTAAAATTGATGTCCGGGAGGGTACTGAAAGTTTGGTGACGATCGGCGCAGCGGTTCTGGAGATATATCGAAAAGTCTAGAGGGGGGGGGGGGCAAAAAATAGCCCCCCCCCCACCAGGTCGCGGGTTAAGCCAGGCATTCTATAGAATGCCTAAGCACTAAGCAGTCAGGGATTCTATAGAATGCCTGGTCGGCCTGGTCTGATTCCACACATTGCCTGTAACATATATATATATATATATATATATATATATATATATATATATATATATATATATATATATATATATATATATATATATCTATATATATATATATCTATATATATCTATATATATATATATATATATATAGATATATCTATATATATATACATATATATATATATATATATATATATATATATATATATATATATATATATATATATATATATATATATATATATATATATATATATATATATATATATATATATATATATATATATACATATATATATATATATATATATATATATATATATTTTGTTATCAGGCACTATGCAGCTTATCATCTGGGGTACCTATTATGTCCAGAGGCCTGTGACCTGAATGGCCATTATATTTATTTGTGCACTCCCAGCCCACCATTGTTTTTTTATCATTGACCAACTCCATGCTGATATAGTCAATGCAGTTCACATTAACGGGCCAAGAAGTGCTGGCAAATGGCTTAAATATTATCATGCTGATAAAACAACATTGAACTGTACTCTATTTTTTTTTTTAAACATGGGGATGCATTAGATTCTTAAAGGGACCATCCCACCTTAACATTAGTTTTGAGTTGAGATAGACAAATTGGTGGCCATGGTCTGCAAATACCGGTTTGGGCACTCACAACATCGAAAAATGCTTTAATTCGGAGATATTGAATTTCAAACTTGCAGTTTTCGGATTCTAAGGGGCTAATGCATTGAGATGCCCCCTTAGAATTTGTGACGTCAGCGGTGATCTAACGATTTTAAAACCTTATACTAACATCTTTGTAAAGCAGTGGTGGTATATGCTATTTGCGCGCAACATCTGCCGCGAACGCCGCACTTCCAAAATGAAGTCGCTAGGAACAGCGGAGATCCCAAAAAAGTAAACAAAAGTAAAAGTCTAATATCTTGAAAACCGGTGAATATTTTTCGGTGAAATTTGGTAGATATTCGTTTTTGCTCTTTCTGAATCGAGCGACATCACTTTCATGCCAATTCATTAACTTTTTTGAAGGTGGGAGGGTCCCTTTAACTCAAATGGTTTTGAGTTAAATATGTTATGTTAGCATCATTTATCATTTGTTTTGCTATGAAGTATGATGCTAATATACTGCATTTATTAATTACTAGTCAGTATTAGGTAAGTTAGCTACCTTTTCACCAAAATGTGAATTAGTAGTTAAATTGAATTCCATTGTATTGGTTTTCCTGTAAGAAAACAGAAATAATTAATAACTATTTCCTTGTGATGATTTAGCTGCATAATACCTACATACAATCTGCATACCTACATATTGCTAATGGGTGAGTGGTGAAAGAGGCCCAGACTTGTTGGAAACATGGCAAACACAGAGCCAGTAATGGCGAGTGAGCTTTGATAGTTTGATTTGCACTCCTCTTGTTGCATACAGCTTACACTTGAATATTTCACCATTATATCTGTAACCAAGAAGACTAGAACCAAATAGCACTATGTAAAAAAGACAGAGTCATTTTTTGAAACATGGTGATGTTGGTATGTCTAATCTGTTCTTTCAGGGAAAGACTACAAGCTCTAAAGGCTGAAACAGACTCTTTCCGCGTTCAGGAAATCGCATGCGAGAGCCTATTCAAATACATTATAATTCTTCCCACATCAATCGCATCCGGGAGGTGCGTGCGATTGATGCGAGCGTGCTTCCACGTATTTGAATAGGCTCTCGCATGCGATTTCCTGACTGCGGAAAGAGTCTGTTTCAGGCATAAGTATGCCCCTTTCTTATTACAGCACTGAAGATGGATTGTGAAGGATCTATCAGGTCGTCATTGAAATGGATCCACATATTAATTGATAGAAGTGAAAATATCACTCATTTTACCTCCTTTAGTTGTCATTTTTCGTGACTTACTGGCTTGTGAGCAGTTCTGGGCTATTTATTCAAGCCAACAGTGCCCAAATTGAAGGTGTCATTAATGATGCAATATTTAGGATGGCATATTTCTAACTAGTCCCAGTGTTTTGCAACATTTAAGATGTCTGTGCTCTTGTAAAGCAGACAGCAATGCAGGAGTTGAATGAATTTATTTCACAATGAAATCTTTAGAAACTGGTTTGTCCTACTCAGGTTTTAATTTTCAGTTTATTTTGTGTTGACCAGCAATGCCAGTTCGCTGGTTTGTTGACTGTTGCTGATGAGATTGGTAATGCCCACTGTCCACAGGCCGATTAGCGACCTACCAGTGGGCTCTCGAGGCGCGCCATGCCTCCCAAGAAGAAGGGTCGCAAGAAGGAGCAGCCGCCGCTGTCCGTGCAGGGCCTGCTGCACCTGGAGGCCTCGTTCGTGGCCCCCACGGACGGCGTCACGCTGGCCACCGTCGCGCCCGGCTCGTGCTACGGCTACGGGGAGGGGGCGGGACACATCCCCGCGGAGGCCGAGACGGACCCGGCGGCCGGCCCGCTGCCCGGACCGCACGGCGACTCGCCGGTGGCCGCGGCCGGACCGCCGCCGCCGCCAGCAGACCAGCCGCCCACAGGGATCCCTAACGGAGAGATACCGGTGCCGCCGCCGCCGCTACCGCCGGCGACCCTCGCACAGCCGCCGCTGCCGCCGTCCCACCCGAACGGACCCGGCGCTCATGGTCAGCCGGAGTTTGCGGCGAGCGGTGGGGCTGGGGATGCTGCGCCGCCTGCAGCGATCGTCCCCAACGGACACCCTACCGCTGTGAGCGGCGGGGCTCCCCACCCGCCGGCCTCCCAGTTGGCCCCGCAGACCGGCCTGCTCCCGCCACTGGCAGCCGCCCCGGTGTCTGAGATCCCGACCCCGACCGCCACAGTCGGCCAGGCGGTGATCCGCGCCGCTCCCGCCCTGCTCCCGCCTCCTCCCCCGCCGCCGCTGCCACCTCCGCTGCCGGAGGACCTCAGCGGCGGCGGCATGGACGCGGCCAGTGCCGTGGTGTCTGGAGAGCTCAGCACTCGACAGCTAGTGGCAGCCGCGGCGGCGGCGGCCGACCCGTCGGGCCACTGGTGCAGCGGCGCTCAGCACCCGCAGGCCGCCCCCGCCCCCGCCCCTGCCGCCGCCCCCGCAGCGGTCACGGCGCCGCCCGCGGAGCCCCATCCCGAGTCGACGGCTGCCGACGGGCTGCTGCAGCACTACTGGCAGTTTGTGCGGGAGAACCAGTACGACTTCAACGGCTGGACCTACCTGCTGCAGCACGTCGAGAAACAGGTAACCAAACTTGGGAGATGTCCGGCTTGGGTAACAGCTCCTCTTGGCTGCCCTGGGATCTTGACAAATGTCATGCGGCTCGAGCATCCTTTTAACGAATATTGGACCGCTCTACGTTTTTGGCTGTCTATTATATGACCGTCACTCGGGCGCCTTTTCAGACGAACCTGGATGCGATTCGGGCGGTGTATAACGCGTTCCTGCCTCTCTATCCGTACTGCTACGCCTACTGGAAAAAGTACGCCGAACTGGAGCAGCGCAGCGGATATGCAGACAGGTGAGTTTCTCCTCTTTGCTGCTCTGGCTCTCCTCTCTGTCGCTTTGTCTTTCTGTTGATATCTGTACAATCTGTTCTCCTTTCTATTCTCATTGATCGTTCCTTCATTTCTCGTGCTTTTCTGTTTTTTTTTTTTTTTACGATTCATGTTTGTTTTTTGCGACCTGTCCGTGGTTGACGGTTGCTAAATAGAAGTTCCATTGACGTGCGCTGCTGCCGCTGTCTCAGGGCGCGTCAGATCCTGGAGCGGGCCGTGCGCGCCATTCCGCTATCTGTGGACCTGTGGATGTGCCTGCTGAACCTCGTCAGGGAAATGGTCAAAGGACAGAAGACGGCACAGGAGCAGACCAGAGAGTGAGTGCCAGAACGACAGGCAGACCGGGGTCTGACTGGGAATTGGGGTGGGGTTTGGGGTGTATCGAATGTGAACGGGATATTGTGGGGTAGCGTGTGGGGTAAGTCATGAAGTGTTTACACTTTCCCATGACAATTTGGATTGCTTGCACTTTTTCGGGTGTATGGCAGACTCAAACATCTAGGATGGTTGATATTATTATCGGTAAGACCGATTCGAACTAGCTTTATCACCAGAGAAGTCGTAATTAGCTTTCTGAAACGATGCTATTCGACATTGATAAGATGTTATACAGTGAGTCTCGTGTCCGTGTTTTTGGAACACAGGATGAGAGTCCGTTTTCCTTTATTCCCCCAGGCTGTGTGAGCGGGCGGTGCGCTCGGCGGGCTCCCAGTTTCGCTCAGACGCCCTCTGGGAGTGTGTTATCCAGTGGGAGGCGAGCCAAAGCACACTGAGCGGCGTCACTGCCATCTACCGGCGGCTGCTGAAAATACCCACGCGGCTCTACAACCGACACTGGGACAAGTGAGTCTGGTTGTTGTTGTTGCTCTGAACGTTTCAGTTAGCCGGTAATGCCGCTGGTCCTGACTTAACAATGCGTGCATGAATTTGAAATATCGAAAGCGTCACTACATCGGATTGTTTTCTCCGCCACTCACCGCTGTGCCCCGCCCTCGGTGTGCAGTTTTCTGCAGCACGTGCGTGACTACCACCCCCGGGACATCCTGGAGCGGGACGAGTACATGGCTCTGCGGCGCCAGTGCTGCATCGACCTGGACATGGCCTACCGGGAGGAGCCCGCCTTCGAGCTGCCCGAGCCCGTCAAGGTGAACTACGGCGGAGAGCGACGGGTGTCGGTCGTGGTCGGGAAACAACTGACTGATGCTCGCTAATCTTTTAACAGCACACTTGTCGGTGGCCTTTCATAAGCTGAATGATATTACGTTTATTGTCGTAGGATTTATATTGTCCAAATTCATGTATTCAATTTGCGTTGTGGATGGTTAAATGGTGTTCTTTCTGGCAAAGCAAATATGTTTCTGTTTGTTATAAGTTATCACTCGGCTGTGTGGCGCCTGGAACCCCAATCATCACTTCGCTGTGTATAAACTCACCCGCCCATCGCAGCCGGACCGCAACTGACTCCTCCTCCTCCGTCCCTCTCAGACGCCAAAGCCCGAGGTGAAGCTGATCAGCGCCATCAAGGAGAAACTGGTGGCCGACATGGTCGCCGTCCACGAACAAACGGAGAAGAGGGTGGAGAAACGCTGGAAACTCGAGGACAAGGTTAGGATGCGTCGTGTGCTGCTGGGTAGCTATTGAAAAAAAACCTTCGCTGCAGTTTGGTAGTTTATTATTGGTTGTTGACGTACTTTGCAAGCATCCTTTTTTAGCGTATACGTTTTTGTTTTATCATTTTTGGATGGTGCGTGATGCTTAATCCTTGTCATATACCCAAATTAGCATTTTATTACCTTAACTACCGCTATGATCACATTGAGTGTCGTCCCTTGTCTGTAGATCAAGCGGCCGTACTTCCACGTGATCCCGCTGGACAAGCGGCAGCTGCGCGCCTGGCGCGAGTACCTGGAGCTGGAGGCGGCTGACGGCGACCACCACTCGCTGGTACAGCTCTACGAGCGCTGTCTGATCTCCTGCGCCCAGTACGAGGAGTTCTGGATGCAGTACGCCCGGTACCTGGAGCGACAACTGCCGACGGCCGGCGGCAAGGATAAACCTCAGACCTCCGCCGCGGCTGGGTCGACCGGCGCCCCGTCTGCCCCGCCTGCTGCGGCGGCCGGCGCGGCCGATGACGCCGCCGTGCAGCGGCTGCTGACGGCCGACCAGTCGGGACGCGCCGGCGCCCCCTCCTTCGAGACCGAGTCGCAGCAGCTGCCGGAGGAGCGGTCCGACGTCGGCGCCGGTTTCACGCCGCTCGAGGACCCGGCCGACGCCGTGCGGGAGGTGTACAAGCGCGCCTGTCTGGTGCACTGTCCCACCAAGCCCAACGTGCGCATGCAGTGGGCGGCGTTCGAGGAGAGCGTTGGTGAGACCCCGCCCTTGATGGTCGGTGGGCGGGTGGCGTTGGGGCGGTGGGACTGTCATTATACTCAACGGATGAGGGAATTTGGAAGAGTGTACTGTTATTAATTAGGTTCAGGATGGTGCTGCTTGAGTTAGATGTTACATCAGCGTAACGTTTGCAACAAGCTTTGCTGCTGGTAATTGGCATGTGCCATTGCATGGTTGCTCCGCTGCCATGTAGCCGCCGTTTGTACTCGTATTTCTCCCTACCCTCCGTGTCCGTCGTGCCGTGCCGTGCGATGGTTGACCAGATGTCTGCGGCGCTGATGTGGTGGTCTGATTTCAGAGCTCGGCACCCGGTGCCGGTCCGTCCGGAGCCCGTAATACCGTAATGGCTGTGTATGCGGGGTACCGGGGAGGGTGGGTCGCGTCTCCGAGTAACTCCGCGCCTGTCCCCGTCCCGGGGCCGAGGTCCGGTCGGCCAGGGCGGCTACACGGGCCGCACAGGCTGTCCACAGGCTGCCGGGTCTTCCTGAGCCACGGGCAGACCTGTGCGCCCAGCCGCGCCGACCAGTACAACTTTCTTTGGTCTAAATCAGACATACCTTGAAAATATCCTACATTCAAGCACTTCTGCGTTCGAGCTAAAGATCTGAACCAAAGATGATAGGAATTCCTCGTCGAGTGGCATCAGATAGCTGCCGCGTCGACATCCATATATTAGCTGCTTTTGCCGTCCCGGATCATTTCAGCTAAACATCCCCTTTCCTCCATCACAATCCTTGCAGTTTTCCCACCTCACCACAGGCGCAGCGTTACGAGGTGAGCTGCCCAACTGGAACTGGCAAACACTGCTATTGGGACTGTATGGGCCAGGCTCTGCTCACCGCTGATACACATTGCAGCGGCGGCTTCTAAAGAAGAGCGCTGCTAAATTTATATTTATGCAAAACGGTAATTAAAACTTTGTACGTCATCTGCGGCTCCCGTAGATCCGCCCGCTGCAATGGTCACCGGTGTGCCGTCTGTCCTCCGTCAGTCCGGCGGCGCTGAGGGCGCGGCGCGTCCCTGACCTCCCACCCCCGGCAGGCCACGCGGGCACGGCCGTGCAGCTGCTCGGCCAAGTACTGGCCAGTTTCCCGGCGGCCGTACGGCCGTGGCTGCAGCTAATCGGACTCGAGCGGCGGCGGAATAACCTGGATGAGTGCAGTCGGCTGTACACGGAGGCGGCGGCAGCGGCGCCCCAAGAGCTGCGCACCTGGTGGGCCATGAAACACGCCCGGTTCGCCTTCAAGGTGAGGCGACTGGGAGCGAACAGAATGTGTGGTGAATAGAGTGACTATGTTTGGAACTCGAGCCATGTTATGGAAAATGTGGTGGAAAAGGTATTGAGGCATAGCATAATGATTTTGCGGAATACAACAAACCTGGTTCCATTGTTTCAATTATACCTACTATAACTTGCTCTCGCTTTTTCAGATTCTGAACAAACCTGACAAGGCGCTGGGTATCCTACGCACTGCCGTAAAGAATGACCGCTCCAACGCGCGTCTGTACCTGCACATTCTGGACGTGTGCTACCAGCGGCACCCGGTGGACGTCAGGTGAGCGAGGATAGACGACAGCTCTACATTCTACAGCGCATCCTTCTGGGGATATTGGGTCACCAAGCTCGGCTCCTTGCGTGACTTGCGTTAGATGAGTTGCGATGTAATTGTTCTTTTGCATCCCTGTAAGTATGTGTTTTTGGATTTGTCTCTTACCAACTTTTAGCCCAAGTATGTCTGTCTGTTTCGTCCTGACGCCCGGTGATCTCTCTCCTGACAGGGGTGTGAGCGCCGCGCTCACTCTAGCGCTCAACAGCAAGGATCTCTCCGCTCGCGACAAGCTCGGCTTCCGCCGGAAGCGGGTGGAGTTTTTCGAGGAGTTCGGCTGTCTGTCCCAGCTGCGGACCGCGGAGGAGGAGCTGGAGAGTGAGGAACGCGCGCTGCTCGCCGCCGAAAAGAAACTCGCCCGGCAGCAGGAGAAGGAGCAGGAGCGACTGGAGCGGGAGCAGCAGGAGCGGGAACAGCAGGAGCAGGAGCAGCGCGAGAAGGAGCAGGCCAAGGCGGGAGCCAAGCGCAAGAGCAAGGGCAAGATGGACCCGACGCCGCCGCCGCCACTGCCAGAGAAAAAGCCGGAGAATGAGGCCGGTGAGTTCTACAGCGGGCGGGCACAGAGATATGATCCGTTTGCTATCAAACTCAACCTCGGTATTTCCCAGTGATAATAATGCTATCCAATTATGACTGCCCCACCGCTGTTGCCGCTTCCCCAGCTAAGGCAGTCCCCGTGTTCCGACTGATCCCTGGTTTTCTTCCTCTAGGTGAGTTGGCTCCGGTGACGACGGTGACCACTCCGTGTCCCAACTGCGGCTGGAACGGCTCGGCAGGCGCTGCAGCGGCGGCGGATCAGACTGCCGCTGCCGCCCCCGCCGCCGAGCCGCCGGCCGTATACGACCAGGTGCCGCCCACGTGGGACCTCACAATGAGCACACAGGCCTACGGGTGAGTCGAACGATACACTCGCGGATGGATAGTCGTGAAGTTGCCTGTGAACCGTACTATACGTGTTATTCATACGGATAAGATACCTAGGTCAAGGCCGCCTTATCGTTCCGTATTTCAGTTGAAGGATCCTGCCATCCCATTTATTGTATGTATAGAATGTGTGACATTCTGCTCGTTGTCTTTGCATGGAATGTATGTTCTTCCGTCTTTTTATTTCGTCTACCGTGACAACACTGCACTGTACAGTGTGCACAGTACCACCTGCTACTCTGTAACGATGCTCCTTTTTCCGCCTAGGTACGGCAACGACCCGCAGTACAAGTGGTTCCAGGAGCGCGGCTACCGGGAGTACTCGGCCCGCGAGGCCGGCGGCTACCCCGCCTCGCTGCTCGACCCCGTATCCTCTGACGAGGAGTCCTCTCAGGAGCCGCCTCAGGCCAAACGGAGAGTCCTGCTGCCCGACCCGGTGGTGGTGGGGAATCAAATCGTCACCAGGGACGGACGGAGGTCAGTGGGGGTCGCTGGGGTCGAACGGGGGTCAGTGGGGATGGACGGAGGTCAGTGGGGATCTGAGGACGGACGGAGCCGGAGGTCAGTGGGGAGGGGTCACTGGGGTTAAACGGAGGTCAGTTGGGGTCAGAAGGATGTAAGTGTGGATGAATGCTTAGTCAGGGGGCGAATGAAAGCCAGTGGGGTGAGAGGTTACTACAGATGGACGAAAGTCAAGGTTCATTGGGGCGAACAGGGGTCAGGTCAGGTCTAGTTGGATGTGTAGCCCACTCGCCCCGTTCTGCTGTAACCCCGAGCCTGGCTCGCTGTGTGTGTCAGGGTGCCGCGGTATGTGATCCAGCCCCGGGCCCCGACTCTGAGGCCGATGGGCCGGCCGGGCGGACAGATGGCCGTGGAACAGCCCACCGACGCGCCCGGACAGCAGGAGCCGCAGCGGCGTATCCCGCAGGTAGGAAAGGAGGAGGGGAGGAGGGTCAGAGCGCCGGCACAGGAGCCGCAGCGGCGCATACCGCAGGTGCGTCAGGGCATGAAAACCCCGTTGCAGGAGAGCTAGGATAATGTGACGGGAACTTTTAAATGGAAACTTGTATTGGATACTCGGCTACTCTCTGAACAACTCATTACCCGATCAGACCCTGTGGTGGAGGTTGCCTATGACCCTGTGTGACGCTCCTCTATGCTCCCTCCGTCAGCTGGCGCGCCTTCCGACGCCGCTGATGCAGGACAGCCAGTGTACCAACGTGCCAGACTGGCTGGTCAACGAGGGAGGCGAGCTGCTGCTCTCTGAGACAGAGAACGGGCCGTCCCGCATCCGCTACTGGCCCAACTTCATGAACAGGAGGGGCGTCATGGTAATTATGGCGACACACGGGACACGCAGGGACTGTGCTCTGGTTGGTGGAGAGGATTCGGATTTGTTTATGATGTGTTGGATTACTCTGATAAGTGCAAAGTTACGAGTAACGACCTACAGGGTGTCCCATAAGTTCGTTCTCACCTAAATTTTACGTTTTTAGGCTCTCTTGCTTAAAGGCACGCTGAAATTGGTTCGTAACTGAGCTTACGTGGTTGCCATGGCTGGTAGAAATATGCTCCACAGTAGCTAATTTCTGTAGACAAAATAGTTTTTGCTATAGAGCCCGCTTCCTACAGAGACGGCTAACGCCGCAACATAGAGGTCTCCGATACGGGTACGTCTCAGTATTTAGTCAGCACGTGACCATTCGCGACGATTGAGGGTGATTGAGGCCTACCAGTCTGTAGCCAATGTCCATCGCTAACTGGACGCACAGTCAGCAAGTGACACCGATGATTTGTCGGGAGTCAGTCACTGCAAGTTTATCCTCTTTCCAGTCAGCCCTCAGGAGTGAGCCAAGTGGCCAAAACTGTGTGGCGCCAAAGTGGCCATCAAAAAGGTCAAAGGGTTACAAAGTTTGTAAGCAGACTTTTCAGGATGGATTACCAGCTGTCTAAGAGTGTTCTTTCGGGGTACATAACTCAAGGTGACTTAAGCTTTGCTTACCGGAGGACTCAAAACAGTCAAAAACGTCTTAAAATGGCCAAACATGAGTTTCGTTATGCCTGAGGCTAAACAAAACAGAGGGCTGATGACATCAACTAGGTCATCAGGACTAACTAGTCCACGTTCGAAAGGAAACACCCGTCCAAACCCGAAAACAACCCCATAAGGGCGAAGGAGGAGGCCTCCGTTTCGTCCCGTTATGTTCTTATGCAAAAGGTCAGGGTCACTGTGTTGTGGGATTATAGGCGTTCTGGAGTTGAACAAGTTGCAAGTGGCAACCCAGAAACAGTTTTGGGAAGCAGAATGCTTTTCCAAGAACATCTAGGAGGAGTTTCAGCCCTCAAGCTGAACTCGAACCGCGAGTATGAACATATTTATAGAGGAGAAAATGGCATCCGGGAGGTCGTAGGCCCATCTTCAGGCAAGACAGTGCATCAGTGCACAGGTCAAGCAAAGCTTAAAAGCGGTGCAAGGAGACTGTGACAGGCATTTGTGGCAAGATCACATGCCAGGCACCTCATTGGATCAAAATTTCATAAAAATTTGTTGGTTATGCTGAAATTGAGGCTCGTCGAAGCGTAGCGCTGTTCCAGCCTCGAGGAGCTCACGGCGCATGTCAAGTCAGTCTGGGTTAACTTTAAGCCTACTATGCAGCCAAACATGCCGGTTGGCATGCTGCAGCATGTATTCATGTGTTTGCCTATTAAGAGGAGCCTATTGAGGGGTCATTCATAAATATATTAAAACGCAATGTACTCTGTTTCACATGCAAACATAATGTGAGAACGAACTTATGGGACACCCTGTACATTGAATTGGTGAAAACCCTCTGCAGTTTGATGGCGCTTGGTAGCCTACCTGTGCTCTAGCGCCCAACCAAAAGCTCTAGCAACACACACACCCTGCGGTTTGCCTTATATCTGGCCTCATAATGAGCGCCGTACGCCGAGAAGTTTTGCTCCTTAAACAAACATCGTTCAATGTTTACCTCATTTCATTACCTCACTCGACCCATGATAAGCCAGGTCACCGTCCCCCCCCCCCCCCCTGTCGCGCACAGCGAATGTTCCAGACACTGCGCCGGTACGTCAAGTGGCACCAGACGCGCCAGGTGGCGGCCGATGGACGGTTCGTGGCACTGAAGCGACTGGTGGCCTGGTTTGGGCCGTGCGGGCTGGACGAATCCGGCCTGAAGATGCCGTCCAACGACAGCTGGTCGCCCGAGCTGCTGGACCTGCTGCAGAGGTGAGCTGGTGGACCTGCTGGACCTCGAGCTGCTGTAGCATACTGCAGAGCTCATGCAGGGAACTGGCTAGTTAGTACATAGTTACCCAGGCTACAAGAATACATATGCAGCAGATTTGTTACTTGTTTGATCTAATTTAGCTGATACTCTACGCTAGGGTAATATTCTAACTTTAAATTATGCGGATCAACAGTCAAGTAAGGGGTAAAATCAATAATCAAGCTAAGTAACTATGCTACACTCGCAATAATTTCTTCTACCGAATCGCAGTAATCGATCTGATCCCGGAACGGCAGATACTATGGAATCCGAAAATGATAAATCTGTCGCCGCCGCCGCCGCCGAAATCTGTTCGCTCTGACCGCCGTCTCTATCCGTCAGCCTGTGCCAGTTCGTGGGCCACGAGTTCAACAGCTGTCACCTGAGCCTGTTCCGCACGGGTAACGACGTACACGAGTGGCACGTGCACGATCAGCCGGCGCTCGGGCGCCACCCCACCATCGCGATCATCTCACTAGGTACGGAAATGATGCGAGGGAGGTCAAAGTGTTGAGCTGGAGATACCGGTAATGTATGCCGAGAAGTTTTGCTCATCAAAAAGCAGAACATCGCACAACTTTTACCTCATTCCCTTACCCTTTTTGACCCATCGATGTGTCGTGTCTTCCGTCCGACAGTACTACTGCTATAGATGTGTGGAATATGAAACCACTTAGAGGAACCATTTAGAGGATTAAAACTTGATCTTGGCGTTTGCTCTGAATATTGCTAATCTGTACAAAGCGTGAGGTTCGTTCGGCCCCTGTACACTCCTCCTATAGTATGTACGTAACCACCGCGCTGCTGCCTGCAGGTGCGATTCGGTGTTTCGAGCTGCGGCAGCTGGGCTGCGAGCGGCCGCGCTTCCTGAGGTTCCCGCTGTTCCCGGGCAGTGTGCTGGTGATGGAGGGCGCCACTCAGCAGGACTGGCAACACCAGGTGAGCTGAAACTCGCCGCACATTGAACGCGCCTTCTCGCTTCACAGGCGCCGTCCCACCTAGTCAATACGCACACTGATATTGCTTTCGAGAACGTTTCTGCTTTCCGCCTGAATGTGTCAACTTGAAAGCTCGAAGTCGTCCCGTCCCACGATTTGGTCAGAAGCTGATGTAACGCACGCTGTGTGTCCGGCAGATCCCTCGCGAGGCTCAGGTGAAGGAGGAGCGAATCGAGCTTCAGTTCCGCGTCATGTACGACTTGAAGGACGCTCCGGGCGCCGGGCGGCCCCGGCTCCGGGAGCCGCCGATGTGAAAAGATTCAATGCTCAGTGACCTCCAACTATCTCACTGCCGGGGTTCTACTCGGGTTTGGCTCGGATTTGACGGCCTCAGTACACCGGTGGTTTCCGTGCGCTGTGTCGGTGACGTGTGGAGGAAGCTGCACGATGTGATTCAGGTCTCGAGATGCTGTGCCACCGTGAGGCGACCAAGAACTGATTACTGTGGGAGGTACCTGACAAGTGACTTGTAACTAGTTACAAAGTTTTCGATAGTCACAGAGGGTGTAAGTGCGCACTTTGCTGCCAGCGATTTGGAACCATTTTGTCATCAGCATTTAGAATGTATTCATGCCATGAGTGCTGAGTTTGCACACCTGCGTGTTTCATGTTGACTGTGACTGCGGGGTGTATCAGAATAGAATTACTCTTTCTGTATTGCTTTTATACCATCCAATTCACCGCTCGTCTCGGTTATCACACCGTTTCACTCGACATTCACAATCCCATGAATTAGCCACCCACCACACACGTGCTCATTTTGCTAAGTGCTCTAGCCATTTGTTGTCGTGCAGGGCGACCCGTGGCGATTGTTCGATACTCTGGGCCGGACAGCGTTTGTAGTGCTGCCCGGATAGACCACTTATTGGCCTCTATTTCGTGGTCGCGTGACTGACAGAGAAGGACGCGTGTGCGACACGGCGCCGGAGAGCCCCGCCGCGCGCAGACGGTCGGCAGATCGGCGCCAGGTCAGCTGGAAACGGTGGTCGGAGGACGGAGGCGCCCCGACCCGCTGGTCCCGTGCTGTTTGGTGGGGGATGGCGGAAATCGACGCCAGTTCGGAGCGGTGTGAAAGCCGTGAGAAAGTGAGCTGCTGACACGAAATCGCGACAACGGTGATGGACTGGGAGGTGGTGTAGTGTTGAATCTCGCCGACTGATTGGTGGGTGGGGTTGGTTTACGCATCAGCCCAGGCCCAGTGTCTGGATCTGAACGGGCACCGATGGCGGACACTCAGCGATGGCTGGACAACCGGCGCATGTCGGTCAACCCGTTCCAGTGGCTCCAGCCCGTGGACTACTCGTTCCTCCGACTGGCGGCGTTCAATGGTAAGCTAAAACCATTTCCAACAGACCGAAGAATAATGAAATAAGAAGTTCAAATGTCTCAAAGAACTCTTGTCAAATTCTATATGTGTTTAGCACAGGATCGTAACATGCTTGAGCGTCTATCCCAATTTGTTTTGTACCAAACTGAAACTTGTCCTATTTTACTATTCGCCCGTCACTAAGGCTTCTTTCACCAATCAGCCACTAGGACTAGGGCCGAAAGCTTCTTCGCGTAGTCATGCTACATCCTATCGTCCAGTCGTTCCCTCATCCCGCCCGTCCGTCTCTGCGCCGCCAGAGGTGGAGGGCGAGGACCCGCGCACGGACGCCCACTGTCCGCGCGTGGACCCCGATACGGGCCGCTTCATCGCCAGCACGGTGCGCTTCAACAACAACCACATCACCGAGCTGCCGGGCCTGCGCGCCACGCTCGACGCGCTGCTCTTCGACCGCAACATGCTCACCTGGCTCGACCTCTCCTTCAACGGCATCGGCGCCGTCGACGACAACCTCACCTCGCTCACCAGTCTGAAGGTGCTCTACTTCCACGCCAACCAGCTGACCAGCCTGCAGGATGTGGCCAAGCTGGCCGCGCTGACGCAGCTCACCTCTCTAACGCTGCACGGAAACCCGCTGGAGGAGGCGACGCCGCGGTACCGGACGCGCGTGCTGCTGCTGCTGCCCGGGCTGCGGAGACTGGACTTCAGCAGTGTGACGCGACGGGACAGAGCCATCTGTCAGTACCATATGCTGCCCAAGCCGAGACAGCGGAAGCAGGCCGAGGATGATGATGACGCCGTGGGGTAAAGCAGAGTGCGAGGATATACGATACGAAACGTGCGAGACGAGTGATATACGACTACCATACTGGTATTGTTCCGTGGCGGAGCCGAGTGTGATGTGTCTACAATTTACAAATTGCGCTCCTGTAACAGGATACCGGTAAATTTTACAAATGATGGACGTAAATGGTGGCTCTCGGACACGGCCGCGCCCAAAAATCAACGAAATGCATATGTACAACTAAATTTATGCGAACTCAGTAGCCAGACTTTTGCATGCAATAACATCGCGTCACTGTGTCGACCCAGCACAAGACGCGCATAACAGGTGACCTCCCAGCAAAGGACCTACAATAGACACATTCAATAGAAAAGCATCCAATGACACCAGCTTCAACTTTCATGTAATCCCTCGGCCTCCGCTAGCAGAGGTCAAAGGCCGCGAGCCACCCGTAATGCTCGATTCCTGCCGGGTCCTGATTGGCTGGTCAGCGACGTCACGTGACTGATCTGACCCCGAACAGAGAACAGCGTCGTCAGTGAGTGTGTGATTGGCTGCGGTGCAGGACGCGATGTGAAGTTCGCTGCTGTGCGTCGCGTGCTGTCTACCCTAACGGATTCACACTGCTTCGTGCGAAAAGGTTAGCCAAACGCCGATTGCGTCCATTACAGAACTGTTACAGATCAGCAAGAGTTTATTGTAACACCTTGATAAGTTGTTGGTCCAAAGAGCTTAAGCAGTTAAACCCCAAGCAGTCTTTTATTGTGAAATAATCAAATTTAACGCAATGGAAGAGAATATCTCGTGTAACTGCGGTTCGAACGATGATTGAGCTTGATCTAGTGCTGAGCAATGTCAGAGATACATGGGTTTTGACATTTTCAGTTCCATAGTCATTATTTGGGCGAGTTCTCAGGAGAACACTGCGTTCTACCCGCTCAACGCGAATTATGAACAGTCATTTTCCTTTACGGATTAACAACATCAAGTGAGAAAACACTGATACAAATATGTTCACAAAAACCGCATCCAGCGTACAGTTCACAACTACTAGGTCGTTCAATAAGTAAGGTAAAATCACACGTATTTCAGTCCACATTTGGTGCAACGACACAAAACTAGCAACATATGTTCATTGAAACATTGTCTACAAATTGGCTATAAGCATTTGTTAGCAGGTCTCTTTGGCCAGCCTCCCCAGCCTTCGGAACTGGCACCTACATCCAATCGCCGTTCAGGCGCACACGCTTATCCCAGCACTCCACCCGGCGTGGAAATCCTGCTTGGAAAAACCTTATTGCTATTCCAAAGTCATGTCTTCATTATTTTATTGATTGCCTGATCAGTTCAGATTCCAACGTACACAGCAGGTTTTCCGATGGTCCAAACAGGTTCAAGTGGGACGGCGCCAGATCACGGCTGTGCTTCAGCTTCTGCTAAAGCAAAGCCGATCCCACACTGATGCCTCGTTGGGCGTTCTTCTGTTGTTCAGTGAGCTCTTTCTGCATTAACCTCGTGGTGACCTTGTAAATATCAAACATATCTGATGATGCCTAGAACTGTTTCGACATAACACTTCACCCTGTTAATGAAAGCAGTCACGCGGATGCTTTGGGTCTCCATAATCAGCTCCCCGACGTTACAGTGCCAAGTCCAGAGAGGCCTGCGGGCACTTGTCTACCTGCTCTAGAACTTTGCCTCTTACACTGCTGTGTTCTTGTTGAAATCGTACCAGCTGTTCACCAGCAAGCATTGCTAATGGCAATAGCGTCATCAGGGTCAACTCACTCATTTTGAGGTTAAGTTTGGCTCGTGTGACAAACCGGGGATTTTTAGAACGGAACTCTGCTGCATCAATGTTTTCACACCGACCGTGTTCGGACAATGAGCCAAACTCCTAAAAACAGTTTCGAAGGTTGTGTAGGAAATTGTTAAAAGATTCAGATGGCATATTTGATTTTGCTTGAATACCTCATATGAATTAACTATTATGGTACATTTTACCTTACTTATTGAACGACCTAGTAAATAGCTAATAGCCCACCTGACATCATGACGAAGCCTGGTCCGCTTTTGTCTCGCCCTCCTTTGCCTTCCCTGTGTCCTTCGCGTCGCTGCCCAGCTCAAACTGTTTGAGGTAGTCCAGCTCCATGGGGTGCGTGTTACCCACCACGACCAGTGAGTGCAGTGGCGGCCCGAGGTCCACCTCTGCCATCTCCCTCAGTGTGCAGGCCACCAGTCGCTCCGTGTCTGTTCCCACCCGGGCCAGGCCGACCACGCGCGAGGCGGGCGTCAGGCCTGGGTCGGTCTCGGCGCGGCCGCCCACCGCCTCCAGCAGCTGCGCGGCCGCCACAGACACGCTCATAAAGCGCGGCGGCTCGTAGATTTTCCGCCCCCGCAGCAGGTTCTCGACGCTCTGCTCCTTGACCTTGATGTCGAGCAGGCAGAGCGTGTGTTGCCCGCGCGCCAGGTTGGCGTCGATCCGCTCCACGAAGCTGTCCGGCCGCCAGTCGTCCGTCCAGAACGGGATGGACACGGTCTCCCCGTAGCTGTAGAGCTGCAGGCCGCAGCAGCCCACCGCCGTCATGATGCTGGCGTTGTGCACCACGCGGCACGGCACACCGCGCTCGCGGGCGCGCAGCACCAGGTCGTGGTGCGTAGTGGCCGCGAACGGGTCGCCGACCACCAGCAGCGCCACATCGCGCTCGCCGGCGGCGCTGATCACCGAGTCAAGGCCCTGCTCGACCGTCTCGCGGTCTGCGAGCGTCACCGGCCGGCCGTAGAGCTCCTCGAGCGCCTCGGCGCCGCACGTCAGGATGGAGGTGTACGCCTCCAGGTACACCTCTTCACAGCGGCGCACAATCTCCAAACCCTTGAGGGAGATGTCGCGGGCATCGCCCAGACCCAGGCCGATCAGGTAGAACATCACAGGAGGTGTGATGGGAGGGGGGGGGGGTGTTTCGTCAGTGACAAGCTGCCCACCTCCTGAAACATAGCAAAACATAACGCATCATTACTAGATTTGTTAACCCGCGCACCGACGGGGGGGCGGATATCCGCCCCCCCCCCCTGAGGTTTTTCGCGGATAGCGGGAAAACCGCGGCGCGTAGCGCCGCGAAATTACGCGCCGCGAAATTTGGTATGACTATAACCTCATCAATTTTACATATGGTGTGCAAGTTTGAACCTCCTAACTTTTAAGGTCAGGTCACCAGGTCACTTTGAATGACCCAACCTCAAGTCACTTTTTTGCAACTTTGTCACCGTGCCAGAGCTACAGTAGATGTCGGAGGCCTTTGAAAGTCGCAGGATGTTATTAGGTCATTAGTAGCTACAATTTGTATATCTCGGAATTTTGATGTCGGTGACCTAAGGTCAGGTCAATTTCGCGACCTCCCCATTATAAGTCAATGGGGGAAAATCAACTCCCTGTTTTTACCACTAAAACGGATCGGAATGGCCCCATATACCATACATGACTTCACATACGATCAACCTTCACTACCTTGAGGTCTGTTTTGCTGTTGGGCAGCTGTAAGGTCATGTGACGTCATCAAAGGTCACCAAAGGTTTTTTGCCAATAACTCCTTACAGGAACAAGATACAGCCGCGCGGATGGTCTCATTGTGTTCAGCTCGTCAAGACGCATCGAATGATATACATGATGACCTCGAGGTCACGTGACCTGAGGTCAACCTTTGACCTTGACCTTTCGAGGTCAACATATATATCATTCGATGCGGATTGACGAGAGGATCACGATGATGCCCTTAGTTTGTTCCTATCTTGACTACTTCGAAAGTTATTCGAGAAAAACCCTCTCCATATCTAGCGCCGCCATTTTGACTTTTTCGACCCGTGACGTCATCTTTGACCTGACCTGAAAATGACCTTTGTAAAAATTGTAGACCTTGTCCGTGCGTATCCGATGCCGTTTACCGCTTGTCGCTATCTTGCTTCGTTCTCGAGATCTCAGGGGGGGGCGGTCATCCGCCCCCCCCCCCGTCGGTACTAAGTTGGCGCCAGGCGCAGACCCCCGTCGGTGCGCGGGTTAATAACTAAGGCAAAGAGCAATGAGCAGATACCATGCATAAAATAGCAAAGATTCAGAAAAATACATTTTATGATCATCAAAGTTATTCATTTCCACTGCCGGTGCCAAGCACACACATATGTGGTATACAGAAGACTGGAGAAATGATTTACCATTGGTCCAGATTGTTTTTGTTTATCTAAGGGCTGACAAATGTGAAAAAGCAGAAATCATAACAACCATGCCATATCTTAACACAGTCAGTCAGCACAGCGACACAAAATATTGATCTGCTACCTATTTACAAACATTCAACACCAGTAATTTAGGCAATGATTCATAGCAATTCACTATCATAAGAAATAAACAATGTGGTATTCCAAGATGAGCTGTGAGATTATTGGGAGCCTGCATAGCAGCAACAGTTTATGAAAACCAATTGGTAAAATGACTATGTATTCAAAATAAAAAGCTGTTAAAATAGGAGGAGCTTTTCCAATCTATTGTAGAGTTCCGTCTTGGTCCTGTGGTTGAGCTCAAATGAGCTTAAATATACCACAGTAACTTGCCAGTTGCAATTTAAAGAATTCAAACTATTAGTTCCAAATCAGGAACAGAGCTGGAAGTCCAAACCAAACTTAATTTTTATAGGTAATTTTATAGGTTTATAGGTATAAAGTAGGCATATGGGAAGTGACGAAGTGGGGATTGGAAACTATATCAATTAAGCATACTATGAAATAACAAGAAATAAGTACTTGAAAACAAGATAATTCTTGATCTTGAAGATAACTAAATATGAATGTAGTGAACTTACACTAACATGTTGATGTAGTCTCACTCTCAAGCCTGTATTATTTGGAGAAAAACAAAGAAGCTGGGCCAAAGCCATTACCTTTATCGACCTAGCGAATTCCCACCCTTTGATTCCATCTGATCGGGGTAGGTAGTTCTAATTAAATGAAATACAAATCATTATCTTACCTTCTCGTCGCTGAAGATATATGAGAAAAACAGCCAAAATAATAAATAAATCCAGCGTGTATTTCGTCACTGCTGCGCTGTGTCTGTAACAAGGCAGGCTGCCACAGTACGATATGGCTACCATATTCCTTCATTATTTTTTATTTTGTTTTGAGCTGTATCTTCAACATTAGTTCCCTCATAACAGCTCTACGTTTTGATTCTATCTGCGCAAGCTAGAGACTAGAGTCTGATTTGTAATTCTGGGGCCCCTGAGCTTCATTGACCTCTCTCAGTCGAACGGCCGGGAGCGCCACCAAATGGTTTCTGCCACACTTTTGAAGCTCTGTGTGTGGAATTTTCGTGTCGATTCGTCATCCGAGATGTCCCGATTCCCGAAGCCTGCCTCTGCAAACTAGATCTGGGCTGAATCCGAGGCGAGTTGTAGGTATCTGCGTTGAACCAAGGTTTTTGGGCTCTTTCGACGGACTCTTGTGCGGCCACAGTATTTTGATGCATGGGAGGGTAGACAACGTTGTGCAATAAATATTTTATTTGGCATGGATTGCAAGCGCAATAAGCAATAAAACAGTAAAGCATTCGACGTTATGCTTGATGAACATCCAAACCACAACCGGTGGCAGGTAAACGCTCGCATTTCAAACATAATTGAATAAATTATCACTTATAAATTAACGTAACTAACAATATGCAGTGCAAACGATTATCTATCTATTCAAAATAAATTATTTTAGACACTATAGGTGCCAGTTTTATCATTTCTTGGAAACCATGACTTATGTTCTTCTAGTTCAATTGCCTTTCATACTCTAGCTAAATATAAATGCATATATAAAGACGGACACAATTAAATAAATATCGACAGCGTAGTAGGGCCAGCACACGACCAATGCCATCACAAAACGCGGGCGAACGGCAACATCAAATACAAAACAAATCACCCTCATTTACCTCAGCCAGGACATTTCTTCTTCACACAAACAGATGTCACTTTCGCTATTAACGATTACACAGAAGCCGGCTCAGACGCTAGCAGACCCGTGCGCCTCTCACTTTGTACAGATAAACAAGTAGCATATAAAGTACGACGCTTGGCACATGTAAACAGATGTCCGAAATCACAAACACCACCCGCTCGTCCGGTGGGCCCGGGCCCCGGGTCTGGCGGTCGGTGCCGTGGGCCTCACACTCCAGTCCTGCCGCCCGACCCGTCTGGCCTGACCGGGCTCGGCACGGCACGGCTCTCATACCCAGCCTGTCCCTACGCCTCTTCCCTTACACCATGACACCGTGGGTTCCATTCAGTTTAGCCTCGATGGGAGTGCGCGTGAGGCTGACGGCCCAGGAGTGGCGCTCGGCCAGCGCGGCGGTGTGTTCCGACTCCATCTCTGCCGGCAGCCAGGCCTCCACCACCTGGTACAGCCACAGGAACTCCCGCTGGAGAGATACGGACGAGCACAGGCGTCACAGACGGGCTCAGTGGTAACAGACGGGCGGGAGGAGCACAGGCGTCATAGACGGACTGGAGGAATACAAGCGTAATACTTTGTCGAAGTTACGTCTTACACAATGCAAGAAAGAACAGAAGATGATTCAACGTTAATTGCGAATGACACAAGTGTCACAAAACGTCAAACGCGATATGAAACGTCCATCCGGGAACACAATCAAATAACAGAATGCCTACGGATCGATCATGGATTAGGTATTCCATGAATTAGGAATACTTCGTCCATGGATCGATCGAGATCGGATTAGATTATGAAATTTGGACACTGTGTTGGCCTGCAAAACGTCAAGAAAACTCCAAGCGCCGTCTTTTCCCATAAGCTTGGCATGATATGAAGGTGGACTTACCATAGTTTTCCAGCAGCCGGGCCGCCGTTGATGGTAGAGCTTGGCGTAGGTGAATATGTCGAACTGAGGCTGGTACTGGAGCTGACGAAGTACAGAGCTCAACACGCAGAACATGACGCCCTCAGTGCCGCCGTTCCTGCGGGCCGGACAGAACGCAATTACAAACAAGTCTTGCCTAAAAATAAGACGGGACGCATATTTAACATCCCCGAAACCTGATTTTTTTTGTAAATATTTCTATCCCATTTACCGTCCACCTCCCATGCCAAGTGACGGTACAACAAATCTCACGACCATCGGCTGTGCTATTTCCAATCGAATAGCGAAAGCCATCCGGTTATTTTCCATAAAGACCAGCGAGGAGAGGCAGTCACCGTTTTTCTCTAGTAGTTTCCTTTCGATGTCAGGGTCTGTCTCCGTTGCTTACATATAAAAAAGGTCGCCGTACTGTTACTTATCGATGACCCGTCACCGTTTGGTTAAATATCGATGACGACCAGCAGAGAGAAGCCTGTCGCCTTGTGGTTACCTACGTCGATAACCGGTCGCTGTACCGTTACTTATCGATAACCGGCCGCTGTACCGTTACCTATCGATAATCAGCCGCCGTGTGATTACCTATCGATGACGACTAGCGGGGAGAGTCGGTCGCCGTGTATCTCAGTCACGGCCTGCACTCCCTCCATCACTGAGTCTGTGGAGCTTTCCTCTGGCCAGAGGGGCAGGTGCACCAGACGCACCAGCAGGTCCACATCACCCTGGGAAAGGGACAGAGGTCACCCGGGGTCAGCCGGGGTACACGGCCAGAGGGGGAGGTGCACCAGACGCACCAACAGGTCCACATCACCCTGAGGAGGGGCAGAGGTCACCGGGGTCAGCCGGGGTACAAAGGCAGAGCGGCGGGGTAGGCGGCGCCGCGGGGACCCTAATTGGCCGGCAGTGCTGAGTCGTTCTGACGACGCTGACACATGAAAACAGCAGCTGGTAACGCGTGGTTGCTGATAAATTAAATTAGCTCGGCGCAACACAACACCAAAAAACACACAATTGTTCTCGTGGATGGAGTGCTGGCTTTGCGGTAATGGTGCATGTGCCGTAGCCATTCTGTCCCGCATGAGTTGTTCCGCCGACTTTCGAGATGTGATAAAAGGTATTAACAATAGTTTTCATGATGAATATCGCATTGAAACTAATAACGCTTGAAACCTCTTTTATCAATTTTACATAATGCACATATGCCTATTCCTTATGTACGAGTATACAAGCAGACTTAATTTAGACGTTCATCGTAGGCCTAAAACATAACTTTTACGTGCATTTCAATTATAATCGCTCCAATATTTTCTTTATTCACCAACTGTACCGCGTAAATAATCAAAGTTAAACGTTTGATTATTTTCCACCGACAGAGTTAGCGATGAAAGGTCGTATAAACTGTCAAACTGTGACTGCCACGTGGCATGCCTTTGTCTGGTCAATCCCATTTGTTACTTTCTGCCCCCGCATCCTTTGTGGAAGCATGAATCTGCGGCATTGATTTGAAAACTTTGTCACCGATGACATGCTTCAAATAAAGCAAGGCATTCGGCTCAGCAGTGAACTGAAACTTCAGAAATAAAAATAGTGCGAAAGGCACTGAGCTCCGAACTTCAAGAATAAAAATAGTGGGAAACGCATCAACGACTCCGAACTCTGTTGAGGATTCACGAAGTACCTAATGCTGAAGTACGGCAATGCTGAAACATCATCAACTGGCAAATTTACATGCCTAATGCAACTTCAGTTGCGAGACGTTTGATTTTGCTTATAGCCAGGTAAGTAATAAAATGAGCCATATATTCAAAATGAGCTTGGGCCATGTCTGTATGTAGATTGTAGATATATTCGAATTTCGCTGTCCTTTCATAGAGATTGTAGGTCACATTCAGGAAATTTAGTAAGTTTCTACTAGCTCCACTCTTCTGTACCGTATCAAAGTGAATAAACCACAAGCCGCTGATATATTTCCCCGCCGTCTTGATAAGCTCGTCTAACCTCTGTTGACTCGACGAGCAGCGTCCTGACCACCCAGGAGGTCTTGTAGGAGGTGCTGCAGCCGGCGGCCTGCGACAGGAAGCGCACCAGGAAGCCGTCGCACTCGATGATCTCTTCCTCCTCCCTCGGCCAGAAGCTGCCGCAATCCTGAAACGTGCGGGAGATATTCGTTTATGATGGTTTTTTCTTAGCATGCCATTCGCTTGAAACATTACACTTAAACTTAAATAACTAACTAACTGAACCAAAATTCGAGTCTGTACTAACCAAATAAGCGTGTTTACATATTTATTATTGTCACAGGCAGAGACCAGACGGGCATCATCCGCGGACCCATGCGGGGGCAGCGGCCTGTATCCTCCAGCGCGCATTGATCGCTTCTGCTGCCAAACGGCCGCTGTGGCGGGCGGGGTGGGCCCGTTTTTACAGCGGCTGACAGACGCGGCATCACATCAATCCTCCGAGCGCAGCCATCAATCCAACCGAGCTGAGCGCACCGATACACGAGACAAATTTGGGGCCCGCGCCGCAGCCCGCTGTCATACAAATTTGACACTGATGGTGCGGGACTACGCCGCTGAATCAAAATTAGCTAGTACTAGTTACTTAGTTCGATGCGTATTTCTTGGGTAAATCCCGCAAATTTATGACTTTGCAGGAAGCTATGAATGCGTATCGTGGTATTTCCAGTTATCGCGAACGCTATCATGTTCGAAATCCAGCGACTGAACACACAGTCACGCAGCATGTAAATGTGAAATAGACGCGAATATCAGAGCCTGTACGCTTAAATTCAGAAACTAAACGTGCAGTTGATACTTATTGATTATGAAAGGCAGCATGTGAGATGCCACCTCCACAGTCATCAGCGACCCACCTCTGACGTCAGACAGGCGACGGTGGTGACGCGGCTCTCCCACACCATCTGCCAAAAGTCCAGCACCGTCTTGGGCAGTGGGTGCTGCGTCAGTATAAATTCCTCCTGGTGCCGAAAACCTGCGGCGAAGACGAGGCAGACAACGTTACACAGCGACTGTTGATTCGCGCTTCTTGCTCAGTCCGATGTTTGGTCAGTCAGTGGCCTTTCAAGATAAAAATGTAAAGGCTCACTAAGCTAAAAAGTATGATGCGTTATAGTGGCATCGCCTTGCCGAGTGGGGCGAATGAGCAACGAACAGCAATAGCATGGAGCGCGGTCTAGGGGTAGACTGTGCCGCATTGCACAAGAGCACGGCGGTACAGTATACCAGCGCAGTACTCTGTATCGCAGTAACTAACCGTAAAACGACCATTTACACATGAGCTACCAGTGAATACCGATATCAGCGATAAACGTCTGGAATGGGTTCAATGATAATTATTTCAGACAAAAGAAACGCACAAATGAATACGGCTTCTAGCCTCACCCGCTACTGCGAACCCAACGAGGCAATTTACCTAGCCACGTCTAAGTCTGAGCAGTTATGCATAATAAGCAGGGTAAACATGCCATAAAACGGGCGCAATCGCCGGTCCCACACCCTGTGCGATCGGTTTGGATTACCGGTGTTCGTCGAGCGTTACCTGGCAGCCAGGAGGCGTTGATGTAGTCGGAGCCCTCCTGACTGAGCCGCGGGGTCAGACACACGCGGGACGGCTCCATGGGAATGCTGCTCAGGCTGCGGTTCTTGGCCTGGTTACACGGACGGGCCGCAGAGACCACGGCGAACTGGTGAGCCTCCAGCGCGATGGCATGCTGACGATCAGAGGTCACAGAGAAATCAGAGATCAGCGGTCAGATGTCAGCGGTCAAAGGTTATTAGAACGAGTAAAAACAAATATTCCCCATGTGTCTGCATTTTTAAGTGAATAAAATCAGTGCACGTACCTTATATTGTTTTTCGGCGGCTGGGTAGGGGTAGCTGTTCCGACAGCCGCCCTGCAGCTGCTCGAGGAACTGACGTAGCTGGTGGCGGGGCACCAGCGTTTCCCCCGACATCACCCTCTCCAGTAGACACGTGTGAACGAACTTGTACTCGTCCAGTGGTGCAGCGAACAGCGGACACTGGTCTGCACGTAGAGGGAGGAATTAAATACTGGTCAGCGGGCACTGGTCTTGGGGCACGGATAAGGAGGATACTCTGGTCAGCGGACACTGATCTGGGGGGAGGGGGGGGGATCGGGGAAGGAGGAATGTAAATTCTAGTCAGCGAACATTGGTCTGGGGCCACGGGGAGGCAGGTTACACTGGTCGACGGATATTGGTCTGAGAGCATAATAGGGCATCAGGACACTCATAATATAGGCTATCAAGATAGAACAGAAGCCGGTATATTCAAAATGACATAGCTTACGTGAAATAAAGTCATTTCGTTTCTGCTGAAAATAAATCGAAGCACATTGGGACCTTTGGAGCCTGTCCAAGTTATGGAATCCTAAGACTCTCGGAACTGACGAACATGACGGCTCTCGGCGGTCTGATGCATCTCTGCCAGCTCGGACTTCTTGAGCACTTGTGATCGGCCCCCGGTCAACAGACATGGTAGCCCAAATCTGGTCGGATATGAAAATTCTTCTAAATCCATAGACTCTAATGCTAAATTGACTATATTTGAGAGGGTTTTGTGAAGATACATGACCAGATAAAGAAAAAAGCGAGATGCTATCTTGTAGATTAAATCGTCTACTATCTGCGACTTTTGAAGAGTTTTTCAATCTGAGGTACGGAAATCGTGTTCCCAAGAGACTGAAAGTATCCATGCTTTACATTAGACCCAATGACAAAAATTCGGAATCTGACGAAATTAGCCATTTTTACGTCGGATTTATGAAAATTCTAGACAGGATATACAAAAACCCGAGATGCTATCAGGTGGGAAATTTCATTGTCTATTACCGTTTTTTTAAGTGTTTTTCGATCTGAGACCGGCAACTCGTGTTCCCAAGAGACTGAAAGTTACCCTGTTCTACAGCAAGCCAATGGCAGAATTCTAATATTTGATGGAAGATATCTTAGATGATAATCACCTTACTACTAATTGCAATGCTTCATTGGAAAGCTTAACACTGACACTATCATCGGTCTTTGCATTGCTATTCCACAGAACAACAAGAAATAACGTTTTGAAGCCTTTGAATATTGACTTACTTTTCATCGGCGGGCTCGATCCCCATCACCACCAACAATTTTCCGGGAAGTCAGGATTTTGGAGATATTTAAGCAGAATTGCAGAGCTGTGTTAATACTACGGCACTTAGAAATACATTTTAAGAAAACTGTCTTTTTTTTTCTTACCATGAGTTAGGTCTCAGAAATAGCAACATGTCGATATAATGAGGAAAAATAAGTGCAGATGATCGCGCAAGAGAGTATCCTTAGCTCCCTAGCAACCACCTAGCAACATAGTAAACAACTCCTGTTGATATCAGGTACTCAGCCTTGGAAGCACACTAGACGGTCACCATACTGGGCTTCATACTGAATTTTGCATACCAGAATGGATGTTTCCAACTAAAATTAATTTTTCGCGAAATTTATCTTTGTTGCCCTACTATTTTTCGTAAAACCGAGATATACAAACTTCATGATATCAAAAATAATATTGTGATAATGAAAACCGCCATATAAAACAAAATAATTGCTGATATCATGCCTACTAAACTTGGTCCTACCCCCTAATTCAATATACCCTGCTTGTGATCATATTTTACGCCACATGTTTATGGTACGCCTACTTCTTCGTTGAAGGAAACACTGGATTCGTCACATTTAATTTGAGTGGAGTGTTAGACCCCGGTCAGAGCTTTCAGTCATCGTCTGCTCAGAACGATAGTAACTCATGGTTCTACCGACTGAAAAGCGAATCCGTAGACGATAATAAATTTATAGCTAGGTCGCAACAGCGAGTTATGTATGTTACAAATTTTGAAAATATATTTCTTTCGTTGAAGATATTCATCTAAACTCTCGCAACAACTAGCACTAGAAGTGCATTTTGCTGCTTCTTTACAACCGTAATAAAATGTAACAAACAGACGGTCAATTTTATTTCAAATAATTCAATAAATGCTATTTAAGAAGTGTTATGTTGTGTAAATGTGGTGCCAGCCTGTCTGCCGCTGAACCCTTGGATACCTTCTTAACGTTACGTCTGGCAACAGCTTGGCCACATACCTATGCATGCATTGCTAGTACCGTATTCCCTTTCCGTCTGAATCACTGTTGTGCTCACCGAGCGCATGTCGCCAGTAGGAGAGCACTGACAGCTCCTGCCGGTGTCTCAGCTGCGCCAGCAGAGTGGCCACCACCACATAAACAGCCGCACTGCTCGGACTCGACCTGCAAAGAAGGCCGAGCTTATGAGTCGTAAGACAGCAGGGCGTCACATTTTATAGGTGACACATCGCGGTGAAGAGAGATGCTACCCGCTAAACATTAAAGTTTGATAGTAAAGACTGAAGTGAGTTCAAAGCCCGGAACCATGTTTTTACAGATCTGTCGATAGCATCTCCGGCCCGTCCACATACCACTGTATCCTAGAAGACACAGCGCGGGACACGACACACAATCTAGAATTTTGGAATCCGCGCCTGGCATGTCATAGTACAAGCTATGCATAGCGATGAGCAGCCATTGAGCATATCTTCTCCTGAATCATAGCAGCATCAGCCGGCACCCACAACGAAACGACATGGAACCGCGTCCCTCTGACTTCTCGTGAAGCGGCCCCTGGACGATTTTATCGCCGCGCGCTGAACAGAATACCAGACGGACGGCGAAATTCGGGCGACATTCGGCGGCTCGGGAGCAGTGTTCTCTGGTTCGTACCCGGCCAGGACCATGACGGGCGCGCCGGGCTCGTCGGCGGCCGACTGAATCTGGTGGACGAACTCGAGCAGCGACAGCGGGTTCTCGTTGTGCCCGTACTCGGGCCAGCAGTTGTACTGGAACAGCTTCACCAGCACCTCCTTCGGCCGCTTCTTCTTCGTCGACGCCTGTGAAAATGATAAGTGATTTAAGTCCAATTAATTAATGCTCATCATTCCAAGCTTCAACAGGCAAGCTCTGCTTAGCGTGGCACTTAGAGTAAATGCCACCCATATGCTCATTCATTTGGACAAAAGTAAAGATTTGATGCCCACCATTGTCTTCAATGCTCACTTTCTTGCCCTTAGGAACGTGGAAGATTTCAATTTATGTTCATATGCCTACTCCAAAGTAGGTGAGCAGAACAGCATTAATCCAAAGTGATCACAAAATATGAGGTCCTAAAGCCAAAGTAAATCAACAGAAAATGCGACATGGCAGCTACATAATTGTTCATTTCCGGTCAATAGCTCTACAGAGATCTGCCTAAACTGGCCAGAAACCACTGAAATCTGACTGAAGCGCGTCCCCTATAAGCGGTCCGCACACATTCCGACAGTCTAATTAATGACGGAGAATTTATTACACCAATTCGGGCCTGGAACTGTGGCGCATCTCCTGTGCCGAGTGCAATCATAAACTCATTACGGCGCGGGCGGCCAAATGAACAGCGCTGCGGGCGTGCCGCCTCTCCCCGACTGCCATTGTTGAGCCCCCGCCCGGTGGACGCGCCCGGCACCGGATACTTTGTCGGTGGCGCGACAGATATGGTCCCGGCAGAAACGATGATCGCGTCGGCGAAATCGATGAACTGAACTGGATTGCATGAGATAAAAAAGGATGTTCTGAAGCACAGCTATGACTTTATGAATGATGAGAACAGAGCATGACGAATTTTTAGACTGATAATAAGCCGTATTTATGTGCCGGCGACAGCAGAATCAAGCTCAGAAGACTGTGTTATCAAATCTGGCCAATTTGATTTGCCCGTCCAAACAGCATAGCATACGTCATCACCGAATTGCAGCCGGCGGCATTTGTTCGAGAGCGTTCCGATCGGTCCGCGACAGTTGAGATGGGCTCCGATGGTTGTCTGGGGCGGCTCTGACGTCACCCGGCTCGGCCCACACGCCCGAAAACGACCGCCCCTCCGGCCGCACCCCTCCCCTCCCCTCCCCGGCGGGCCGCCCGGGCCAACAGCAAAATCGATGTCTGATTCATCCGGGCGATGCACCCTGCCCTCTTCCGGCCCTCTGCCCACACTCTCCAGCTCCCCTCTCCCTCGCTCTCTCTCTCGCTCGGGTGCGGGGCGGTGCTCAGTGCACCCAAGCAGGACGCGCTTTGAAGTTCGGGAGGTCTATTCACAGCAATGCGAGGTTAAAATGCGGATCCGAGGAAAGCATAAGGACTGATGCAGATACGCGGCAAGATAATGATTTCTGCGAAGGTTTTGCATACTTGGATCAATATCCATCGAATGTTTGGTATACGACAAACATCTAACCATTACTAGAGATGACTTTGTCCGGTGATGTGTGATACCGTATACCTTTTGATAAACAAATCGTGGTAAGGAATAGGATGGGTAGAAAACTAGAAAGGCCATATGCTTTTTGCTTCTTCCGATGAAATTAGTTTAACAGCTTATCTATCAACATACCACAATGTCACTATAGCACACACCAAAGCTGTTGAGGAGGAAATGTGAGCAATATGTGCGCGAGTGCTGTCCACGCGCTAGAATAATTTCGAGTGAAAAATAAAGGAGAGCAGTTGAGAGAGACAACAGGAGGACAATATGTAGTGTTTTTTTACTTTAAGCATTTAAGTTAATTTGAAGCACAGTATTGTCAAACATTAAGTATTTAAGTTAAAATAAACACAACGCGAGGAGAATTATCACGGTAACATCTGGTGCATGTGACCACGGATTTAAGAATGAACGAGCCGAAGTTAAGAAGAAGGCGGAACGCTTACAAAGCCCGAGCTGCTAAGCTGAAGAGGGAAATTGAAGAGCTTTTGAGCAATGATGGAGAAAGAAGTGTCATCGAGCATAAATGTGATCAACTCAAGGAACAGCTGAAGACGATCAGGGAGGTCAGTGAGAACATTTGCGACATATTAGAGACGGACCAAGAAGCGGAGACTTTCATGGAGGATACGTACCAATTTACTGACGCCTGTGAAGACCTCATCATGACAGTCTCCAGGAAAAAGACCGAAAAGGACAAAGAACAGACAAAACAGGATGTGGAGGTCTCCGTTAAGGGCATCAAGCAACCCGAACTACCAGTGTTCGAGGGAGTCATCGCCAAGTTCGAAGACTGGGAGGTGGTTTTTGACGCGTTCATTGGAACCTCAAGGATTGATCCAAAGTTGAAGATGCTCTACCTAAAGAACAGCCTCTCTGGCGAAGCGTTGAAGCTCGTAGAGGGCTACAAACCATCTGAGATGGGCTATGCAAAGGCAAGAGAGGCCCTGACAGACAAGTACGGCGGAAAAACAAGACGGATCCGACATGGCCTCAATGACATTCGGCAGTTCTCCAACATCGCCGAGGGAGACACCAGGCGCCTGGAGCAGTATGCCGATAAAGTGAGCTGCCTTATCACTTTATTGAAGGAGAGTGGCTCAGTCGACGACTTATCAGATGTGTCGGCATACTACATCTTGGTGGCCGAAAAACTGCACCATTCGTACATAAAGAACTACCAAAGATGGCTGACAACCGCAGGCCAGGAAGACAACTTCGGTAACTTCGCCGAATGGCTATCAGAGGAAGCACGATGCGAGAAGAAAGCGAAGGAGATGGCGAGGTCCGGAGACGAAACAAAACCAGGAAAACAGAAAACTGGTGGGAAAAGAACGTACGCTACGAACAGGATCAGCAAGCAGCATGAAAATGGTGAAGAGCAGACAGTTTGTGTGGCATGCAAAGCGCGTCATATGCTACAGGATTGTGCAGAGTTCCAGAGCTGGAACGTTTCGAGAAGATATGGGCTGTGCAAGTCTGAGGGAACTTGTTTCAGATGCCTCAGTGGAAGACACCGCGGGACTAGTTGCAGGAAATTCCCAGGATGCACAGTTGATGGATGCAACGGCAGTCATCATACTCTCCTCCACGCTGAACGGCAGGAACAAGAGCAGCGGCAGAGAGCCATGAACCGAGACCAGCCTGCGAGGTGGCAGAATGCGGCTGATATAAACGAGTTTCATCCATCTAAGCAGACCAGTGGAGCCAGTGGCAGTGGTACTACAAGCAGGGCTACCAATCAGAGCTCAAGCTACAAGACAGCGACTGCAGAGCAAGAAGCCACACACGGGAAGATAGCCTTCCAGGTGGCACCAGTCTTGGTTCAACACAAGAACCGCTCGGTCGTTCTCAACGCTCTGCTCGATCCCTGCTCCGATGCCTCCTTCATTACTAAGACTGCTGCAGGCGAGCTGGGTTTCGATGGACCAGAAGAAGTGCTGCAGCTCAGCACAGTGAATGGAAAAGAAGACGTCAGCATGAAGACGGGGGATGTGCAGCTTTCAAGTCTGCACAGCGCCTATGAAGCAGAAATCAAAGTCCACGTGATTTCAAGTCTCGATGGTGCATCAGTGCGTACAAACTGGAACACGGTGAAGAGCCAGTGGCCGCACATGAAGACCGTACCATTTCCGAGAATGAGTGGCGGCAGTGTCGACATTCTGATCGGCCTCTGTGCGGTGACGACCCCGCTATTTGTGCCTCTGAAGACCGTGAAGGGCGCCGATTCCGACCCAGTGGCAGTTTTGACTCCCCTGGGGTGGACGGCATTCGGTGCGATAAAGAAGTTCGCCGAACATGGATCCTCTGTGCTGAAGATGAGGGAGAACATGTCGAACTTTTCCAGAACACTGAGGACGCACGTCTCAAAGACAACATGTAAAGAAGAAATCGAAGCAATCAAGTGCATGACTGACCTAGAGGTACTTGAAGTTAGAAAATCAGAAGAAAGTCTGATGTCACGTGAAGAGCAGGAAGCAACAAAGAAGGTTTCGAAGTCGCTGGTGTACAACGGTAGCCGCTATCAAGCAGCTGTGCCATGGAGGGATCAGGAACCTCAGCTGGTCAGCAACTATGAAGCAGCGATGCAGCGTCTTGTTCGACTTGAGCAGTCCTTGAAGCGACTTGGAAGCGACCTGCCTGCCAGGTATGGTGCGATTCTTGAAGAGTACGTCAAGAAGGGCTACATGAGCAAAATCCTCGCATCCAAAAGAGAGCACAGTGGTGAAAAAGAGTGGTTTTTACCACACTTTCCAGTCGTCCGAGAAGAAAAGGAGTCGACAAAGGTCCGAATAGTGTATGATGCAGCTGCAAAGTATCAGGGAGTGAGCCTGAATTCACAGCTTCTCCCAGGGCCGTCTCTTTATACTGACCTGGTCGAGACACTGCTCGGATTTAGACTGCATCGCATCGCACTGATCGGTGACGTCTGCGAGATGTTCTTGCAGGTCGAGCTGGCTCCGGATGACCGCAAGACCGCAAGTATCACCGAGTACTGTGGAGAAACATGAAGGACGAGGAACCCACCGTATACGAGTCAAACAGATGGCTGTTTGGAAACGCGGCCGCTCCATTCGTCGCACAGTTCGTGCTAAAAGAAAACGCCAAGAAGCACGCCAGCGCGTTTCCGCTGGGCTCTGAGGTGCTACTGAAGCATTTCTACATGGATGACGGCATCCAGTCCTTCCGAACCGAACACGAGGCTGTAAAGGCGAGAGAGCAGGTCAGTACCATTTTGGAAGATGGTGGCATGAAGATCAAGAAATGGATGTCTAACAATGCGAGTGTGCTGAAGGCCATCCCCATCGAAGACAGAGCAGTCAGCTCTCAGCACTTCTTCGAAGATCAAGGCTCGGTACCAACCAAGACGCTTGGAGTAGTCTGGTCAGCAGACGAAGATCGCCTGTCCATAGACACGTCAAAGCGAGGAGGCCTCTGCGGAGAACTGACCAAAAGAGCGTGCCTCAGGGAAATGGCATCCGTCTTCGATCCGCTCGGTCTGTTCGTGCCGCTCACCATTCGAGCGAAGATGCTGTTTCAGCAGACGTGGAACAGCGGAGTAGACTGGGATGACGCCTTGCCAAGTGACCAGCAGCTGAAGTGGCGTGAGTGGTTTAAAGATATACTGCAGCTCAGCAGCCTTTCAGTGCCAAGATGTATTCATCCTTTCCCAGACGCTACCCTCCAGGAGATTCACGTCTTCTGTGACGCCTCGGAGAAGGCCTACGGCACCGCTATTTACGTCGTCTCCGAATGTGAAAGTAAACGAGCCTCTCAGCTCGCGCTGGCTCGCGCTCGGGTAGCGCCACGAGGGAAGATCCAAACTATTCCAAGACTGGAGCTCATGGGCGCCCTGCTAGGATTGAGGGTTGTGAAGACGCTGTGCACAGCAATGAACAAGACACTAGAAGAGGTGCACTTTTGGTCCGATTCGATGGACGTGCTGTGCTGGATTCGGAATGAAGTCCGCCGCTTTCAGCCGTTCGTCGCCCACAGGATATCAGAGATCTGTGAGGTGACGTCACGTGAACAGTGGCAGCACGTGTCGGGGACAGACAACCCGGCAGATGCGCCTACCAGAGGCTTAAGTTTTAGTGAGCTGAAAGAGAGTCGGCTCTGGATGGAAGGGCCCAAGTTTCTGCTAGAAGACAGTAACGAGTGGCCACCGAAGAAGAAATTTCAAGCGGAGCAGTTCGACAAGTCCGAGTTCAAGAAGGACCAGAAAAGCACATTTGCCGTGAGAGCGCCGTCAGGTCCCAGCTGCCGACTTCTCAACCCGGAGGACTTCTCAAGCTGGACAAGGCTTTTGAGAGTCACAGCCTGGGTGCGGAGATTCGTGAAAGTTCTGCGGAGGGAAACTGCGAACAGAACTCAACTGGACAAGGAATTGAAGCCAGAGGAGATACTGGAAGCAGAGAAGTTCTGGGTGCGTCAGGCTCAAAAGGACTCGTTCCCAGAAGAAAGAGAGCAGCTCGAACGAGCGGCAACGACCGGCACAACGGCACGGAAAGCCTGCCGGCGAAGCAGTGTGAAACAGTTGAGTCCATTTCTGGATGAAGATGGAGTCATCCGAGTGGGTGGTCGACTGCAGCGATCGGATCTGAGCTTTGAGACGAAACATCCGATGCTGCTACCGAAGCACAACATCATCAGCAAGCTGGTGATTCAGCATCTTCATGTGAAGGCTGAACATGGCATGGGCATTGAGCACACTCTGGCTGACCTCAGAATGCGATTTTGGATCCCTGCAGCGAGAGAGATGATAAAGTCCTGCTCCCGAAAGTGCGTCACATGTCAGAAGCTCACAAACAAGCCCGAGGAACAAGAGATGGCACCGCTGACGACGTCACAAGTACAGTCAGGTGGTCTGCGAGCCTTCGAGGTATGTGCAGTGGACTACGCTGGCCCGTTCCGGACCAAGCAGGGACGAGGGAAGGTGCGACAGAAGCGCTACTTATGCATCTTCGTGTGCCTGCGAACAAAGGCGGTTCATCTGGAGATGGCGTACTCACTGGACACCGCCAGCTTTCTGCGCGCCCTGATGCGATTCGTGTCGCGCCGCGGCCGTCCAGCAGAGATACGATCAGACAATGGGAGAAACTTCGTGAGGGCCGCGAAAGAACTGAAGAAGGAGGTCCAGGAGCTGGATGGCGAAGAAATTCAAAGAGAGCTGTCGCAGCATCAAACGAAGTGGACTTTCAGTCCACCTGGAGCACCTCACTTCAATGGGGTTTGTGAGGCGCTCGTGAAGGTAGCCAAGAAAGCACTGACAAAGACGTTAGAACGAGCGGATCTCACCGATGAAGAGCTGCAAACAGCCTTCTGCAAGGCTGAAGGACTTCTGAACTCACGGCCCCTTACAGCCGTCTCTTCCGATCCCAGCGATCGGCCGCCGCTGACACCGGGAGACTTCATCACGGGACCGTCGAGAGTCGAGATGGCTCCCTCAGCAAGCAACGAGGGATGCAGTCTGCGACAGCGCTGGCGACGCTTGCAGCAGCTCAACACAGAGTTTTGGCGTCGCTGGTTGCGTGAGTACCTGCCGACTCTGCAGGTGCGGCAAAAGTGGACTGAAGCTCGACAGAATCTGAGAGAAGGAGAAGTTGTCTTACTTCTCGACCCGAGCGCACCTCGAGGAAACTGGCCGATGGCGAGGGTGGAGAGGACGTATCCTGGCTCAGACGGCCTGGTCAGAGTGGTGGATGTGAGAACGCCAAAGGGGCTTCTGAAGAGACCAGTCACCAAGATCATTCGGCTGGAGATGGAGCAGTGACTTGCTCCAAAAGACGATGGGGTGAAGTTCTGAATGACATGAGGGGGTCATTCAGGGTCGGGGGAGATGTTGAGGAGGAAATGTGAGCAATATGTGCGCGAGTGCTGTCCACGCGCTAGAATAATTTCGAGTGAAAAATAAAGGAGAGCAGTTGAGAGAGACAACAGGAGGACAATATGTAGTGTTTTTTTACTTTAAGCATTTAAGTTAATTTGAAGCACAGTATTGTCAAACATTAAGTATTTAAGTTAAAATAAACACAACGCGAGGAGAATTATCACGGTAACAAAAGCAAAGTCACCAGAGTCAGACTGCACGGATCGCCCGTGCCCAGCCGGACTTACCTTTGTCTTGGACAGGCCCAGCCGGCGGACGGTGAACGAGGCAAACGCGTGCTGGGAGCGCGTCTGTACCCGCAGAGTGGTGAAGGTCTGCGTGGAGCCGGGCTCCGGCCACGGCTGGTCGGCCTCCCCCTGTGGACAGGCGGACGGTGGAGTCAGAACACAGAACGCCCTCCCTGCTGACACCGACAGACGGACGGTGCAGTGGAGACAGAACACAGAACGCCCTCCCTGCAGACACAGACAGGCGGACGGTACAGTGGAGTCAGAACACTGAACGCCCTCCCTGCAGACACCGACAGACGGACGGTACACGGCGGAGACAGAACACAGAACGCCCTCCCTGCAGACACAGACAGACGGACGGTACACGGCGGAGTCAGAACACAGAACGCCCTCCCTGCAGACACAGACAGGCGGACGGTACAGTGGAGTCAGAACACTGAACGCCCTCCCTGCAGACACAGACAGGCGGACGGTACAGTGGAGTCAGAACACTGAACGCCCTCCCTGCAGACACAGACAGACGGTCGACGGACGGTATACGGTGGAGTCAGAACACTGAACGCCCTCCCTGCAGACACAGACAGACGGTCGACGGACGGTATACGGTGGAGTCAGAACACTGAACGCCCTCCCTGCAGACACAGACAGACGGTCGACGGACGGTATACGGTGGAGTCAGAACACTGAACGCCCTCCCTGCAGACACGGACAGACGGACGGTACACAGCGGAGTTAGAACACAGAACGCCCTCCCTGCAGACACAGACAGACGGACGGTGCAGTGGAGTCAGAACACAGAACGCCCTCCCTGCAGACACAGACGGACGGTACACGGTGGGGTCAGAACACAGAACGCCCTCCCTGCAGACACAGACAGACGGACGGTACACGGCGGAGACAGAACACAGAACGCCCTCCCTGCAGACACCGACAGACGGACGGTACACAGCGGAGTTAGAACACAGAACGCCCTCCCTGCAGACACAGACAGACGGACGGTGCAGTGGAGTCAGAACACAGAGCGCCCTCCCTGCAGACACAGACAGGCGGACGGTACAGTGGAGTCAGAACACTGAACGCCCTCCCTGCAGACACAGACAGACGGTCGACGGACGGTATACGGTGGAGTCAGAACACTGAACGCCCTCCCTGCAGACACGGACAGACGGACGGTACACAGCGGAGTTAGAACACAGAACGCCCTCCCTGCAGACACAGACAGACGGACGGTGCAGTGGAGTCAGAACACAGAACGCCCTCCCTGCAGACACAGACGGACGGTACACGGTGGGGTCAGAACACAGAACGCCCTCCCTGCAGACACAGACAGACGGACGGTACACGGCGGAGACAGAACACAGAACGCCCTCCCTGCAGACACCGACAGACGGACGGTACACAGCGGAGTTAGAACACAGAACGCCCTCCCTGCAGACACAGACAGACGGACGGTGCAGTGGAGTCAGAACACAGAGCGCCCTCCCTGCAGACACCGACAGACGGTCGACGGACGGTATACGGTGGAGTCAGAACACTGAACGCCCTCCCTGCAGACACGGACAGACGGACGGTACACAGCGGAGTTAGAACACAGAACGCCCTCCCTGCAGACACAGACAGACGGACGGTGCAGTGGAGTCAGAACACAGAACGCCCTCCCTGCAGACACAGACGGACGGTACACGGTGGGGTCAGAACACAGAACGCCCTCCCTGCAGACACAGACAGACGGACGGTACACGGCGGAGACAGAACACAGAACGCCCTCCCTGCAGACACCGACAGACGGACGGTACACAGCGGAGTTAGAACACAGAACGCCCTCCCTGCAGACACAGACAGACGGACGGTGCAGTGGAGTCAGAACACAGAGCGCCCTCCCTGCAGACACCGACAGACGGTCGACGGACGGTATACGGTGGAGTCAGAACACTGAACGCCCTCCCCCTGCAGACACGGACAGACGGACGGTACACGGCGGAGTCAGCACGCAGAACGCCCTCCCTGCAGACACAGACAGACGGACGGTACAGTGGAGTCAAACACTGAACGCCCTCCCTGCAGACACAGACAGACGGTACACGGTGGGGTCAGAACACAGAACGCCCTCCCTGCAGACACAGACAGACGGACGGTACAGTGGAGTCAGAACACAGAACGCCCTCCCTGCAGACACAGACAGACGGACGGTATACACGGCGGAGACAGAACACAGAACGCCCTCCCTGCAGACACAGACAGACGGACGGTACACGGCGGCGACAGAACACAGAACGCCCTCCCTGCAGACACCGACAGACGGACGGTGCAGTGGAGTCAGAACACAGAACGCCCTCCCTGCAGACACAGACAGACAGACGGTGCAGTGGAGTCAGAACACAGAACGCCCTCCCTGCAGACACAGACAGACGGACGGTACACGGCGGAGACAGAACACAGAACGCCCTCCCTGCAGACACCGACAGACGGACGGTACACAGCGGAGTTAGAACACAGAACGCCCTCCCTGCAGACACAGACAGACGGACGGTGCAGTGGAGTCAGAACACAGAACGCCCTCCCTGCAGACACAGACGGACGGTACACGGTGGGGTCAGAACACAGAACGCCCTCCCTGCAGACACAGACAGACGGACGGTACAGTGGAGTCAGAACACTGAACGCCCTCCCTGCAGACACAGACAGACGGACGGTGCAGTGGAGTCAGAACACAGAACGCCCTCCCTGCAGACACAGACGGACGGTACACGGTGGGGTCAGAACACAGAACGCCCTCCCTGCAGACACAGACAGACGGACGGTACACGGCGGAGACAGAACACAGAACGCCCTCCCTGCAGACACCGACAGACGGACGGTACACAGCGGAGTTAGAACACAGAACGCCCTCCCTGCAGACACAGACAGACGGACGGTGCAGTGGAGTCAGAACACAGAGCGCCCTCCCTGCAGACACCGACAGACGGTCGACGGACGGTATACGGTGGAGTCAGAACACTGAACGCCCTCCCCCTGCAGACACGGACAGACGGACGGTACACGGCGGAGTCAGCACGCAGAACGCCCTCCCTGCAGACACAGACAGACGGACGGTACAGTGGAGTCAAACACTGAACGCCCTCCCTGCAGACACAGACAGACGGTACACGGTGGGGTCAGAACACAGAACGCCCTCCCTGCAGACACAGACAGACGGACGGTACACGGCGGAGACAGAACACAGAACGCCCTCCCTGCAGACACAGACGGACGGTACACGGTGGGGTCAGAACACAGAACGCCCTCCCTGCAGACACCGACAGACGGACGGTACACGGCGGAGACAGAACACAGAACACTGATCGGACCGCAGCTGATCTGATTCAAACAGCGTGGTTTTGCCGGAAAATTGTGTCTGGAGCTGAAGGGAATAAAATAGAGCTACTGGTAGCCACCGACGAATAAAGGCGCTTTGCATGAACAGTGGCCAGCAACGTAAACCTATGCCATTTCCCAAAGGATATTAAACTCTCGAAATAGTAATACGGGCAACAAATGATGTTCCGAGCAATCATGCACTGACCTCGGGCGCTATTTTCGAAAATCCAATACAGAACAGTATCTCTCGGGGCAGTAGATATGCCAGCTGGAATGAAACTGACTCATGTCTGACTTGATTTTATCAACGGATGATTTGTTAGTTGTTTGAAAAGTCTCCTCCAGTGGGTCAGCTTTATTCCATAACAATAAACATTTGATTCTGAGAGTGCTTTTGGAGACGAGACAGTCATAAATATTGCTGCTATTGCTATTGTAAAACAAAGTGACTCATTTGTTTTCCATGTTTATGTCAGGGGTTTAAAATCGAGGGTGGTTCCAGTCATTTTCGCTGAAATGCTTTATTCTGGAGGACAAAAATCGGTCACATTGTCATCAAAAAGTGAATATTTTCGCACATGTAACAATGCCAGGCGAAAGAAAACGTTTATAAAAACTGCAGTTTTATTGTTCCTTATCACGTTTGCCATGTTCCTTTCATGTGAGACGTGATAACATCTACAGTGCAAGTAGTTTGTGTACCAACAGCCGCCCTGCTCTGGGCAGTTGTCTCCTACCGGAGGGACGAGCGCCTCGGTCGTCGGCTGGGGCGGAACACTGCACCAGCTCAGCCGGCGGCCCACTCAAATAAATTATCAGTCGCTCTCAAAATATCTGATGAATTAATAAATCAGAGCGACTGCGTCGGATGCAGGCCGACGTAAGACGGACGGCCGGCGGCCCGGGCTGGCGGGGCGAGTGGGGCTGGGTGGGACGGCCCCGGCGGGGCGGGTGGGGCTGGGTGGGGTTCTGGCCGGGGCTGGGTGGGACGGCCCCGGCGGGTGGGGCTGGGTGGGGCTCTGGCCCGGCCTCACGGGGCTGGTGGGGATTATGGCCGTCTGGTCTGTCCCGGGAACTATACCCAGTCGCCTGTCTGGCCCTGTCTCACTGGCGGTCAGAGCACTGCCAAATCTAACCGAATATTGGATACCTACCATCTTATCATGGGGTCCAAATACTGCAGCAGACAACGGTCGGAAGGGAGCTCTTATAGAACTACTTCAAAACTGTCTCCTCACTGTCTATTGAAAGGTATAATTTTAGTCGATAGATAGATAACAGCGATTTGATAACAGCGGAATGGCCTCACTCGTCTCGTCAATGAACGGGATGTGTGCTGTCTAATTAGTTTCTCGTCTGTGCATGGTCAATCGTTTTGATACCTTTCATCACGTTTCTTACAAACAGCTCACCTGAAGCGGTCCCATGAGCACCACGGTGCGCACCCGCTGCTCCCAGACCAGTCTCCACAGGGCGTCCCGGGTGGTGGCGCGCGGCCGTTCAGACACGAGGAACGCGCCCGCTCGGCGGTATCCGTCCACCAGATAGGCGGCCGGCTGCGGCTTGGACCGGTACTGGCGCGACGAGACAGACACCCGCGTCTGCTGGTCTGAGAATATGAGACAAGCGGGGATTAGGGGTTTTGATAGTTTTCCGTCTAGTTGACAAAAAATATTCGAGGAGGCATTGAATGTTTGTTTACTGCTAAACTGAGCTCGTGGACTTAAAATGCTCCCAAACAGCATAAGCTAAATAAAACATTCAATCTCCGTATGATAACTAACGACTTTAACAACAATGGATACTCACAATGCGACGCAGCCATGGCCAGTTTTCCGCCGGGTTTTCCTGCGAGCGGTGCCGTCTCCGTATCGTCTCCTCGCGGTCGTAGCTGGGTCCATTCTCGGCGGAAACCGGCCGCTCCGTCTGCGTGCAGTTCGTGCACGGCCTGCGGGAACACGTGGGCGGGCACGGCGTGGTGCGGTGCGGCCGACCAGCCGGCCGAACTGCCGTCCGGGGAGAGCCGGCCCGAGCCGACCGGCTTCCAGATCTGCGACAGGTGCCGCCGCCGCCTGCCGGGGAGAGAGACACAGTCGGCGGGCTGCTTACCATTACCCCGCTGCCGCCTGCCGGATAGACAGAGCGGCGGCGGTGGGCTGCTTATAATGCCGTCACTAGATGGCACTGGTAGCGAGCGCCTGCGAGAAATACTGTACCGCAGTACATGTGGTGAGACGTTTGCAATGGCATGGATCGTTCGCTTGTTGAAGTCATATGACAGAGTGTACGCTCTGTGATCGATGAGGTCATACGGATATAATAGATTCAACAAAAGATTACAGATGAAACGCGTCGATCGCCTTCAGGACGACACGAGGTAGCGAAATGTGTCCAACACCCATTAAAAATAGACGATGTTTGATCTGCAGGGACAGGCGAAAAAAAAAACTGTTGTCAAAAACCCATTGGCCAACAGTCGAGGGTAAAGGCCCGGAAGTTTTCTTGCCCCAGAGTGCTGAGGTGCGGCGATAGATCGTCCTGATTCGTCAGTCTCGGACCACGACTGGCCGCCGGCTGGCCCCCCTGTGACGTCACGGCCCGGCTGGAAAGTGGGCCGTTCTGCGGCTGGTCACCGGGACCGGCCGCCGGCCGCTATGGCGCCATATATATTTTACGATGCGTGTAACGACTCGGTCATTAGCGTCGTAACATTTTATGTTCACTGGTCAGGGTGCGCAAATTTCGCCGACATTTTAGCCGTCCCGCCCGCGGACAAGTTAGCGTCCAGTTACGTGAGTTTACTGTGGATGCGGGCGGGCCGAGATGGTCTGTTTTCATCGCGCCGAAAACATAAGAACACCATTATCGGTGCGGCTGATCGCATTTTTAGTCCGATACTGAGTGCCGATCGTAGTCTGTTTGCTTCTTAGCTACCTTGAGTTTCAGCAGTTAAGCTGTCTAAAATCCATCAGACCGAATCCATGCTTTATAACGGTGGATCGAGGTCGAAAGTTGTCTTATTTCTTTACGATATTCTATTGTCTACGAGCCTTGCTTCATACATATTTGAATCCCACTTCCAAAAGATTCATAACAAAAAGACCGATTTCGTAGCTGACTTATTAAGGAAAGCGAAATAAGCCTTTTAGCCTACGGTAAAAAGAACTACAAAAGTTTATCATCTATGCACCTTCACAATGCTGAAGTAACTACGAAACCAGTCACTGCAATGATGCCAACTCAAGTTTTCCTACGTTCGATCACACCTACAATCACAAGTTTCATCAACTACGCAGAGCTTGTTTTTAACAGATCCACTTTTGATTTTTTGCTCTACTGACTCAATACCCGGCAATGAAAGAGGCATTTACAGAGCCGTCACTAAGAGCGAGGGCCTTGGCATATGATCGGTCCACCGAGAGCGCTCGTCTCGCCCCGGATGTGATTTCCTCAGTGGCTGACCGCCCTTCGGGGACATTTATGATATTGAACTCGATAGGGAATCCCATGATAACGACATGGGCCTATGATGTTTTGCTCTTACCGTTTTTTCAATTAATTTCAAACATCTTCTATACGTTGGAAGATGAATGTAATGGAGTTCAGGCGGTACACCAAATAAACGGCGAATGGTGCGTTAATTTTCCCGACGTTCAGAGAAGACGGACGGTGGCAGACGCAGCAAAAGCGAGCGGCAAACAACATCAATTCAAAGAGGCCATCCTCTGCGGCGGGGAGTGCGGAGGGAGATGACACACCCGGCGGGGTGAGTCCTAGACTCGGAGAACGGTGGACACGGGGAACGACCAGCCTTGTCGCATACAGAGGAGAGCTGGGAAGTGATGACATCTTGAATTGATGGCTCCGGAGGAGCCCTGTCGAATCATTTTCTGATCAGTGTTGGTTGGAACACTATCGCAGCACTGTCGCAACTCGCGGCATTGCCGGAGATATATTGGAACACTGTCAGAGCTCGGATTTTTTTTTTCTAATTCCGTGTTGAATTGGTATCTGCTACTACTTGCTCTGCGTTGGATTTCATGAACACGATATCTCTATTCTTATTTCAGAAGCAATGACATCAACAGACAGCCAAAGGACGGAGGGACGGTTTATCTGAGATGGGGCTTGATAATATCAGCCTCGGGGACATGAATGACGATAAATTGCGTCCTCGAAAAGTGCATTTAACAGATGACAGAACAAGTATTTGGATTGTCCCACAACTCGCATTGATATGTAGCACTTCTTGTGCCATTCGGTACACTTACAACATTTCGTGGGCGCGGCGTCGAGAGCTTCACTGCAGCATAGGCTGTACCGCATAACACACAAGTACTGCGGGCTAGTCTATAGCCACAATCTGCCTCACAAAAGCTATACACTTACAGCATGCGATCCAAGCGACCGTTCTACCGATTTTAACGGCTGTATTTCGCTGTGTTGATGAATACCGAATAAAGGATAACAAGTAAGATACTCATGAATATGGACTTTTGGGTAAGTATTTAAAATCCCAGAGAACAATCCGATAATCCAAGAAAGTAACCGCACGTAGCGACTGTGATATTTAATGGTAACTAAATAAATATTCGTTTTTCGGTACATAGCTGACTGACCACCAGAAGATGGCTCCGACGAGCAGAAAGGTGACCAGGAGGCAGCTGACTAGAATGCCGGCCAGCTGAGCGCCGGCTATGGCGGTGGTCTCCACCTGAGACCACGTGCTGACCGGCTGGATCTCCCGACAACCCTCCTCCATCCGAACCTGTCGGCACACACATAATGGAGGAACATCTGAGACCGAGAGCTCTAGAACACAGCAGCCTACAGCAACAGCAATGGCGTGCTACGTCGAAATAAATAAATAGACGACATAGTCGCCGAGCGGAGAGCCTTGGGCAACAGCCTCGAGGCTGAGAAACAAGCTTAATCGTTCAGTGAGACAAATCCGCTCGGCGCTTCTCGCTGGCACTGACAAAGGGTGGCGTGTAATCGCACTTGGTTCGGCCGCGACAGCTACAAATGGTCGGGGAGGACCGCCGAACGCCCGGCGAGAAGCCATCGGCGCGGCCCGGGCTCAGCGCGGCTACGCTCTGATCGCTCTCAGGAACAAGCACGGTGAATAACACGTTAGTCAGCCCTTCACGGAGCCAGAGCACACAAACCAGCGGTATAAAATGGGCAAATCAAGCGCTACTTGGATCTACCGCCTCAATAAGCAGAGGCCACAGAACGGCTAGTGTCTTGGGTCACTGACCTTTCGTGGTGTGGACAGTTCGCCTCGGTAGATCCTGTCGCGTGTCATTCGTGACCTGGTGACACCTTCGACCACGATTTCATACACGTGACCTCGGGTCATGTTACTTATTGTCGTCTGAGAGAGAAATGCGAGCGGGTCAGCTTTTATGCATAATCGTGACCGGGTGTTCAGGACATGTCAGACCGTATTAAACACACAGTACACCATAAACGTAAAACATCCAGCCATTCGTGACACTGTTTTAATACCAGCACACAAGAGTCTGCCGTCTGTTTGAAGTGTCAAGAGCTCCCCTTGTAAAGCTCTTACCGCAATGTACTGCTGAGCAGAGGTCACCAGTACCGAATGTTTCTCAAACTCCAGAGCCTCGTCATCTCGGTACAGGACATTGTATTCATCCACAGACCTGAAACAATACACACAAATAATAACCGCTGGAGGCACGAATGCAAGGTACACTCACCAACGTTATCGCGTAGACTTTTAGTAATCAAAAGTAGCCGGCTAGTAACAGTGAGTGAGCTTTATTATCAATTCTGAATATGTAGGTAGCTAGTGCTAAAAGGTTGCGTGCAGCCCGACATGCGACTACCTGACGAGTGGACCGAGGGACCAGCAGGGACATATATGGCCGGGCAATGGGTCACGCAGGACCTTTGCTGCGTCTGACCGCTGCTGTTGCCAGGCAGAGGGGCGCTCGTCACTTGGGCCAGATGCAAAGGTTACCGAGTACGCGTAGGCAGGTGGTGAATTGGGAAGGTGGTGCGAGGGGTCATATCTGACGCTCCCACTGAGCAGTTAATACCGGACGTGCGAGGAACAGCGCGAGCTGAGCGGTCGTCTGTATAAAGAATGAAAGAGACGGAGAAAAGGGTCGAGAATTTCGAGGCTCCAGCTTGAGCACAAAAAAGATCAACATTTTAAGTCTGAATTTTTGTGAGACATCAAGAGAACAGCTTTCTTATAACTAAAACAGGTATCGAGGGCATAAACGTTTAAGCACACTTATTACTCCGTTTTTTTTTTGTAACAAGTTTTTTTGTAACCCTACAAACTTCCGATTTGTCCATAACGTATCGTGAGGCAGCATTTTTAGGAGAAGGAAGCCTTTGAACCCACTGTTCGTACTCCGCTGGACGACAATGTCCCTTACTAAGGCTTCCTTGTTCAGACCGTGACGGAAATTCGGCTCACAGCCCGGCTTAGAGAGTTACCACAAGGTCACACCACGCACCATAGGCGGCGAGCGTATAATACATGACGTCATACATACTGACCAAGATTGTTTGGTGCTCTGACCGGCAGAAATTGAACCTTATTGGCCGGCAGAAGGATCGTAGTGTCTGACCGGTAGAATGGACCGAGTCGGGCACTAACCGATAGAATTAGGTGCTGGGTCGTATAGGCACGTACCGATAAAAGTTGCTGGGTCGTGGGCGCTAGCCGATAGAATTAGGTGCTGGGTCGTATAGGCACGTACCGATAAAAGGTGCTGGGTCGTGGGCACTAGCCGATAGAATTAGGTGCTGGGTCGTATAGGCACTAACCGATAGAAGGTGCTGGGTCGTGGGCACTGACCGATAGATGTGCTGGGTCGTAGCTGCACACTAACCGATAGAAGGTGCTAAATCACAGCTACTAACCGATAGAAGGTGCCGGGTCGTATAGGCAGGGCACTAACCGATAGAAGGTGCCGGGTCGTATAGGCAGGGCACTAACCGATAGAAGGTGCCGGGTCGCCGCCAGCGCAGGTGCAGGGTGGTGTCCCCCGGACAGGTCACGTCAGTGATGCGCGGCGCGCCCGGGCCGCTGACGTCTGTCCACCGCTGTACGGGCTGGGAGCGCTGACCCGGACCGGCGCCCGTGAACGCCTTCAGCCAAACGGTGTACTGCCTGTCCGGCTCTGCGGGACAGACAGGGCGGTCAGTCGGGTCCGCAGTCCGATACCACACTCCCCCTGTCCGGCTCTGCGGGACAGACAGGGCGGTCAGTCGGGTCCGCAGTCCGATACCACACTCCCCCTGTCCGGCTCTGCGGGACAGACAGGGCGGTCAGTCGGGTCCGCAGTCCGATACCACACTCCCCCTGTCCGGCTCTGCGGGACAGACAGGGCGGTCAGTCGGGTCCGCAGTCCGATACCACACTCCCTGTCCGGCTCTGCGGGACAGACAGGGCGGGAGAGTCGGGTCTGCAGTCCGATACCACACTCCCCCTGTCCGGCTCTGCGGGACAGACAGGGCGGGAGAGTCGGGTCCGCAGTCCGATACCACACTCCCCCTGTCCGGCTCTGCGGGACAGACAGGGCGGGAGAGTCGGTGGTCCGCAGTCCGATACCACACTCCCCCTGTCCGGCTCTGCGGGACAGACAGGGCGGGAGAGTCGGCGGTCCGCAGTCCGATACCACACTCCCCCTGTCCGGCTCTGCGGGACAGACATGGCGGTCAGTCGGGTCCGCAGTCCGATACCACACTCCCCCTGTCCGGCTCTGCGGGGCAGACAGGGCGGGAGAGTCGGGTCCGCAGTCCGATACCACACTCCCCCTGTCCGGCTCTGCGGGACAGACAGGGCGGGAGAGTCGGGTCCGCAGTCCGATACCACACTCCCCCTGTCCGGCTCTGCGGGACGTACAGGGCGGGAGAGTCGGGTCAGCAGTCCGATACCACACTCCCCCTGTCCGGCTCTGCGGGACAGACAGGGCGGGAGAGTCGGGTCTGCAGTCCGATACCACACTCCCCCTGTCCGGCTCTGCGGGACAGACAGGGCGGGAGAGTCGGGTCCGCAGTCCGATACCACACTCCCCAGGTCAGTCAAGTTCGCTGTCCGATATCAACAAAGGGCCCGCTATATGGGTGAGCTGCAAGCTCACCCAGTTCTGGGTGTACAGTAGGCACTATTGAACTTCTGGCAACATTAGCCTCACAGTATATGTTGTTAACGGCACTTTGTATGTTCATCTGCCCAAGTACCACTAATGGCAAAGTTCTGAAACGCCACTCACGGTTAAAGTGTTCACCCAAACTTTGATCGACTGTGTTAAAAAAGCACATGCGCTCAAAGCCCTAAACCAACAACGGTGTGCCATATCGCTCCACCATTGAAGTGTGCGCCAAGTTCCTTTCCTCCTTACAGGAGATACACAGAAATAGGTCACTCGAAGAATAGAATGCAACACAAGACATGTCATGTCCAGATTCAATGCCTTGTGCTACTGTGATTAGCAGCAGTAATGGAAGAATACAGAACCCCTTATTTGTGAACATCTATTTAGAGGCTGGTGTCCGATTTAGAGGCTTGATCATCCACCAATACGGCGATGGATGGACATTGGACAAGCGCAGTATATATTGCTCTGAATTTCCTTAGGCAGTCATTGATCACAAGCATTCAGAACAAAACCATTCATGTGCACCAGACTTGTCATCATTTTCGCAGCCAGTCTTCGGAACCAAATATTCTTCGAGCGATCAAGCGCGAGATTTCCCGGATATCAAATATCAAATAAGCCCTTCCCAGAGGGTCGGTTCTCAGAAGATGACAGTAAGTGACGCGGTGGCGCAGTATCGGCTGGGCGGCGAGCCCTGCCAGCAATCGGGGCATCCTCTGCCAGTCGCCGTATTGGCTCCAGTCAGTCGTCGCACTGAACCAGTACCGCGGGGCAGCGACTAGAAACCCACTCAAACCCACTCAACAATTACCACCTGCCTCTCCGGCTGGTGCCGAAGTGATATCAGTTTGGTATACAGGGACCGGTTTAACTCTATGCGAATGCCAGAATACAGCGTCCCTCTCAAGCGGTAACTTCTGCGGGAGATAGGCTCAGTCCATAAGCCAAAGCTCAAACTGTCTGTTTGATTCCCTTTTACTTGGCCGAGGTATTTTTCATTATAATGAATCGTCTAGAAAATTGCATTGAAAGAAGAAAAATAAACGATCAGAAACTGAATATTAGGTAACAGCAGATTTAAAGGCTGTCGCTAAAAGTTATACGACCGTTTACCCATGAAATGGGCATCTCCGAGTGTTCAGAAGTAATTTCAGATTGCTGAAACAGATCATCAAGATTCATACCCCAAGGGAAGCACTCATAAAGAATGGAGTATTGGTGCTGAAATTGCTGATCCCCCTCTCATCCTCTTCATCCAGGTTGTTTGCAGCCATTAAGCCCTGGTTTGCTGGGGTAACCGGCGCATCATCCAGCCATTTGAAGAGCGATTTGCATATTTCAGTGATAAGCTGCAGACGTAATGCAGCGAAAATAAATGTCCAATTGAGCGTAAGAGGCAAGTATCCAGAGAAAGAATGAACTTGCGATGATTCATAACGCTTATGCATGAAATCATTGTCACACTTCACTTCAACATAATGCATTAGTTATAGTTACGCCACAAGTTACAATGGTGAGGGTGAACAGCCCTGGTCGGAAAGGCGTCCGTTGAGGTCAGGTCGGCTGATGGCCTACGCAAAGGTCACACGCTGGTTAATGACTATTACCCGGCCGTCAAATGTCAACAAGGCACACTCACGGCCAGATAAAGTCGTTGACCGGCGCCGCCCACTCGCTGGCGGCGTGGGTGGTGTGAGGTCTGCCGAGGTCACTCACCGAGGCCGTCTATGGTGCACGAGGTCTGCAGCGGGTCGGTGATGTTGCGCGAGCTGGTGGTGTCGTCCTTGGTCTCCCAGTAGACGGTGTAGCCCAGCAGTCGGCCGTGGAGCCGGCGCGGCCGCTCCCAGATCACCGTCACACTGCGGTCACTGACCTCCGAGAACGTCATGTTCTCCGGCGCCGACGGCACTGCCAAAACAACAACGGGTGATTTAAAACTGTCGATTTACATCCATAAAAAAACATAGCCGGGCCTTTATAAATAACCTCTTTTCTAAAAAAAAAACACACACACACACACAAAAATCATAACTTCTCGACACCTCGAATAACTGGGAACTGATTAACTGACTAACTGACTGACTCACTCACGCACTTACATGGGTGCCACTCTATCGTCATTCACGACTTTATCCATATTAAACCTCCCTCTCCACACGTCATTTATAGTGCAAGCGTCTCACTCTCTTCATTTATCACAGTCCCTTTGTGTTCGCGTTCTCACTCCCTGCTCGGCGTTCATGCTCACCTCCCTCTGCTGTGGTGACGGTGATGTTGGCTGAAGGACTTGTTCCAGCTAGGTTGGTCAGCTGTAGCATCACTTGGTACTTTGTGAACGGCTTGAGGTCCTCAATGACCCGACTCTGCAACAAATATCGAGTTGCGTAAGTGTGTTGACATTTAAAACGATTTTTGTGATTAGAGAGATAACAAGTCTCTTTCGCGTGTAAAAGGGAGAACTCCTTATTAATAACAAGTTGCGCTATGCGATATAATTAGTGTTGAAAGATACGAACATATCCTGATTGAAGAGGTATTGAAAACCAATGACAGGATACAGCAAAACTATTATTGGCTCTGGGAACACTATATTGCAGACTGGTGCCTTGATGCCATGGAAAAAATGAACACTGTATACCTTCTTTGTCGCCATGATGAGCTAAGCCTTGCAGTTCCTCAGATAGTTTTACCATAACGACCAAAAATTCAACAGTTGTTATTGACTTTGCATACCATAGCTAGGACTGCTGCCGCACACTGGCTGAGGACATCTGCTCACAAACTTTGCAGCAGTATGTAAATGCTTGTTTAAACATCTCATCTAATATCCAAGTTGTTGCAGTTTCGTCATTTTATTGTGATTTTCTTTAACTTCTGACGAAGGTTGCCTCTCATCAGCTCCCAAAGTTCTAGTTTGGGTGACACATGGTATTACCAAGCTTTCAGCGCATAGTATTGCAATAATACGGCTACAGTCTCTAATCAAGTGTCAGCGAGCTGCCAGCGAGCGACGCCCGCTAGCGCCGTGAGCCAGGCAGCTAGTCGAGGTGGCAGGGCTGCCTGTTTTAATATCCCAGAGTTCCGCTGCACTCCAGGCAGAACCATTTTTACACTGGCTGAATGAATTCGTCAAACCACTTACATGTATAAGCAATAGCATTATGCATATAAGTGAAACATAAACTTATTTACCTACTGTGAATGAAATATATATATATATATATATATATATATATATATATATATATATATATATATATATATATATATATATATATATATATATATATATATATATATATATATATATATATATATATATATATATATATATATATATATATATACTATAGGCAGGTTTCATTGAACAAGACGGATAGTTTTGCATTTGTGACCTTTTTGTGTAGGGATTCGATGTTGCGAATCAGTCTCTTGTCACCTTCTTCATGCTGAAAGAGAATCGCTCCGAAACTCATGAGAGAAAGACAAATAAAACTTGTGCGCCAGACGTTTCGTGTTACGTAACACATTCTCAATGACATTACATATTTGACATAGTACACATGATGCAAGGTTAGGTATATACAGAGAGAAAGTGAGCTACATGTTAATTATTTTACATATCACATTTTGCAAAAGCATAGAGCATCATGGATGTATCAGGAAACGGACAAAATCGGTTTGAAAATTAAATTTTCGATCACGTGCACTAATGGCCCCTAGTGCTGCTCTAAGGGGTCATACGAGGGTCATATAACAGAAGTACACCGTTGGCATTTACTTGTCTGTTAATGGCGGGGTCCATCTTACGAATGTAAATCGCTTCAAACACCGCTAGTCGTCGAGAATCGTTTACCTGTTTCAGTATTATCAAGTTTTCTGTGTTTATCAAGTTTATCAAGTTTTCAGCAGACGCGTGACAATGCACCTGCAGCAAGGCGGCATCTTGACCCACAACGACAGCCAGCACCCAAATGACCGACTTACCAGAAAAGACATCACAGAAAACTTGATAATACTGAAACAGGTAAACGATTCTCGACGACTAGCGGTGTTTGAAGCGATTTACATTCGTAAGATGGACCCCACCATTAACAGACAAGTAAATGCCAACGGTGTACTTCTGTTATATGACCCTCGTATGACCCCTTAGAGCAGCACTAGGGGCCATTAGTGCACGTGATCGAAAATTTAATTTTCAAACCGATTTTGTCCGTTTCCTGATACATCCATGATGCTCTATGCTTTTGCAAAATGTGATATGTAAAATAATTAACATGTAGCTCACTTTCTCTCTGTATATACCTAACCTTGCATCATGTGTACTATGTCAAATATGTAATGCCATTGAGAATGTGTTACGTAACACGAAACGTCTGGCGCACAAGTTTTATTTGTCTTTCTCTCATGAGTTTCGGAGCGATTCTCTTTCAGCATGAAGAAGGTGACAAGAGACTGATTCGCAACATCGAATCCCTACACAAAAAGGTCACAAATGCAAAACTATCCGTCTTGTTCAATGAAACCTGCCTATCTAATAATCTGCTTCCGAACTTCTCAAATATATATATATATATATATATATATATATATATATATATATATATATATATATATATATATATATATATATATATGTACTATGTAGTATTACAGCTTGTTGAAATGTTGCAAATTGGCATGAGTTTTGGATGTCGCTTGAGGTGGATTTTAAAGGGTTATTGGGTTGCAGATGTTGATGGGTATTCAGCCGATCCGGTATTCCCTGGAACACACCAGACCGGACCGACCTACTCACCGTGCGTTCATAGTTGCGCAGGACGAGCTCCTTGACGACGCCGGCCGGGAGCGGCCAGTAGCTGAGCAGGTAGCCGGTCAGCTCTCCGTTGATGGTGTCGCTCGGAGGAGGATCCCAGGTGACCTCCACAGATGTGGCGGAGAGATTGTGGGCGCCGGTAAAGGTGGGCGCCCCGCGCGGAGCTGCCAACACGATGGGCGATACCAGAGGTTACTGGTTATTCAGATCGACACTGAGTGCCAGGGACTGAATAGGGATGGACCGAGGGAGGGAGGGAATAGGCTAGAGAAAGGTAAATTTATGAAGACAGCTTATCCTTTTCATATTTCAACCGCGCAATAAAAAAAAAAATATAGCAGAATATTTCCCAGAAATAACAAGCAAAACCATAACATCCCAGTAACAATGCTAAAATGTTGCTAGTTACTCGTATTGTCATTTTCGAGGCGACAACACTAACTACCGACAGTGCGCCCCTCAGCCCAGTTCTCTCCCCTCGGCTGCCCGTTCTACGGCCGTCTCTCCCAGTACTCACGTTCTCTGAGCGTTTTTACCGGGTAGGACGGCTGGCTGGGCTCACTGCGGCCCAGCTCGTTCACCGATATCACTCGGAACGTGTAGAGGGTGAACGGCTGCAGGCCGGTCACGTTAGCACTGGTCACGGCGCCGTCCGTCCTCAGGGCCTCCTCCAGCGGCGGCCAGCTGCCCGACTCACCCAGCCTGCCGTCAGGTCAGTCAGGTCAGGTCAGGTCAAATTAGAGAGTCATTCAGGCTCTTATATGGCTAAGAAAATTTAAGTACTCATAGCCAAGGTGTTTAACTATAAAGTAGACAAACCTCGAGTTATATAGCATTCTGAAGCCAACTCAAAGTACATACATATCAACATATAAACTCAGCTTTTAAGTTTACACTGGCACTGAATCATGTGGGTCAAATATATTGCACTTGGCTCAATACTAGTTGACTGGAAAGCAGAACTAAGCTTAGTTACGACGTTCTCAGAATTGAACGTGGCTTGAATGTCACAGGCAATATTCGATACAGTCGAATTGATGGGGCAATACCATGCCCTCGCATCCTGGCAAATTACATGGTAAATTAACGTCAGACTCAAACGTATGTGATTATTCTAAAGGAATGTTATGGTGCAATATTGACTTAGATAATTTCTAGCAACTGGACAGGCTTAGGAGGTAAACTGTAAGCAAACACGTCGCATATTTTTTTGCAGTTAAATTTGCTTTTGCAACTGAAACTCTTCGTATACTCGGTGTTTTCTTGTGGCAATTGTAACAGGGTTTTGAGATTCATACAGAATTCCAAAAGAAATAGCTGAGTTCAGGCATTGTTACAGTTGCAGCGTCCAGAATTCCATTTTATCTTTTTCTCTGTAGCGCAATGTGTCCTCATGTTAAGCCAGCCATCCGGGGTGCCTTTATCCTTCTGAACTGGACCGTGGCAAAACTACTCGGGACCTGGCAGCGACCGCGAGCGGAGTCGCAGTTTCTTTTCTGGTTCCCAATGACTCACATGCAACTCGACGAATTCCCAGAATTATAGATATTGCTGAAAAGTGGCCTTATCTCTTTTTTAAAGTCACAAGTCAGTTACAGATAGTTTCTTTGCATTGAGATGAGATACGAATCATGACCATCAGTGACACCTTTGTAGCAGAACTCAGCCCGGCAGTTATCATTTGCAAAGTTTCAGATATCTGGTAAATCCGAGGAAAGCTACGGCGAACTTTGCTCGGCCGATGGATACTGCCAGTTCTTGGAGTCATGAAAACTTGGTTGCGAAACGATTGTATACTTGAGTTTCTGTTGCAGTTTGTCGAGTTCCCGCAGACTAGCAACGAATTTTGTGACACGGCTGTCTGCCACGTTTTGTATCTCCACGTTGCAACGAATGTTTAACGAAAAACAATGTTTTTCGCTTATCACACATGAGTCTGAATAATATAACGATAAAGTGCCAATAACAAGCCGTTAAACAGCCGTTTGCTTCTCACCTGGTCTGGATCAGGTAGTACTCGATGGGCATATTGTTGAGTGGAAAACTGGGCACCCAGCTGAGTGTGACATGCCGAGAAGAGTGGTGAGTGTGTGTCGGCCTACCCGGCTGTTTCGGTACGTCTGAAAAAGGAACATAACTACATGCGGTTAAGTGCAGAAGCCATGTATTTCAAGATAAAAGAGTCACAATATTTCATCTTAAGTTCTCCCCCAAAAAAACAACAACTTTCCCATGCCGTCTTATTGAGGGCACATCACAGGTTTGTATGTTCCATGTCATCCGATTACTTCTACTGATGCTCGGAAATATATGTGTCGTCTTAAAACAGACGCCCCATTGAAGGTTTGGCTGTGCCGCAGACAAACTGCAACCATACGCCGTGAGACAGACTGTGCCGCAGCACAGTTAAACGCCGTGAGACAGACTGTGCCGCAGCACAGTTAAACGCCGTGAGATAGACTGTGCCGCAGTACAGCTAAATGCCGTGAGATAGACTGTGCCGCAGTAGTAGCTAAGCGCCGGGAGTTAGACTGTGCCGCAGCACAGCCAAGCGCCGTAAGATAGACTGTACCGCAGCACAGTTAAACGCCGTGAGATAGACTGTGCCGCAGTACAGCTAAGCGCCGGGAGATAGACTGTGCCGCAGTGCAGTTAAGCGCCGTGAGATAGACTGTGCCCCAGTACAGCCGAGTGCCGGGAGATAGACTGTGCAGCAGTACAGCTAAATGCCGTGAGATAGACTGCGCCGCGGTACATCCAAGCGCTGGAAGTGGCGCTTGAGAGCAGCCTTGAGGCGGACATATTTGCAGGTTATCCTTTCATCGTATCACCTTGTTATAATTGTTCTACGCAACAGCTGTAGCACGCACTGCACAAACTCCTGAATTGAGTGCCGAATCTACGTAACAAGGCATCTAACACCCGCATTGCGTACTCCTCGAAGAAAGCCAGTTGCAGATCGCAGTTATCCAGCATCCAGTCGGTTACATTGGCAGGCCTCAGCTCGCTATGTTGAAGAGCTGGAGCGCCGAACCGCCAACATTTGTCATTGGATCGATCCGCTTCTCCAGGCCGTCCGAGTGTCTTTGGCCGAGCACAGCGTGTTTTCACAGCTGCTATTTGGCGATGGTGCCGCTCTCTGTCTCAAGCTCCGGCGACACAAATGGCATCGGCGCCGGGCTTTGGACGACCGGGCCGGGAGCGCTGCCATCGGACCGGCGTCGCCGACACGGCGGAACGGCCGTCGGGTGTCGTCCAACTGATGGCCGTCGACCGACAGCGTGTCCGAGCGATGGCTGACGGATGCGGCAGGCATAACGGCACAACGGTGACTGGGCGGATCGTTAATGTCAATAGATGTGGCCCGTAGGAAGACAGAACGAGTCCAGCGCTGATTCAGGAGCGGAAAGGTTTCGCTGGAGAGGGTGCAAGCTGACTCATCTTTCGGGAACATAGGGCTTCTAGATGGGCTTCTTTTTCAGGAATGAACCTTTTGTGTCGCATCAGAACTTTGAGCTGCATATGCAAATGATGCAGCTAAAGAGCCATGCAAAATGCACGGAAGCTCCGTAATTGCCTACACCGATGACATTTACCATAAAGGGCACACTGCTACGTGGCTGATGCTGTTCGATATGCATAACGTGCGTTATGGTTGGTACAAATGTCACCACCCGATAGTACGGCTGGAAAAGCCGTCAACAGAAATATCGTTCGCCGTCTCCGGCGTCCTAGTTTTGCATTGGCGAATCTTTCTCTCAGGAGAGTCGGCGGCGCCCGACGAAAGGTTTATAGCGGCGCTGCAATATCCGGCTGAACGTCGGTGCTCCCTTGTTTCGGTTCCGGTTTCCGGCACTTCTCTCGGGCAGCGAAACAAAGACGGCGCCGCCCCACGCGCGGTGTCCGCAGTGGCTGTGGGTGGCGCCGCCGGGGCGGAGCGAAAGGGTAGGAGCTGATCGTCAGAATGATTCACAACGTTCAGTGATGCTCGACGACGTCTGGTTCCGCCCTCTCTCCCACTGCCCCCCCCCCTCTCCGACCGGATCTGACGGGGGGGGGGGGTCGGCCGGTGGTGGTCGGTCTGTGTCGCGTCAGCCGACACTGCAGCCAGGCGACCTCTCTGCCGGAGAGATATATCCCCGCTGGTCGGACAGACCTCACAGCAGCCGCTCCCCTCATCGGCCCGGGAGCGGCTGTCCTCTCCACAGCGTAATAGCCTCATTTGGCAATTTGATGGCGGCCATTACTGCGAGAGATTGATAACGCATATGGGTGAGTCGGTACAGGCGGCCCGAGCACATAGCGACGGATGGATCTCGATAACACAATGATTCCGAGAGGCCACGACAAATAGAAAGCCGAATTGTACAAACATGGAAGATTCCCAGCGACATCACATCTTGCAGTCAATAGTCTCTTCGGGTCGGCACACTAGGAAAGTTTGGGGTTATGATAAGCAATCAGCAAAACTTAATTTCATTTACTACAGGATGTAATAGTTACATTAACGTGACTGAGCTGAACATGCCTTTTAAGCTGTAAGATATTGCGCGTACTACGCGCATTTAGGTAAGGCACGGACTATAAACCTGCTCACGATTAGCCTTCAACCGCCTTACTCTCGAATTTCAACATCTGAAGGCATTACGTCCTGCGATCCCAGCTGACCAATCATCCTGCCCTGTCCCGCACGGTTCCCAAACAGTCGCCTTGTCCGATCCCCACACAGACACCCTGACCAGTCCCCCACCCGCTGTCGGCTGCCAGGAGCATTAGCTGATGGTCGGCTCTAGGGTGCATATCATTGTCGCCTCCCGGGGCTCCTAAATGACGAGCTGCAATCTATCACACAGAATGATTTATTTCACCAATCCACTCAATGATTAATGACTCTCGTACGGTTTTGTGTTTTATTTTGTGTCTTAGTATAACATAGGTAGATGAAATAACATATCATCAGGATATTTTCTGGACAGTTAAAATACACTTTTATGTAGCTGTTTAAAATTATGGTAGCATATGTCACAAACTACATTTTCGGAGCGACAGTACCTATCCCAAAACAAGAAGCATATTTTATGTCATTTTCATTAGTGACTCGAAACACCCCAACATGTGCATCCAGGGCAGAAGAGCTGCAGCTTACACATATGGATTTTGTTTGGGTGCCGCCGATTCCCAATTGGCGATTTTACTAGGAACCTCTTGCGGTTCGGTTTCCAAGTAAGCCCTTCATCAAAATCCCCAGTCCCCCATCCGATGCGCGCTAAATTGCCACCCATGATGTGAATAGCTCTTCTCTAACATCCGATGAATCAGCTCTTTGTTCACTCTCAGGGAAATGCCAGCGTCGCAGCAACATATCTGACAACGAGCTAACGGATTTGACAGCATGGCGGACCTACGCTGCAGTAACCAAAGCAGATGATTGGGGACGCTGTCTTTTTGGGGTGAGCGGTAAAGCCATAGGCGGAGGAGATGAGAATACAATGTTAGGTGGCAATTTCAAAGATATTAGGTACGACCAAGCTTGCACAAACAAATAAGTAGGTATACTTGCCATACGTGTATGGCCTTTGCGTCATTGTTAAGCAATTAGGCATATGCACTATGCAGGTTCTAAATAATTCGAACGTCTTGTATCATTTTCATCTCCATGACGCAACACAAGCGAGCACACAGTGGCTATAGTCCACCATCCCCTTACCGAGCACGACGAGCTCCACCAGGCGCTGGTCCACCTGGCTGTTGAAGAAGCAGCTGTAGGTGCCGTTGTCGGCCGCCGTCACTGGGCTGAGCACCAGCGACCACGAGGAGCGGTCCAGGCCGAGCCGCTCTCCGCTGCCGTGCACCCGCACCGTGCGCGACACGTACTCCACGAGACGGCCCTGGGGAGGGCGGGGGGGGGGGGACGGGTGGTCACAATTAGACAATAGACGGCCCTGGGGAGGAGGGGGACGGGTGGTTACAATAAGACGGCCCTGGGGGAGGGCGGTGGATGGGTGGTTACAATTAGACAATAGACAGCCCTGGGGGAAGGCGGGGGACGGGATGGTTACAATCTGGTACGTGTACTCCACGAGCCTGCCCCAAAGGAGAGCAATAGTCGGACCCCAAAGATAAACCTAAGGGACTCCAGAAGGCGGTCCTGAGGGAGGGCTGGGACGGATGGCTACTGTTCGACTGTCTCACTGTCCCCTCTAGACTGCACCACTGACCCGAACGGCGAACCCGAAGCAGGGCCTGTGAGCGATCGGCAGAGTAAGATGGACTGGCGGCCAGAGACGAACACACACGGCGGTCTCTCTGTGTCACCGCCGTTAGCGCGGGGCGTGTCCCGATGCTCCGTCTCTGAGACTGGCCTGTCCGCCCACCACTGTCGGTGCCCCTAACCGTTGATAAATACTGCGTGGCAGAGAGCTTTGCTCGCTGGCCTGATCGGGATAAGATACCGCAGCGTTTTGTGAGCATTCAGTAGCACGACATTCGCTGATTAGACGTGGTAGGTAAATCTAGCTGTGGGGGTATTACATGTAACATCACGCTCCCTTATAATTTACTGACGGGCTGAAGAAACCACAGGGTGCCCGATCTTCTCCAAATGAGGCGCGAGCGACCAGTTTGACATACTTTGCAAATTCCCACTTGTTAACCATTTCCCGGGCATATCGTTGCTGAGTTAGAGACAATGACCACTGCAGTCTGGGACAGACTCGTTCAGCAGCTTTAGTCGAAACCGCGCTCAGCTCTCTTTTTGTCGTATACGGCATGCCCGTTGCCCTAACTACGCCGCCCTAACAGCGGAATCAGACCACTGTCCACTGTTCAGTTCCCGGTATGACTGTGTCATTATCCAGCCTTGGAACGTCGGCAGCTTCATTGCGTCGATAAACTATACGGTGGCATTCTCGATGCTGCAGCTCAATCCAGCTGTCCGCAGTTTTCACTGCTGCATCAAAGTCGTTCGTGACGATGGCGGATTAACATACATTTGACCGTGGTGATCAACATAATGAGCGCCGATGTCTTTGGGCGAGACAGCTTAGTTTCTGCTGACATAATGCCAGACATTGAGACAAATGAGTCGGCAATCAAAAACTTTTGATTCATTTGCATACACTCCTTTGTAGACTAGGTTGTTGATAAAATACTTAAATTAGATGTCAGAAAGAGATATTAGTCCTCATTAGCATTCAACTCCATATTCCATTAAAGTTTCGACCAGCTATGGCGAAAGATGGAAATCTACAGAACACCCGATCAGCTTAGGGTGAATCAGGGCCAGTCCGACGATAGGCGTTATCACAAGTGTATTCGCGGCCATTGGGGCGACGTAAGAAAAGAAGAAAACATCTGGCCCCAAGAACTTTAAATTATCAGTTAGCATGCAACTTTTCCTTTATGTGTAAAGAATCTACCATTAACTATTATATAAAATTGCATTTAAAATCTTCCTTTTATGTTTTTCCATCGTTTGCACAATATATGCTTTTACTAAGCAAGAAACACTAATTATAAATAGTTCCAGCACCATCGTCAAGAACAATAAGGAAGGCTTGAAGTGAATACAATAATCTAAACGGCCTTGCAAGATGTGAAGATCACTTCTAAAATTGCCTGTAGAAATATTGAAGGCAAAAGTTCAACTTTTTCACAAGACGGATGTCTATAAACCTATTCAACGTGTGACAACTCAGCCGGTATTTCGTCGCCTACAGCCCAGCTTTCCCTAGTGACCGATAGAGGCGCTGCTATCGATGTCCACCCGTGCCGCCTAACGAAATACACAACAGAAATTTAGCGCACCTATGCCTATCGCTTACTTAAAGGGACCATCCCACCTTAACATTAGTTTTGAGTTGAGATAGCCAAGTTTGCGGCCAGGCTCAGAAACCACCATTTATCCTGGTCGCAAACCCCGCAGCTTTATGGTGTTCAAGAAATTTCTTCCCTTTACTTGCAGGGTGGGACCAGCTTAGTCCCTATCTCTTAACCATTAGCGGTTTGTTGATGACGTCAGCAGTCATTTCAACGCCCGCCATTCCTTGAACCCGAGTTTTGCTGACCTTGAGCTCCCTTTTATATCAACGTGAAATCCGTCGTCGGCGCTGAGAAAGCCTATTGCTTTTCATTGTAATTTGAATATTAGAAGATACCCACCACTGGAACTTGGACTGATATTATACCAAGGCCGAAGATGATCAAGCTGCCTGCTATATCTGGAGCTTGGTGTTCAACTTCAACATGGAATGAAAAACAAAATATCAAAGCAAACTGGATATGGTACTGCAAGTTAAAGTCCAAAGAAATTTGAAGAGCTGACAATTGACATTAATTCTTTTCCTGCAAGGCTTTCATATGGAGATCACACCATGAAGAAATATTTTTGATGTTAACAGTTGAAAGGGGATTGATCTTCCAGTTTTGACGAAGGACGCTGCTGACTGTCTTTGGAAAAGGATGTCGGCATGAGGTGAATTGTGCTTGTGAAGTGGTTATAACTGGTCTTTTCACAGTATTAAATTAAATGTGCCATTGCAGCCAAGTGTGTTATCATGTAGGGTAAAATCAAAACTACAATGTTGGTTTTACGAGGATTGAGAAGGCTGGTAGGTAACATCTGCCTGTGCTCGTAAATCACGCTGCCAAAGTATTCTAAATTAATTTTATCATACACTTTTGTTGTCCAGAATGGTTGCACTATTGTTTGGTATCATATTATTCCATGTAAATATGGTAGTGTAAAGTCCGACCAACATGTTACCAGATTTGAAGCTGTTACGTTACCTAAGTACCTGTTTTTTACTGGCGTGGTGAATGTCACCTGGATTTTGTTTTGAGGTTTTCCATTCCATTCCATTCCAGAATGTTTATTGCGCATCGACAACCTATAAGTAAAACGATCGGAAAATGAACATGAATAACAGAGATAAAGCAAAAAGGTGCAGACCTAGTAACTCTGACTACATGGGTTTGAAGCTATTATCTATTCTGTTTTTACTGGCCTGGTGAATGGCGACTGATGTTGTCTGTGGATGGCACTGAAACAAATTTTGAGTGTCATGTACAGTGTTTTATTTTAATACAATGCTGAGGGCTGAAAGTTGTCTTGTTTAGAGTGGTGAAAGTTCAGGATATGCCAGCCACCATGGTGGGTCAGAGTTAATGTGTTGCAGTCAGTTCGGCTTCGGCAAGCACACGGATGGGCATACGCATCAAGACCTGCTCTGCCATACTTTCAGCCAATTTTACCTAGGTAAGTCTTTTCTTTTTTTTCTGCCAAAAGCTATGACATTGTGAATTTCAGTGCTGTGGCCTGTGTGTAGCTTTCAGGAAAGCAATTCTAAATAAAGCTCCGATAAAGTGCAAAATCAGCAATGCAGCCCTCTAATACATTTTCTACAACATCTTACTTGTTCCTTGCATGGAGAGAAAAATGCAATGTTATGAATTCGTTTATTCACATAATTTGACAAGCATGCAGTTACCTGCTACTATCACTGCAGAAAACATCAGTCGATCAAACACAAGACACAACAGAAGTTTACAACATAGGGCTGCCGAACCTGCTTCCTCCCACCACAGTTGATGCCATTTCCTAGCCTGGCTTGATGTGAGCACTGAATAGCTGCTTTGTCTAATTACAGCTCACTACCATTCAACTTAAACTGCTCTCTTTAAAGTAAGAGTGAGAGCGTTCAGTGTTCATAGCAGCTCGACAGACGACAGACAACAAACATCTTGACAAACCAACCAGTTTTTGATTTGGCTAATGATTTATGTGCTTGTTGTATCATGGCCAAACTACTTTAACAGCAATAATCCCTGCTTCATCTTGATCTTGCTTTTATTTCCATTTGAACTCAGATCTTGAAACAATCATCTGAAGTGACATCAGATACTGGCTTCTGTTTCTCTTGAAAGCAAGTTAAAACAACAATGATAAACTAAGGCAGGAGATGTGAGCTGTGGCAGTAGATTTTTGATTCAACATGTGTCAACCTTATATTGCTTGAGACCTCTGTGACAGACAAACAAATATTTATAGTTTTTTGATAGTTTGGATTCTTGGCTTGATTTATAGCAGATCAGCTGTGAACCTTGACTTTGAAATCACATAAATGTCATTGTACCCGAACGAATCCTCGCATGACATTTCTTCGTAGCACAATTTTTCGTCCGCATTTCTTCGTCTACAAATCTTCGTCGGTGCATTTATTTGTCCCTCAATGCTTACTCTTGCATATATTTGCGTTGAAGAAGAAATGCGAGCCGATTTTCATATACCCTGATGCGAGACAAAGTAATGGGATACGAATAAATGCCCTGACGAAGATTTGCAGACGAAGAATTGCGATACGAAGAAATGCCATAAGAAGAATTATTGACCTTGATAAGATAAACGCATCATTCGCGCAATATTTGTCGCACTTTGATACCAAACTATTGCTTCCAAATGCCGACGTAAAGAAAACCTTTATGTGACGTCATAGAAACAGCGAAGTTCCCAAAAAGTAAACAAAAATAAAAGTCTTATATCTCGAAAACGGGTGAATATTTTCCGGTAAAATTTGGTAGATGTTCATTTTCGCTCTTTGTGATTCACGCTACATCACTTTTATGCCAATTCATTAACTATTTTGAAGGTGGGAGGGTCCCTTTAATTTAAAAAACCATCACATTTTAATAGCCGGCAAATATTCATAACCATTGAAAGCAATTTTACTAGCGTTCCATTTTGCCAGCAGCCGCACACAGGTCCACCGGGTTACCGGGCACGGCGGCTCCGTACTATCCCACTGAGGGAGATCTGGCAGCGCCGGCAGCGGTCGGTGACCCCCCCTGACCCGGTCCGTTAATTCGCACCGCTCCCCGGCCCGGCTCTGATTCACTCTGGGCCAGGTCATCACAGAGCCGTCCAGGGAGGACGCCATCGTTCCGCCCAGCCGGCAGCTGACCGGAGCCCGCTCGTCCGCCAACTTCAGAGCATCGTTGGCCCGTCTGTTGCGCGCCCGATGTCCTACTTAGGTCATTAAACATGGCGAATGGCAGCCGGCGGCTATGGTCCGGAGCGGGCGGCCGTCCGAGTCGCCGACGGGCGGGGAGGGGCCGGGGGAGGGGCTCATGGCTGCAGCCAATGGAGAAGTTGTTCTCGTCTGTCAGCGCTGTCACCAGCTGTCAGCCATTGTCAGAAACTGTCAGGGCTGTCTGGCTGCGGCTGGCCGGCGCCGGGCCCGGCCGAAAAGTTCGCAGAACTCGGACCGGCTCCATGAGACTGGTCTTCAGTGTTTGGTCTCGGGGAAACTGAGGTCTGACAGACGGCTTGAAACTCAAGAACAGTTTGTGCTGAATGTATATTTATCGCTACTTTTGCTCTGTGGAGTTTCGGCCGTGAGTATGCGGGGATGGATTGTTTGTACGCGAGGTGCCCACTCCGACATCTGGCCGTACTCTGTGGTGCGAGAGAGATTGTTCCTGTCCGCGCTCTTTGGTGTGAGGGAGGCTGTGTTTAGAGGGATATTGTGTCCGTCCTTGTGTTGTGAGTGAGATTGTGTCCGTCACTGGCAAACCACTGACAGCCGGAGATTGGTGTCGACACACGAGAACAAATTGGGGCGATGAGGAGAGCTTTCAGACAAATTGAGCCAAGTCACGCGGAGTTTGATTGATACAATAGCCGGTGTTTGTCCTGAGGCTATCCCGGATACGCCAACATGTCAACCTGTGCGATAGCTTCAGCTCTGATGAACGATGAAAGAGACTAACGCTTGCCTTTTTTGGCAAAAAAGCACTAATAGCAACTGCAATGTGCACACATATTAAATGTAAAAGCGTGTGTCACAAATGGCAATGTATTTATGGATAAAATCTTAACGATCAGTATTATTCCTCCCCTCCTCCCTCATCCATGAGACGTTGTTTCACTCACCTCCGGGTCGGCGGCCGGGCAGGCTTTTTTGGAGGTGGCGCAGCGCCAGGACAGGTGGTTGATGATGTAGGCGCTGTAACCGCCCCCTGGTGAGCCGGTGTCTGTGAGACCGGGGCACGGCAGCAGGGCTCGCTCTCCGGCCCGCACCGTGACGGCGGCCCGCCTCAGCACCGCCGACAGACCTGAGAATGAAACGGAGCTGTGACATCCTTCCATATCCTTCCACATAACCTGATCACTTGACCTGACATCGTTCTGACTCTTATGGCTTTTTGTAACACCTGTATTGTACTGGTGCACTCTCAAGCCTACACATTTTCTATATTTTTCCCATTTGTTTGGCAAGTGGCATTTGACTATGCCCTGCTTATGTGGCATAATTGAGTTTTCCATCCTGTCTCTGAGCCAGCGCCCTGCCGTCCGGCCGGCCACCGCACCGCCTGGTAACAGCGGGTCAGTCTACCTCCCGGGGCCAGAGGTCAGCCAGCTGACCTTGACCGGCCGGTCGGCCCCGGGTGAGGGACGGACGACAGTGGAGCGTGGGGCTGGGCCTGGCTGCGACTGCGTGTGGGTACGGTAAGTAACAAAAACGGATAATTTAACGTTGACGTCGATTTTATCAAATGTAAAAAAAAACGTACAATACTATTAGGTGTATCCAAGGTATATCAAAACAAGTGGACTTGAATTCAGCCTGTCAGAAAAACACAGCAGTGCAGTATTTGTCAATGTCTGAAGCAATTGCCGAACAATTGTTATGCTTGAACTGGATCTTGCCAAGAAAAAGCTGCCGGCCAGCTCAAGTTCTTGTCAAAGTTTGCCAAGCACTAAAAAGCACATCTCACTTCAAGCTCTATAAAAGCATGGGTTAGTGTTACGTGTGATAGGTCTAGATTCTCAGGTCTAGTTTTTTGTGTTGGAAAGGGCGGATTGGCGTATAAGGTCAGCTATCTCTGAGGACGTGAAAATACAGCCAGCCATAAGAGCACCGCTTTAAAGTCGGACAGACGTGTCACTGCTGATGAATGCTATTCGATTAGAAAACTTGTCCAATTCATTCTACGTCGGCCTGCGTGGTACGAGTAATTTAGTTAACATGTTCGACTAACTTTGATAATTCGGCCATCTCGTGTGATTGTGATGCGTTGCAACGCAGCCACCGAACTGTAGGCTAATGCCGGCCATAAATTGTACCGACGTTCACTGCAGACCCTGCACGCAATCTCGTCCGCCTGACTTCTTCCAATTTAGTTCAGGGTGATTTCTGGCATTGTATTCTTGGGCACTGATACAAGTGTGAGCCTGTGATGTGTTTTGGTGCTGCTCGAAAGTTAGGTAGCTTACACAAAGGTACGAACTATCACAACATGCCTTCGCAACTTACAACATAATAGAGCGTATACATAGAGAAACCACAAAATAGCTTATTGTAAATATTTCGATGTGCCGTAAAACATTAAAGTAGTGTCAAGAACATCTGCCAAAATTTTGTATTATTATTTGATAACTAAAACTTTTAATAAATAAACGGCACAGGCAAGTTGATAAATCTTGTTTAAAAAAAACTTCACTTCTACTAAAATTCCGTTACTCCTGGGGGCACAACAGTGCGCTTGGGAGGAGCTGTGTCTTTGATTGTAGAAAGTGTGCCCCCTCCTTATTTTAATCACGGTGTTTAAAGTTGGCGGTTAATCCCGCACCTTTTAAGCAGGTCCTGAGGATAATATTTTAGCCCGATCCCAGCTGGTCATGTGTCAACTCTGAACAAAGTAGGACGACCTGACTTTGCTGGTTTTACTTTTCGATGATTAATAGAAATGTGCGTGCTTCTAACGCAACATTGGAGAGATTATTGAGCTCATAATCATAATTCTCACTCCCCATCTTCCTGTGCTTTTGACCTAGCACAACAGAAGGATAGATTTAATGGCTGAATAAATGAAGCTGAATTTCCTCCAAGCGTAGGCATAAAGTGACACATTGCTGGAAGTACTGTGCTCGGACAGTTCGGCACAGCCTGTCAATCCGAAGGTAGCTCGTCTGTTCTCTTTAGTAAGACGCAGATGTTAAAAAAGATGCAACAGCATTTTGTATGGGAAATAGGTACGAGGACAACGCAATAGGTTAACACGTCTTATAAAGAATCACTCTTGTCCGCGTGCGCTATGTCTTCGTTCTGCTCTGTAAAAAACACACACACATACACACACGGTGTCATTAATCACCAACACTGACCGGGGATATCTGAACATGACAAATACGTACGACATACAAACGGAGCACAACGGTGAGTAAATCTAGGCAAACTGTCCGTAAGACATATTTGTTTGTCAATGTATCCCGGCCGCTCTTGCGCGCTCACTTTACCTTACGATGATGGTTGAAAAGTAATAGAAATGCCTATTTTTTCAGAACTGTGTATATTAAACGCAGAATTTGCGGAATATATTACACAATCTCATGTTCGAGCATTCTTTGTGTGGACGTTTGCTGTTTAGTGTTTATTCATTCAGGCTTTATCAGACAGACACCAATAAAAAACATCGATGGCGCTCGTCGATTGCTATGTTCATTTTGCGTCCATAAATTACGTAGAAGTTGAAACGAATCAGTCACTTCCCTTCTACTTCCCACTCACCTTCAGTTAGCAGTAACTGCAAAATAAAGGACGTTCCGACAAACTTCATGTCTTGCAATCACTGCCTCGATAACAGAAATAACAGAAATTAGCACTGAGCACACACACACTGGCACCAACACCTAGAGAGCACACACACACAAACGCTTGACGTCGTCGTCCACCAGATCACGCCAATTTTCTCCCCACTCGGCCACGACAGTGCAGCTGGCGGCTGGGAGCGTGCGGGCTCGGGTTTCGCCTCGGGCGCCGTCGCTGCGCCCCGCCCGCGGCCGGCCAGGGACGCGACTGACGGGCGCCGCGGGGCGGATCGGAGCGTCGACTCCGCTGACCGCTCCGCCGGCCACGCAGCGTCGGCAGCGACGCGGGCGTCGGCTGCGATGACGCAGACCCGCCACGCAGACAGCCGGTGAAGATGTGCAGACAATGGGGATGGCAGAGACGCTGTGATCTCGCAGCGGTAAACAGCTGCGCATTGCTGGCGTGAAGGCTGTGCAAACATGAAGGAAACGAGCCCACGGTTGTTCATAGCTGGTGAATGGCTACGCTTTCTTTTAAATAAGAAGTGAATATTGAAAATATAGATCATAAGATAACCAATATATTTCATTCAAATACCGGGTGTCCACGTCAAAAGTGTACCCAGACTTTTCTCCGTATTTTATCTTAAAAACATCGCACTCACAAACAATTGCTCTCGTTTGAGAGCCAAGGCAATGGCAAAACAATTGCTATGCTTTTCAACTGTGTTCGGCACTCTGATGACCAACGAGTGCCGTCTAGAGCAACTGCTCTATATGAGCCGCTTTGCGTCGGGCCACCGCCGGCAGACGGACCGTGGCATGTGAAATCCCACAATGCCCCGTGCACTGGGGATCCCATTGCCTAGAAAAAGTTCAGACCATGCCTCTGCACAGCAAGAAAGTATCGGTTTGGGTGGCAATGAGGCATGGAGGGGGCATTATCGGCCCTTTCTTTTTCGAAGACGACAGGGGAGAGACAAACACAACACCGTAACGCTAGAACGCTACGCCTCGGAGGCACTGGAACCATTCTGGCGAGAGCTGAAGCGGAGACGCGGGATCCGTCGCCATGAAGAATGGTTGGGGCGCCGCCTCACACCGCCAAACGGTCGCTGGAATTCCTGGAGGAGCACTTTCCTGACCGCCACATCAGCTTGAAAAGCGCGGTGGAATGGGCTCCACACTCGCCCGACCTCAGCCCTCTAGATTTCTTCTTGTGGGGCTTTCTCAAGGACTTGTGCATACGCTGGCAATCCAGGGTCGACCCAGGAGCTGAAAGACTTCATCATCGACGAGATCCGTCGCCTTCCTTCCCACATGGTTGACCAGGCGATCACCCACCTCCAGTCTGCCGGCGGTGGCCCGACGCAAAGGGGCTCATATAGAGCAGTTGCTCTAGACGGCACGCGCTGGTCAGCAGAGTGCCGAGCACAGTTGAAAAGCATAGCAAATGTTTTGCCATTGCCTTGGCTCTCAAACGAGGGCAATTGTTCGTGAGTGTGATGTTTTTAAGATAAAATATGGAGAAAAGTCTGGGTACACTTTTGACGTGGACACCCTGTAGCATCGGGAAATCGGGAACCACTTGTTCATCAAGCGAATCACAGACAAAAAAAAGTGCGCACTGTTATGAATACCAACATGCTCTGTTATGTTCGCATTTCTTATGAAGGGCGATATTTCATTGCAGTAGTTGAACAAAAATAATATTTGAAGTACCTATCTACCATGAAGCTTGTAAGACTGGCTCACTAGTGTGTTTAATTTGTAGGCTTTGGGTTTCCCGCGGCTATACCCATAAGGTGCCGAGTTTGAGTGGTCTCCATGGAGGACCGCCCATTGCTATTCCAATCGAATCTCAGAAAAGCGACGAGAACATGCAACAGCGAAATCAGACGCAAGTTCCGGGTTGCAGTTAGGGATCTGTGCGATAAGGGAGCATCTATCCGTCGAAGCTAGAACCTTAAAGCGCGTCATGTTTCTCTAAGAGTGTTCTTTTTTTAAAGTCGTCTAAAACCAGTAATCTACGACTCGCAACTTAAACTGTAGTAACGAAATGTTTTATGCTTTTATTTAGGTATACCCTTCATCCCTCCCTTCTTATTTAACAGTGACCGTCGCACAGCCATCCCCAAACGCCCACTCACTTGCCACGCCGTTAGCTTACCAGTCCCTTCTTTGTCCACACGTCCCCAAACGCCCACTCACTTGCCACGCCGTTAACTTACCAGTCCCTTCTTTGTTCAAGTGTCCCACCGTCTCCGCGGTCCCCTTTCCTCCCCCGCTCTCCCCATCTCAGCTTCCTGGCGAGCCCCCGGGGAAGGCTCCCGTCGGCGGCCTGTCGGCCTGTGTTCTCGGCGGCGCTAACCGGCCGGGCGAGGGTGCTCGTGTCCGATCAGCCCCGCCCCTGTCCGCCGGAAGTCGAGCCACCGACGGGCCGAGCGGTGACGACGGCCCCAGGGGAGCGATATTGGAGGAGACCGACACCCGAGAGCCACTCTTTACGCGCCGCTGATAGGGATACGAGTATGTGCACTGATGTGGCATTCCTTGTGGCTTATGGAGGCGGAGATTGGCACCGATCCAAAATGTCTGGGGGGATCGGGTAATAAATGTCTGTGTGGTGGGGAGATGCTGCGCTGCGGTACCTGACTATGCAGTTGTCAAATCCTTACCAAATCTTGGAATGCATATTATATGAATAGATGTGCTTCGTATCGTAAAACGTCATCAATGGAGATAGGAAAGCGAGACGCTACCCGACAGCAGGGCCAGCCACACAACCGGTAGGTATGCGGAGATACGATGCCTATTTTCTGACAAGAGAATTTAGGTATAAGACCCCGGGTCAATTTAGAGCTTTGTCAAACTTATCAAACTTGGTTTTCTACCAGATGGCTTATTTAACCGCACTGATGGATTATTGCAACTTTGTTGGCCTGAGCCATCGTCGGAAACGTTCCATCAGCATGCTTTTGCGAAATATTGTTCAATGCTCCTGAAATATATAACACTTGACGAACGGCTATCGTTCCAAGGTAAAGTCCAAACCAAACCAATATCGGAGCACGGAATTGGACATAGAATGGTAATCCGGCTTTTAAACCTCAGCTTATTTTGTCATATTTTTTATCTATTTATTGGTGGTGTGAATTGTGTGGCTGGAAAAATGGTGTTAACTTACATAGTTAGATTTCAAGTGGCACATAGAAAGCACACACATTTTGTTCTTTTTAAACAATTAACCGTATTGGAACTGGCCCGTGCATGCTCATTGTTCCCACATGACCGCACGGGCACCATCTCCCGAGGCGCAGCCCGTTGCCGTGTGTCGGAGAATGGGTCGTTCCCGGGCCGGCGGCCGGTCCGGTCCGGCCTCTGATGGCTCCGTACCGGCCGTACGTGACCTCTACATGTGCGGCGCTGCAGTGCGCTGTTCAATTTCGGCTGACAGCGCCAGCCGGCGGCGGCTCGGCCGGCCAGCCCCGATGGCCGCCGCTCCAGGCCGATCAGTGATAAGAAAACCGCTCGGCGGCGCGCAGCGCCCGGCGCAATATCGGCCTCCATTTATCCGCGGCTGAATGTCAGATGGTCATCTATCAAACGGCTGCACGCGACTCAGCAGAGAACGGCCCATCAGCGCCCATCAGAGCTCTGATGACAGCACCCAGCCGCGGCCAACACAGCTCAGCCGCGGCCAACACAGACTGCAGTCACCGACCGAAACCCAGCCGCGGCCAGCACAGCCAAGTCACCGACCAAAGCTCAGCCGCGGGCCAGTAAAAGCCCAGTCACTGACCAAAGCCCAGTCGCTGGCCAGCACAGCCCAGTCGCCAGCCCCATATCGCTCGCGCAGCCCCCGATCACTCGCCCATCCGAACGCTCACGCCATCACAGCCAATCGGATCTCCGACTGCAGTTGGCAGTCGACACTCAGCTGAGACTCTGATGGCAGGCCACCGTACCCACCACTACGTTCTTTCACATTTGCTCTCGTTTGTGGAGGATAAGTGAATAAATGAACAATAAAGCCTCTTAATTAACAACCCACACTCTCCACGCCAAGTCTACGAGAGCAGTTTGCTGCGACCGTCGACGTTTTCTCTGAGACAAAAGCACGTCTCATCTTTTGAGAAAGTCGCGGGCGGCGGCATCTTATGAAATAAACATGAAATGACATATTTTCCGCTCAGCGTTACGAAGTGAAGTGCGCTGCTCAGCGTCGCTGTGCTCCGCCTGCAGTGTTTCCGCAACTATGGCAGCTGCTGAGATCGATAGCCTGGCAGATTATCATAAGTCAATGTTGATAGCAGCACATTGTTTACCGAACCAACACACATTGCGGCCCATCGCTGCCCTTGTTTGTGCTGGGAACATTACACTTTGCACCGTGACCGCCCGAACCATCGATCCGCGTATCCTCAAAACGAGAGCATTTCGCCTTAATCAAGGGCCTGTGGAAGTGGAAATTAATGCTGCTTGTGTATCCAGGCTATCGGTAAATGCCACCTCGATATATATTGACAGTTCATTGGCAGCAGTTATAGAAAACATGTTGATGAGCAGACAATGTCATATAAGCTGTTGTCGGTTATCCTACCGAAAACACCGCCGGGAGCGAGCTGATTGAACAACTAGGTGATGGGATGCTCGAAGTCTACCATCACCATTGGACCGAGTGGAGTCCCTAGACGATGGCCGACGCTCCCGGCTACTCCTGACCGGCTCCCCGAGGGTTAAACTCCCCTTGGATTATAGTCGAACTGGGACCTCTATTAACATTTGGTCCGGCTAAAGAATATGGCGGTTAGTCGCAAAAGCAATTATCATTGTTTGTTAGGTACCTTGAAAAATAAGGAGCGAAAATCAATAGACAATCAGCTGCAGAATCAGACGGTCACTTTATGAGGGCAGGCCGTTATTTTTGTTTTCTTCGGCCACGAATCATACCTACTAATTGCGTTTGTTTGTGGTGCATGGAAAATGACTTGAACAAGCTGAATATTTTAAGCATTCCGTTGCCTCTCAAAAGAAAAGCTCCCTGACTTATACACCAAGATGTTGTGTACTAGGCTATGGAACGAAATATAGATGGGTGCAATTAAGCATGAAGAGGGGATAGGATAAGGAAAGGAAAGGAAGTAGGTGTGCATTAGGATACGCGAATTGCCGCGCTGAAGGCTGAGTACTGAGTAGTGAGTAGCTAAGCGGAGGCAGCGGCCGAGCTGTACCGCAAGGCGCCGGTGCAC